ATAAACAGTCAACTACGCACTGAAGTTGTACTTGTGTTGATAAACAGTCAACTACGCACTGAAGTTGTACTTGTGTTGATAAACAGTCAACTACGCACTGAAGTTATACTTGTGTTGATAAACAGTCAACTACGCACTGAAGTTGTACTTGTGTTGATAAACAGTCAACTACGCACTGAAGTTGTACTTGTGTTGATAAACAGTCAACTACGCACTGAAGTTATGATAAACACTGAACTACGCACTTGTACTTGTGTTGATAAACAGTCAACTACGCACTGAAGTTGTACTTGTGTTGATAAACAGTCAACTACGCACTGAAGTTGTACTTGTGTTGATAAACAGTCAATTACGCACTGAAGTTATACTTGTGTTGATAAACAGTCAACTACGCATTGTACATGTTCTCGTGTTGATAAACAGTGAACTACGCACTGAAGTTGTACTTGTGTTGATAAACAGTCAACTACGTTCTGAAGTTGTACTTGTGTTGATACACAGTCAACTACGCACTGAAGTTGTACTTGTGTTGATAAACAGTCAACTACGCACTGAAGTTGTACTTGTGTTGATAAACAGTCAACTACGCACTGAAGTTGTACTTGTGTTGATAAACAGTCAACTACGCACTGAAGTTGTACTTGTGTTGATAAACAGTCAACTACGCACTGAAGTTGTACTTGTGTTGATAAACAGTCAACTACGCACTGAAGTTGTACTTGTGTTGATAAACAGTCAACTACGCACTGAAGTTGTACTTGTGTTGATAAACAGTCAACTACGCACTGAAGTTGTACTTGTGTTGATAAACAGTCAACTACGCACTGAAGTTGTACTTGTGTTGATAAACAGTCAACTACGCACTGAAGTTGTACTTGTGTTGATAAACAGTCAACTACGCTCTGAAGTTGTACTTGTGTTGATACACAGTCAACTATGCACTGAAGATATACTTGTGTTGATAAACGGTTAACTACGCACTAAAGTTGTACTAATGTTGATAAACAGTTAACTACGCACTGAAGTTGTAGTTGTGTTGATACACAGTCAACTACGCAATGAAGTTGTACTTGTGTTGATAAACAGTCAACTACGCTCTGAAGTTGTACTTGTGTTGATAAACAGTCAACTACGCACTGAAGTTGTACTTGTGTTGATAAACAGTCAACTACGCACTGAAGTTGTACTTGTGTTGATAAACAGTCAACTACGCACAAGTTGTACTTGTGTTGATACAAACAGTCAACTACGCACTGAAGTTGTACTTGTGTTGATAAACAGTTGTGAAGTTGTTTGTGTTGATAAACAGTCAACTACGCACTGAAGTTGTACTTGTGTTGATAAACAGTCAAGTTGTACTTGTGTTGATAAACAGTCAACTACGCACTGAAGTTGTACTTGTGTTGATAAACAGTCAACTACGCTCTGAACTTGTACTTGTGTTGATAAACAGTCAACTACGCTCTGAAGTTGTACTTGTGTTGATAAACAGTGAACTACGCACTGAAGTTGTACTTGTGTTGATAAACAGTCAACCACGTTCTGAAGTTGTACTTGTGTTGATAAACAGTCAACTACGCACTGAAGTTGTACTTGTGTTGATAAACAGTCAACTACGCTCTGAACTTGTACTTGTGTTGATAAACAGTCAACTACGCTCTGAACTTGTACTTGTGTTGATAAACAGTCAACTACGCTCTGAAGTTGTACTTGTGTTGATAAACAGTGAACTACGCACTGAAGTTGTACTTGTGTTGATAAACAGTCAACTACGCTGAAGTTATACTTGTGTTGATAAACAGTCAACTACGCACTGAAGTTGTACTTGTGTTGATAAACAGTCAACTACGCACTGAAGTTGTACTAGTGTTGATACACAGTCAACTACGCACTGAAGTTGTACTTGTGTTGATAAACAGTCAACTACGCACTGAAGTTATACTTGTGTTGATAAACAGTCAACTACGCACTGAAGTTATACTTGTGTTGATAAACAGTCAACTACGCACTGAAGTTGTACTTTCAATTACTCTAGTTGTGTTGATAAACAGTACAACTATAAGTTGTACTGTTTATAACACAGTAACTAACTTCTGAAGTTGTACTTGTGTTGATAACACAGTCAACTACGCACTGAATAACTTCTAATTTTGTTGATAAATGTTCTAATTCACATACGACGTTATGCTAAACATACTGTTGATATATTTTGTTGACAAAGTCATGTATTAGATATAAGTGTTAGATATACATGTGCACAAGCAAAAAGATGTCTTATTTCAACTCGTTGCAGATGTCGAACACCGGCACACTTCTGTTTTTAAAGTTAATGCAGTTATATAATTGTGTTGATAAACAGTTTCTTTAATTCTAAATCAATAGGTCATCCTGTGGTAAAGTTGATAAACTTCTACATTGTCCTCTTATCACTAACCAAAGATTCCTTTTTACTTCTCTCTAGGACCTGAGCGATCGTATTCCTCTAAACAAATTTCTGAATTGATGCTATGAGCTAGGTACAGTTACTTTGCTGCCTTCCATGCCTTCCTTCGGACTGATACTTATCCCAGCCATTGAGTGATATCAATACCACTAAAATCCATCACTATTCATAGAGGGATAGTATTACCACTAAAATTCATCACTATTCATTTGTCATGGGACTGAAGTGTATATTTGTTTGTAATAACAAGAAAAAGGCTTTCTTAGGCTATGTCTGCTGCCAGATTCTTTTGTCAGTAAAATCCTAACAATAGAATAGTCTAAAATACGAAAATTAACAATATACCCATGAACAATATTGATTGGTTAAATTTAAGCTAGATACAGAAAAATCATACGAAGACATTCGTGAGCATATGAAAACAAACCAACTGTTGAATAAATTTGCTGCGATAGATGAATAATCACAGTAACAAACAACAGCAAAATTAATCAGCAACACGCTGTCTACAGTCTTGTAGACAAGTAATCAGAGTAGCAAAATGTATCACGAAACGCATTGTAAATACAAAACAACAGGTAAACAACGACAAGGAATAACAACAATACGACAGAATTACAACACAGGTTTACAGTGGTGTAATATTGTTGGAAATCGGTTCGTTCGTGTGTGGTGTCACATACCCGTTTTTTTTTTTTTTTTTGGGGGGGGGGGGGGGGGGGGTTACAAGTGAGTGTTGTAATCAAGACACCAAAACAAAGAGTAAACAATTTTGAATGAATAAAAACTAACATATATAGATTGATAGATTATGGACCGTTTAGCAAAGTAGAAGATTGTTTATATTTGCATCATATGCTTTCAAAAGCACACATTACCGGTCTGTATTATGTATCGAAATGAAAAGTAAATGATTTGTTATTTTCAAACTTGATAAAAGAGGTTTTATATTTGTAAAGAATGTCGTTTTATTTGTTTGAAGACGTCAAAACAACATTATTATTTTGGATGATATTTTCTCAAGTTCACTAACGATCATGTGTTGTTTTTTATGTCTAGTGGTTCCGTTGTTTACCTTGTTCTCCTTTAGGAACGTGACATTATATACGCGGATCGATCAGGATTTAACGACGGGTTTCGTCCATGTCGTTTCAAGATGAAAATAAAAACTTTGCTTTTATATAATAATATTTATAATTATTTGATGTTAAGTTTTTTTTTATGTTTTAGTAAAATTACTACCTATATCAAACAAACCCTTAGACCTGGTACATCATGAACCACTCTCATTTTACCGGTCTTTGTTTTATGAGCGAATAATGGAACGGACGAAAGTCCCTAAGGTCCTAACGTACAAAGAGAAAAAACTACCAAACATCCAAAAATTGTCTGATAAATTTTAACCCCTCCCTTCTTAATCACTTTTTTGTTAGCGTTTACTTAGTCTTCTCTCAATGTTCTTCACTCTGTCACTTAGTACCATGGACATGGATGAAAATTATTGTCAAAAACAAAGGTATCAAGACAGACTGAAAAAAAAAATCAAAAAGTAATATCAGTTTTGGAATTCTAATAAGAAAATCTAATGCATTCTTTGAAATTTGACTTTGTCTAGTCATAATTTATAAGCAGTGTCTTTTCTCGAGCGCGGGGAATCTTTCGTCATCCCATTTTTTTCAGTGCTATTAGGTCAGCTGTTCAGATACCTTTCACAGAGAGAAAACATTGGTTTATAATGTCATAACATATCTACGTGAAAATGTCTCCAAGAAAAGGCTGAATGACATACAGCTTATTCACGACAATGCTTCAAGCCTATGGGCTGTAAGACCCCGGAATAATCTTGAACTGAACTGAACTAAACTAAACATCACACAAAGGTACAGGCGTTTTCCAAGTAAGAAATGTAGACTGGTCATCCATTCTAATCACTAGACCTAAATTCCTGTAATAATGTGCGTCTAGAGATATACTAGACGCTAAAATACTAAACTGTCTCTCCAATATATCAAAGGTTTACCAGCGTTTCCGTCACGCACAGGACGATTCTGATCGTATTTCTGTACTGGCAGGGGAGATTGTAATAGAATATATATATAAATCCTTCATTGGATTTATAACACTAACCACATGATTTATTTGACGTAAAACAACCCTGAGTTACATGCCGAGTCAAAATATAGAAATATTTTTCTACAACACAGGTAGAATCGTATCTTTGTCAGTAAGTGTAATTCTGAAACCTAAGCTTCGAAAAGAGTAAGTAACTGTTTTTCTGTCAGAAAAATGGAAAAATACCTTCGATGGAATCCCTTAATTATATTTAAAGACTAGATTTCAAAATCAAAGTATCGACTTTAGACTAGATTATAACAGGAAGTGAGATAATGCTCTATCTGTATGTAGAGTTAACGACACTGCTGATCGTTCTATTTACTGTACAATAATATAAACAATAGTTTGCATGTGTAACGTTTATTAAGCCCCTCAATATAAGTACAGATTACAAGTGTCTGACTGGGAAACGCCCACTTATTCTGGTGATAACGAAATAGATTCAGTCATCACCACCTCTCACAACACAAGATGGACGACGTGACTTTGTTCTCATTTCTCGAATTTTCCTGTCCTGGTCAGTTTCCGGAAACAGCTCGTGCATCTTTGCTTTCTCCTTTTCTTTAAAATCAATCCATTTGCCGTCAAATTTTGAGAGGATCATTTGCCGTTGTACTCTGCTCATCAAATTCTTCATAGCCTCCCAGGCGACCTTATTTTTGGTAGTACCCGCATTTTCAAATTCTTGTATCCGACGAGTTTTTTCGTCGGCACATGCTTTCTGCACCCATTTGACGGCGATTTTTCTAACAAGTTCCTCCTGTACCTTGAACTTCAATTCTCTCACTTTATCTTTGTAGCGTTCTTCGATTTCTTCTTCCTCGTCGAGGACTTGTTGATAAATTCGCTTCATATCTGCCAGAACCTTCTCAAAGTTTTTCATAGCTTTTGCTCTTTGCTGGTCTTTGAATAAATTGTTCTGTTCCATTACTCGCTCTTTCTGTTCATCCTCCGACATCTTCTTCGTTATGTCCCTATCCTTATTTAAGACAACTCTTATAAGAGACTCGTCTAGCATTTCCATCATGGCTTCACGGTAATCATCATCCAGACTCCTTTCATCCTCAATAAGCTTTCCGAACGCTTCCTCTAAATCCCTGTTGATGTAACTCCTTTTCTGGTTTGTTTCGGCCATTGCGTCGACTAAATCTTCCACACTAGGAGATTTATCAACGTTGCTTAGCATTGCTCGTAGCAATTTAATCTGGTTATAACGTTCTTCCTCTGTTTCCATGGCAACCAAACCAGCGTGTGTATAATGTAGTAACTGAAGTTGCATATCATCCTTGACCTTAGCTTGCTGATTTTTCATGGACGCTTCTTTTGTTTTCATCTTTTTCTCACTGAAGCGTAACGTATCATTGAATTCTTCGTTCAAGGGACTAAGTGTTTGACTGGCTATCGTTTTCTCAGATTCTTCTAATGTAACCTTTCTTGCTTTCTCTTTGTTAACCTCTGCGTTAATATGATGAATTGTAAGTCGCCGAGTCGCTCTTCCTAAGGGAACCGCACCCTCCACATCCCAATGTTTTCCGGCGTACGATTTCCCATCTTGTGACCAATGTTTTCGATCTTGAAGTTTATAGAATCCGGGCTGTTTCTTTATACCACTGTGGGTGTTTTGGAGAGCTTTCGCTTGTTTTATTCCCTGTCCGAAATCTTTGTTCAAGTACCGTTTGATCTGGAACTCCTCGATGCTCTCTGACTCAGAATCAGTATCCGACATTTTCCTACATGCAGATGTGACGCGGTAAGCGAAACTATCTTCGCGCGTGTCTACAGCCAACGCGTCGTCAAGTAGCCCTAAACATGACGTCACAAAAGACAATGACGTACTAGGAATTGTGACGTTCCATAGTTTGTGACGCGAGGTGATAACTCCAAAATTTACACACTTTTCAGTGTGTAGTTTTTCGTCAATGGTTGTTACAGTGGAACCATTATTTAATTATTTGGTCTGATTATTGTACCTTGTATTCATTGGTATTCAAACACACTTTATTGATATGTTATTCAGCTAAAACCAAAAATTGCAAAAAAGATCGATTTGAATTTATGATAAATAATAATTACTTTGGGTACACGTTCTCCCACCACGTACTTCCCTATGCTATATAGAGGTACACTAATGTAGGTCTCCAGATTCAGCGAGTACCCCTGAAATGGCCTTTCTGTATCCATTTATTTAAAATTCATATTTTTTTTATTTCATCATTATTTCATTCTATGTCATATCTCTTGGTAGAATTAAATATAATAATATTTCTTGTGTTTCAAGAATTCGTTAGGCAAGATTTATGTATATAGCGAAAAGTGGCAATTATCTGAAGTAAAGTGTAAACAACATGATTTTTTTCGATTAAATTCATCGCATTACGTGGAAAACTTGTTTATTTCTCGAATTAATCAAAACGATATAATTACATAACACGTGGTTGTAAAGTTACTAGGACAACCCTGGATGGCGAAAGCGAGTCTATGGCAAAATATGAACAAATGAAAGATTTACACAAAGGGTAAAAAAATACACAAAATTAACAAGCATACCAATGAGCATCACATGTTTTTTATAGTCTAACACAATGATCTAGAGACCAGTGTGACGACAGTAATACTTCCCCGTAATCTCTATCAACCTGCATCTCTCGAAACCCTGCATTGTTTATCTGTCTCCACTTCAAAAAGTCTTCTTTAAAAACACGACATAGCATTGTTACCATCACGACACAGAGAGTATATATATATATATATGATAATCAGAAACACGATGTGCATTTAAATGTAAAGCATGAGCGCTTTCATGTATTAATCTTCAGACGCTTTACATCATGTACTGTCAGGCTTACATGGTTGCCTACATGGTTACAATCTATGACGTCATCAACGACTTGATTATACATTGAAACGGGAGATAATTGTGCTTACAGTAGCCTGTTTAATTTTGGCTTTAAAGTCTTAATGAAATGTTTTTCTTTTTCTTTTCTTTCGATAGTACTTTGTGAAAATAATTTATAGAATAGAAATATTTTGATATTCTTTTTCCCACAGGTATCTTAATGTTCGCTTTGTTTATTTTTTCTATATTCCAGCACATTAATGTGTTGCTTGTGTACGCGCACACGAGCCTGTCGGGTGTTGCTCGTTTCTCCAATATAATAATCTCTACACCCCAGGCATGTTATGAAATAAATTAAGTTTTTAGATTCACATGTCATATTGGCATTGACAGTAAATTCCCTTTCGTTTAAACGGTATGATGGTCCTTCTTTCAGATGACTACATGTGCCGCATCGTGGGTCTTTGCATTTCGAAACATTGTATCGAGTTTCTTCTTCAAAGGTCGAGTTGCATGATAATCGTTTTAAGTTTTTGGCTTGCCTTTTTACTATTGATAAACTATTTATTTTCCAATACTTTTTTTCATATGTTGGTCTTCCTTTAATAAGCTGCTTAAGTTATTTACTGTTTGGCATATATTGCGATTTCGCGGATTGTGAGTTGTAACTAACGATATAATGGACGATTCTATTTTGTCATTTTGCCGAGGTTTAAGCCATTCTGTTCGGTTTATTGATGTCGCCTTTTTTATTCCATTATTATTATTATTTTCACTGGATAATGTTGGAATTTGAGGAAAATTCGTAACTCTCGTAGCCGCGCTTTCCGCGTGTCCTCCTCACTGACAATGGTGCATATTCTTCTTGCCAAATTGTAGGGAATTGCGCGTTTCGTGTGTCCAGGATGACATGAACCGAAATGGAGATATCTGTTGGCTTATAATAAAGATCGGTAGTATTTTTTTCTTTACCAAGACATTGACACTTAAATGTACATCGTGTTTCTGATTTTGTTATTTTCATATATTGAACTGGACACTGAGCTGTTGATAGTTTCAATATATATATAGGTACATATAAGTCATATTAGTCTTTGTGAACTCCATACACTATAAAGGTAGGATGAACCATTTACTTGTTGACCTCATTGATTTTAAACTGGATCTTGTATTTGTATGGTGGATTTGATGTTATCTATTCTGGATATTATGTTTGGTTAAGAGATGAAATAATTCATGTATTGAATAAATCTTATATGAATAATGTATCGGTGCGAGGCTTGCCGATCTTTTTTTTTTAACATCATCAATTGCCTTAAATGGGCATTAATAGCCAGTAATTTATGTTACTAAAAGATCTTGGAAGGGCGCTAACAACAAGTAATTTATGTTACTAAAAGATCTTGGAAGGGCGCTAACAACAAGTAATTTATGTTACTAAAAGATCTTGGAAAGGCGCTAACAACAAGTAATTTATGTTACTAAAAGATCTTGGAAGGGCGCTAACAACAAGTAATTTATGTTACTAAAAGATCTTGGAAGGGCGCTAACAACAAGTAATTTATGTTACTAAAAGATCTTGGAAGGGCGCTAACAACAAGTAATTTATGTTACTAAAAGATCTTGGAAAGGCGCTAACAACAAGTAATTTATGACGATAACTTATCCTACATAGGTAATGATATCCAGTGATTTTAATGATAATAAATTGTCTTAGAAGGGTACTGATACCCTTTAATTTATGTTAATAAATTGCCTTGGAAGGGTGTTGATACCCTCTAATTTAAGTTACAAATTGTCATTGAAGAGTACTGATGCCATGTAATTTCTATTGATCAATTTTCTTGGAAGGGTACTGATACATTGTAATTCATGTCGATAAATTGTCTTGGAATTGTGTTGATACCCTGTGATTTATGTCGATAAATTGTCTTGTAAAACTGCTGATACCCTGTAATTTATGTTAATAAATTGTATTTGAAAAGTGTTGATACCCTGTAATTTCAGTTGATAATTGTATTTGAAGGGTTTTGATTGCCTGTAATTTATGTTATTAAATTGTATTTGAAGGGTGCTTATTCCCTGTAATTTATGTTAATAAATTGTATTTGAAGGGTGTTGATACCCTGTAATTTATGTTAATAAATTGCATTTGAAGGTTGCTGATAACCTGTAATTTATGTTAATAAATTGTATTTGAAGGGTGCTTATTCCCTGTAATTTATGTTAATAAATTGTATTTGAAGGGTGTTGATACCCTGTAATTTATGTTGATAATTGTCTTTGAAGAGTGTTGATGCCTTTTAAATTATGTTGATCAATTATCTTGGTAGGGTGTTAATAAACTGTAATTGATGTTGATAAAATGTCATGGAAAAGCGTTGATAACCTGTAATTTATGTTATAAATTGTCTTGGAAGGATGTTTTTTACCATGAACTTTCTGTTATAAAATGTCTTGGAAGAATGTTGATTACCTGTAATTTATGTTGATAAATTGTCTTGGTAGGGTGTTGATACCCTGTAATTGATGTTGATAAATTGTCTTGGGAAAGTGTTGATTACCTGTAATTCATTTTAATAAACTGTCTTAGAAGGGTATTGATACCCTGTAATTTATGTTAATAAATTGTATTTGAAGGGTGATGATACCCTATGATTTACGTTGATGAATTTTCTTGGAATTGTGTTGATTCCCTGTAATTTAGATTAATAAATTGTCTTGGAGTGGTGCTGATACCCTGTAATTTAAGTTGATAATTGTCATGGAAGGGTGCTGAGACCCTGTAATTTATGTTAATAAATTGTCCTGGAAGGGTGCTGAGACCCTGTAATTTATGTTAATAAATTGTCCTGGAAGGGTGCTGAGACCCTGTAATTTATGTTAATAAAAATTGTCCTGGAAGGGTGCTGAGACCCTGTAATTTATGTTAATAAATTGTCATGGAAGGGTGTAGATTCCCTGTAAATTATATTGATAAATTGTCTTGGAAGGGTATTGATACCCTATAATCTATGTTGCTAAATTGTCCTGGAATGGTGCTGATACCCTGTAATTTATGTTGATGAATTGTCTTAGAAGGGTGTTGATATCCTGTAATGTATGTTAATAAATTGTCTTGGAAGGGTATTGATACCCTATAATCTATGTTGCTAAATTGTCCTGGAATGGTGCTGATACCCTGTAATTTATGTTGATGAATTGTCTTAGAAGGGTGTTGATATCCTGTAAATTATGTTAATAAATTGTCATGGAAGGTTGCTGTTACCCTGTAATTTATGTTGATGAATTGTCTTGGTAGGCTGTTTGTACCCTTTAATTGATGTTGATTTATTGTCTTGGAAAACTGTTGATTACCTGTAATTTATTTTGATAAAATGTATTTGAAGGAAGATGATACCCTGTAATTTATGTTGATTATTGTATTTGAGTGTGCTGATTACATGTAATTCATGTTGATAAATTGTCTTAGAAGGGTGCTTATACCCTGTAATTTATGATTATAAATTGTCTGAGAAGAGTGCTTATAGTTTGTAATTGTTGATAAATTGTCTTAGAAGGGTATTGATACCCTGTAATATATGTTAATAAATTGTATTTGAAGGGTGCTGTTACCCTGTAATTTAAGTTGATAAATTGCCTTGAAGGGGTGCTGATACCCTCTGATTTATGTTATAAATTGTGATGGATGGGTGTTGATACCCTTTACTTTATGTTGATCAATTGTCTTGGAAGAGTGTTGTTACCCTGTAATTTATGTTAATAAAATGTATTTGAAGGATGCTGATACCCTGTAATTTATGTTAATAAAATGTATTTGAAGGATGCTGATACCCTGTAATTAGGTCTTTTCACCAGTTCGTGAAAAGACCTATTGTTTTTGTTGCCAGTTAAATATGCTTCTTATATGTGAAATATCAAGCCTCTAGGCCTTTCAGAACTTGAGAAGAGGTTTGTCAAAATTTGGTGCTCTAAATAGCACTTTTCAACTTTGTTCCCTACCGAAAAACGGAAGTTGAATTTTGATGGAAGTTTTCCTTGTATCAGTTGATAGAGAATATCCACAGAATATTTATGTCCAAACTTGAAGACTTTTAGCAGCTTAACAATTGAGAAATTACCATTTAACGATATTTACATCATTTACCCCTGTGACCTTGAAAGTAAATCAAGGTCAATTATATTATCAAATTGCATTACCAGTCAGATATCCTTCTTGTATATGAAATATCAAGCCTCTAGGCCTTCCAGAACTTGAGAAGAAGTTTTTTCAAAGATTGGTACCCTAAATAGCTCTTTCCAAATTTGTGCCCTACCGAAAACCGGAAGTTGAAATTTTAGGGAAGTTTTTCTTATGACAATCAATAGGAAGTGTCCACAGAAGGTTTATAATCAATTTTCATCATTGTGTGCCTTCTAGAAAGTGAGAATCTGTCATTGAAGGATTCATAGTTAATTGACCTCTTTGACCTTGAAAGTGGGTCAAGGTCATTTTTATTATCAAACTTTGTTGCCAGTTACATATGCTTCATATATGTGAAATGTAGAGCTTCTAGACCTTTCAGAACTTGAGAAGAAGTTTCTCAAAGATTGGTACCCTTAATAGCACTTTTCAACTTTGACCCCGTACCGCAAATCGGAAGTTGAATTTTGAGGTACGTTTCTCTTATATCAATCAACAGGAAATGTCCACAGAATATTTATGTCCAAAGTTGAAGACTTTGGGCAGCTTAACAATGGAGAAATTACCATTTAACGATTTTTACATAATTGACCCCTGTGACCTTGAAAGTGGGTCAAGGTCATTTATATTAACAGAGTACTGATTCCCTGTAATTTATGTTGATAAATTGTCTTGGTAAGGTGTTGATACCCTTTAATTGATGTTGATCAATCGTCTTGGAAAAGTGTTGATTACCTGTAATTTATGTTAATAATTGCATTTGAAAGGTGCTGAGACCCTATAATTTATGTTAATAAATTGTATTTGAAGGGTGTTGATACCATGTAATTTATGCTGATAAATGCATTTGAAAGGTGCTGAGACCCTGTAATTTATGTTAATAAATCATATTTGAAGGGTGTTGATACCCTATTATCTATGTTGCTAAATAGTCTTAGAAGAGTACTGATACCCTATAATTTATGTTATTAAATTGTATTTGATTGTTGCTGATAACCTGAAATTTATGTTAATAAATTGTCTTGGAAGGGTGTTGATACCTTTTAAATTATTTTGATAAATTGTCTTGAAAGGGTGTTGATACCCTGTAGTCTATGTTGCTAAATTGTCTTGAAAGAGTACTGATTCCCTGTAATTTATTTTGATAAATTGTCTTGGAAGGGTGTTGATACCTTTTAAATTATTTTGATAAATTGTCTTGGAAGGGTACTGATACCCTGTAATTGATGTTGATAAATTGTCTTCGAAGGGTGTTGATACCTTATAAATTAAGTTGATAAATTGTCTTGGTAAGGTACTGAAACCCTGTAATTGATGTTGATGAATTGTCTTGGAGGGGTGATGATACCCCGTAATTTATGTTAATAAATTGTCTTAGTAGGGTGTTGATACCCTGTAATTTATCTTGATCAAATGTCTTCGAAAGGTGTTGATACCCTGTAATTTATGTTGATAAATTGTCTTGGAAGGGTGTTGATTCCCTGTAATTTTTGTTAATAAATTGTCTTGGAAGAGTACTGATACCCTGTAATTTATGTTGATAAATTATCTTCGAAAAGTGTTGATACCCTGTAATTTTTGTTGCTAAATTGGCTTGAAAGAGTACTGATACCCCGTAATTTATGCTAATAAATTGTCTTAGTAGGGTGTTGATACCTTTTAAATTATGTTGATAAATTGTCTTGGAAAGGTGCTGATACCCTGTAATATATGTTGATAAATTGTCTTGGAAGGGTGCTGATATCCTATAATCTATGTTAATAAATTGTTTTGGAAAGGTGTTTAGAAGTAATAATTAATATTGATGATTTATCTTGCAAGGATACTAATAACAGCCTGTAATAAAGAAATACTATTTGATAAATTTGATTGGAATAGTTTTGTTACAGATTAACGATTTGATAAGAAAATCAAAATGATTTCAAATTTCGCCGAGAGTGTAATTGATAGCTTACCGTCTTTTTTGAACGGGGACTGTATCATATGTCCCTATCTTTAAAAATAAAAATGGTTCATATGTAGATGTAGATAATTCTAAAAAGGTTAATTTTCAGCAACATTAGTAATTACGTGTCACTGGGGAAAGTTTGTTCACAAAATTTTCATTTACATATTATAATTGCATTTATAAAAAAGATTTAAAATTTTAGTCATCTCAAAATATTTTATGGTCTAAGGGAGGCAATCCTGGTAATCCAGCTAATTGAACGCTAGATGGCAGTAATGTTTGTTATTATTTCCGGTGTTGTCTGCTCTAGCCGTCATATCTATATTTATTGGCATAGTAAGCGGTTTTGTAATTTGTTTTATAATGACAGTACAATAACAGAGTTCTAACAGACAGTATGAAGAGATCTTGACCATATGCCAATATGACAACCTTTGAAAAGAGCAATTTGTCCCGGGTTTCGTGGCCGACGTGGACGGAGAGTTACTTCAGAAGAGAAACCGGCCCTCCCAAATGTGAAGTGCAAGGTACATGTAGATAGACGTAGGTCAGACGTTATTGTTGAAATGGATGTAAAGAGTTCATTTCATTCATTAATTTATTGATGAATTACATAATATGTATATCATGTTTTAGCATAGTACTTGCACGAGTACTTGCACGGCTACTTGCACGAGTCCAAGATAAAATTAACAACTTTCGGTTTCAACAGTTTTTCCTGTTCATATGCAAATTTGAACATGTCGATTCTTGTTCTCTCAGTTTCGATTCCATTTGTTTTTAGCTCATCGGGCCTAAATTTGTGCCACTAATGTTTCTATCGTATGGAAATGGTATTTTACAAGTAAAAGGAGCAGGTCGCTGTGGTTTAGATATACAATAGTGTAAAATCCGGTCTCTGTCACTCAGCTGATGGAGCACGCTTCTTTGGCTCAGTTGGTAGAGCCGGTCGATTATCATGCCAAGACGCAGGTTCGATTCTTGGTCAGGGCATTTGATGGGAATACGTATTTCCCTCTTCTTCTACACAACAATACCTATAGCAGACAAAAACAGTGCTGTTATTGAATCTTGTCATCAAAATGATATTTCTAATTTGAAAAAGTGGTGTGAAGCAAATAATATGGATATTGATACAGATAAAAATATCAGTGTAGTTAGCAGGCAGCAAAGAGAAAAACGGAGAGTGTCAAGTGAACTCTCATTATTATTTGTAATGAATCAGTGATGAAATTGTAAAGCATTAATAATTACTAGGTGTGTATATTGATGATACTCATACCAGGTAAGGTTACAAGCCCAACATCTTTTCATAAAAGTCAGTTTCAAAATATTTAAATTATGTCATACCAAGAAATTTTTAACCGTGTCTTAATGAATCACTCATTGAAATGCTTAATGTTAGAATTATTACATTTAGCTTTCTTATTACAATGTGAGGTGCATTGCATTCTTATTTAAGTTGAATTACACAATGCAATGGACACAATGAATTTGTAACTTTTCCCCTGTTTGTATTTCAAATGTTAAAATTTCACAGTTACATATATTAATATGAACATTGTAGATGGACACATGTATTTATTGTCTAGTGATTTTCTTTTCATTGTTTACAAACCAGAAAATCTTTCAGAGAAGAAAACCATGAATTCCAAAATATTCAGACGTCTGACTGTTGTGCTGGAGTTCAACTCTACAATGCCCTTCAAGGAAAAAGCCAGGTGGCGAAAGAAAATCACGGACAATGGTGGCACTGTGTCTTATATCATCACAAAGAAGGTAGAGTATTAGATTCTACAGATGTGGGATTAGAATGGTATCTGTGTTGATGGGTGAAAAGGCGCCTCATCTGTTATAAGAAACAAAACACACGGTTAAGTGATCTGAAATTTTCATGCATTTAGTTACTGTTGTGTCCTAGAGGCAAAATTACCTGTACTATAATAAAGATGCATATATGATTTTTTTTAAAGAAATCAAAAGTATTTGTATTGTTATTGGCGTAATCAACTACATATTGTAGTATATAACATATTGTTATCAGGCTGGGATACTTTTTTCAAACGTCAGAATGTTTTAATCTACATTGTGTTACAGTGGTCATTATTTAATCCAATGCCTTCTTTAAGATTTAAACCCAGGGCCTTTGGTTTATAGGTTAGCTGCTGAATTAGTTGAGCTAAAGAGAAGTTCTCTTTAGCCGAGTGGTATATTGTGATCAGTTTTTTACCAGGGTTACATATATACTTCTCCTCCAGAAAATAACTCATCCCTGAGTTTCCAGGGGTTACAGCAATGCTTATGATAGTAATGGTCAGTATTATTCTTAAAACCCTACAAAGACCTGGACCTCTGGCTTACTATTCTGATGCTTAACTGATTGAATTAAAGAGGCTTTCTCACTAGCCTAGTGGTACCGTATATGGTGGCTAGTATTTCACCAGGGTTGCAACAGTTTTCTATGTGTTCAACATAATTCTAAGCCTTTCACATTGGCCTTTTGTATTTGATTTTCAGATATCCTGCTTGATTCTGTTTAATGACATGTTAGAGAAGACTACTTACAAAGTTCGTCAGGCAAGACGCAATGGAGTGCCAGTGCTAAGGGCAGAGTTCATTGATGATAGTCTGCAGCAGCAACAGAAACTCGCCATGAGCCCTTACCTTGCTGGGGAGGCAATGGATGGCAAGAATTTTCAGAAAGGAAAAATCTTGAGTACAAGTAATTTAATTCTTTATGTTAGTTATCACATAGATCTCATCAGTTAGTTTACTGCTTTGCATACAAATATTTCATCATTTCTTTCATTTTCAAAAGCAAATTCCATTGAAATGATGACAACTTTATGGTTAGATATCTAAATTAAACAAAATATGTTCCTGGTAAATATTTAGATTGTATTCCTTTTTTTTACCTTTATTAATTTCAGTTGTTTTTAGATGGTAGTATTGATGAACATTGTGGTATCTGACAATTGAATTTGTCAGTTTACTTCTGTTCTTACCTAGCTCCCTTAGGCAGATTAAATGACATGTTATCTAGCTATTTTGTATTTTTTTTGTACTCTGGCATCGCTATAACTTTAATTTTGATTGTTTACATTTGTAATTTGGTTTGGAATTAACAGCTGTGCATCAGGGAATGGTAAAAAAGAAGAAAAAGAAGATACATCTGAACCTGAACAGTACAGAGTGCTGGCCCCTTGGGGACCCTGATAGTCCCGAGTACAATGAGCAAGAATATGTAGTAGCCAAATGGGTGGTGCTTAAGGTAGGTCAACTGTGTCATGTTATCGTTTTTACATAATTTTGTTTTGTATTTCCAAGTCTGCATGGCACAATATGAGAGCTTTAGAAAACTATTAAGATATATATTTTTGCATAACAGACTTAAAGTTTGTTAAAGGTTAAAGTTTGATAATTTATCTAAATTATGAACTGATGAAAGTTGATATCAATGCTGTATTTAGATACTGGAAGGATAATCACAAGTTGAAATCCACTGTAATGATGATGAAGTTGGATGGGGATCAGCAACACTGTAATCATACAATGACCATGTGTATTTGTACCTTAGAGAGACAGTGTCTGATGTTGTCAAGTTATTAATTGTTTCATGGGTTCTGTTTTTACAGTCCAAAGACACTGTCCAGATCCTGGAGATACATGCAAGTCAATGTGATGTTCATCTTCCCTTCAGGCTGTACTCCCAGACCGGATCACTGACAGATGAATTGGTATGGTTAGTCAACACTGATGGGTCTCGGCCCACTGGTTTTGATGATAATGGCTGTAGTTACATTTAACAGTCTTTCAAAATGAAATAGAATGGCCAGTTCATCTACCATCAATTACATTATGCTAGAATCACTTGCAGTACCAAAAGAACTGATACATATATATGTTTTATGATATTTTCTACATTATGTAGTTATGAAGCTGAAGACGGCAATCATTATACAGACATCATTAGGAAACAGCATTGTATACAAGTTGAAATTATGTAATATTTAATCAAAACAGAAATTACAATTAGCTCACCATTGGTGTTCATAATGGTAACAGTATTTTTTCATTTAATTTGAAAAAAATCTATCACAAAAGAATGAGTATATTAATGTATAGGGTATTGTTTACATATATATATATATCAGTGTTTTACACTTTTACAGACTGGTGACAACAAAGACACCCCTGTAGCCTGGTACATGCACACTTCCAATGAAGTCATCAGTGGATATGAGCAGTTGTACCAACGATATACCTCCCATCCCTACAACATGTCAACATGGGATAACCCTGTGCTTGCCAACAGTGCCTTGGGATCTACCAAACTCAGAATGGTAGGGACAATGTCATCATAAAAATTTTATCTTAATTCATACATGAAGCATATACTTGTGAACATTTCTTTTTGCTTCAAAACTGTTTAGTAATTCATTTACATGATGGTTCATGATATTATTTTTTACCACACAACTGATATCTTTTCTGATGAATATTGACATGTACGTGTATATATGCTGCTACTCTGAAGTTTTTCTTTTGCTACTTATCATGTTACAAACAATGGACAAATCATATTGGTTTATGAAATAACACCAGTCCTTGATCTTTGACATTTTAGACATGGATAAAATTTCAATACTTAACTGTACGATATATCTATAGTAACTATAACCAGTAACCTAGATATCTATGTGATAACTATAAAAAAAAGATGAAATATCTCTGTTGTAACTAAGAAGTAGCTAAGATGTATCTATGGTAACTATAACCAGTAACCTAGATATATATATGATAACTATAAAAAGAAGATGAAATATCTCTGTTGTAACTAAGAAGTAGCTAATATGTATCTATGGTAACTATAACCAGTAACCTAGATATATATATGATAACTATAAAAAGTAGATAAAATATCTCTGTTGTAACTAAGAAGTAGCTAAGATGTATCTATGGTAACTATAACCAGTAACCTAGATATATATATGATAACTATAAAAAGTAGATAAAATATCTCTGTTGTAACTAAGAAGTAGCTAAGATGTATCTATGGTAACTGTAACAAGTAACTAAGATTTCTCTATACAAACTATAACAAGAAGATATCTCTATGGTAACTAACCAGTTGCTAAAATCTCCATGTTAACTTACCATTGACTAAAACATTGCTGATGTTCATGAATGAAATAGAATTATTTAGAAAGAAAAGAGTATAAAAACATTCAGTGTGGTACCTCATAAATGACAGGATGTTTTCTGCACCAAAGGTGTGTGTACTTTATAAATAAATGTATTTGTCACAGCTTTTGGGCGAGTTGTGTATCCTGACAGCGGAAGTCAGTCCAGATGTCGGACAGCTGGTGGAACTGGTGTGGGCAGAGGCAAGTCATGAGGCAGAGATGCAACTGGATATGAAACTCCAGCACATCAAACAGGACAAGGTAATGTGTTTGTTAAATCATATCTTGATTAATAGATTTAAATAAACAGCATAAAATCTTTAGTAAACCTTAGTCAATGACAAAAGGTCAGCAGCAAACTTGTACGTAGGTCACTGTGACCCAATCAACACAGATTTCCTGTGCCTTGATGTACCCATAATTTTCATTTGAAAAAATGTAATGATAAACACCAACTTTGAAATTCAAAGATCAAAGCAAATGTGTATATCAACTAATTCTATGAAAAAATCAATTTGCTATGATTTTTAATGTAGTTTGGTAAACTAATAATAATAAAGCTAAATAAATCTATAATATACTATGTCAGGTTGATGAAGCAGAGGCTGTACTATCACAACTTAAGACAGCTGTAACAGAAGCAGCAGACAACACTGTAATCAGTGATTTGCTGGAGGAATTCTACACTGCCATGCCACATAAAGACGGATTCAAAAAAGATACAATGTCACTTAAGGATATCTCTACTAAACAGGACCTGTGTCAGGTGAGTGATAATTGTGTACCTATTGTCACACAGAGACTAATGTGTTGATGTACAATTAGGATCAACGTGACATTATAATGAGTTTCCATGATAAATCTATATAACTGTCTTCTGAACAATGGTTTCTCTGAACATCTAGGTTGACAGAATGTTTTTCTTTGCTTGTCTGTGGGGGTTTATTGCCTCCCCAACAGCCAGAGTCATTTGAGACAGGCTGTCTTTTAAGGACCTGGTGACTACCTATCCAGGAAACTGGGATCACAGTCCATCCAGGAAACTGTGATCACAGTCCGTCCAGGAAACTGTGATCACAGTCCGTCCAGGAAACTGAGGTCACAGTCCATCCAGGAAACTGAGATAACAGTCCGTCCAGGAAACTGAGATAACAGTCCATCCAGGAAACTGAGATCACAGTCCGTCCAGGAAACTGAGATCACTGTCCTTCCAGGAAACTGAGATCACAGTCTATCCAGGAAACTGAGATCACTGTCCGTCCAGGAAACTGAGATCACTGTCCGTCCAGGAAACTGAGATCACAGTCCATCCAGGAAACTGAGGTCACAGTCCATCCAGGAAACTGAGATCACAGTCCGTCCAGGAAACTGAGATCACTGTCCGTCCAGGAAACTGAGATCACAGTCCGTCCAGGAAACTGTGATCACAGTCCGTCCAGGAAACTGTGATCACAGTCCGTCCAGGAAACTGTGATCACAGTCCGTCCAGGAAACTGAGATCACAGTCCGTCCAGGAACTTGTGATCTTATTTTCCTGGATGGACTTTGTTTATCAGTTTCCTGAGAAACACAAATCTGTTCCAGGTAGGGTTCAAACCATACACTTCCAATCTTCATCTGAGCTTGAAATTCTGATGCTATCATAGGCCTCTACTGTAGATATGCATTGTTGTGGGGAAAAGGGTTTGGCCCTTCTTGGTGCAATTGGGCTGCTGGAAAAGGGAAAGAAGTCATATCCTGAACAAAATCAGTACACAAGTGATGATTTCAATAAATTCTGTTTAAGCCTTTGTCTGAGATTGACGCTGACATATTCTTCTCCATTTTGCAGTCTTATACACACATAAAAGGTGGAATTTTTTCTTTGTCCCCAGCTTGTAAATGACATCTTGGGCGTGAGTGAGGCCACAGACTGGTCCAGTGAGGCAACAACCTATGCAAAATATAGAGCTCTTCGATGTCATGTGACCTGCCTCGACAAAGCATCAAAGGAATTTCAACACATATCAGAAATGGTGACAGAGACATCAGAAAGGTAAGGTGGTTCTTGAATGAAGCAAGGACAATGAAAATCATTCTAGGGCACTTTAAGGTGACAAAGCAATGCTTATTATGTACACAGAGATGATAATTACAGAGCAGTTGTTTAATGCCAGATGATTACAGTAGTTAAAATTTTACATTGTGTGACCAAATTTTCTTTGCTCCTCGTTCTGTTTGACTTATGCAATTTGATAACTTGCATCTGAAAGTATTGATTTTAACAAGTACCACTGTAACAGTGTATTTCAAGCCATGTATTTGTGACAGAATTACAAAATATTTTTCCACAATGCGATTCATACAGAAACAATTCTCACTGCTTCTCTCCTGTATATGTCAGGAAAGACCTGTTTAATGGATGTGTCTTTTTAGTACTGAATTAGTCTTGTCTCCACAGTGTTGAGGTGAGGAACATCTACAGCGTTAGTCGCTTTCTGGAGGAGCTGGAATTTCAGTCTGATATTGGAAATGTGACATCACTGATGCATGCTTCCTCTACACATAACTTCCTTGGCATCATGTCCCGGTGAGTTCTGTTTCCTTCCATTGATAAAGTTGTACTCTCAAAGGGAATATATAATGGAAACAGTTAAAAGGTTGATACTCTATACACTGATGGCATTGGTCTAACAGTTGCATTTTGACCGGACTAGGCCATCAAGATTGACGGAAACTCCTTCAGCATGACTGTTGATGCTGCCTTTCCTGGGAGTCTGTTTCATTCCTTGGCAGGTCTTGGGAATACTGAGTAATGATATGATTCTTTGTTGTATTTTTCCTGTCACAGTTTCAGTTTTTCTGTGTTCTTGTGTCTCCTGCCTGATACTACTGGTTTGTGTCCACAATAACAAGTTAGTTCTTGATCTCATATCATATAGTGAGTCGTAGCTTTGCTCGTCAAGTGATACCCATCTTTGTTGTTTGAGTATGGCTGTCGCACATTCTAGTGTCCTAGTGTTAATAAAAACACAGCAAGCAGCCCTACACTGAATTTTTTCAAGCTCGACAGTGATTGCAGCTTGGTTGGAATCCCAAACGGGTGCAACTTACACCAAGGTCAGTCTAACATGGATACAGTACATGGTGTCCTAGACTTGGCGGTTGTACAAATAGATGTTCCTTGGGATGAAGCAAAGCTTTGTTTTTGACCTTTCTGTCTTCTTTATGTATGTGTTTGCTCCATGTTACATCCTTATGTAGGTTCTTGTTAATGAGAACACCCAGGTATTTCCCATTGTCTACAACTTCTAACCTTATGTCTGATGATGATAATTCTGGCAAAAGCTAAGTTGATGTAGTTGATGGTATGTCTTATTTTATCATTCAATGTGGATAGTTTTACATTTCTACAATTTTATTCTTGATTGTAGAATAAAAATGCGGTTTTGATTTTATTTATTATTATTATTTTTGTTAATATCCAGTGGTTTATTGAAACCCAACTTCGTGGAAAGCTCCTACGGAGTGACCCGGACAGACAGAGGCTTGCTGGGACATGGAATCTATTTTTCTGATTCTGCAAGGTAAAAAAAAAATCAATTATAAATTGGTTTTAAGAAATAAATAAATCAATTTCTTTTAAGAAGAATCCCAGCCATAAAGATAAAATTTGGAGTAATTTTTGTGATGAATTTTGATATGTGTCAAATCTAGAATCTTCTTAACCTTGTATTTTTAAGGCCTGTGCTCCTTTAATCAGTTTTATCAATGTAGTATTCTGTTTCCAGCAAATGTATCAAGTATTCAGCTCCAAGTTCTGTGTACGGATGTCGCCTCCTCCTGGTCTGTGATGTGGCACTGGGACGACAGTGTCCCTATACAACTACGGACTCCTCCCTCACAGCACCTCCCAATGGTTACCATAGCACCCATGGGGTTAAAAGGTCATCAGAGATCAACAGTCATTTTGAGGTTAGCAGGCTTTGTTTGTCATAAATGGACTCTCAGTCTTGGTTAGATGAATTACCTTTGACCATCTTTGTTCCTCAGTTGCTTTGCCCTGCCCCAAAGATCTATTCATTTACAAGGACAAAATGGTTCTGTTACATTTTAAATGTTACCATTTTAGGTGAAAACATTTTGATGCACCTGCACATGTTTAGAGGATCCTCCATGGTATCTGATAAAGTAAAGTAGAATGAAAATAAGATCAGCAGTCACAGCCCTGATCCAGTCTGTCACAACTATAAATGGAAACAATCTTATAGTCATTGATTTATCTATCTTTATAGTTTGTTGATAACATTGTACTATGCATTGATGTCATGTGACCTTTGACCTCCATTATATGACCTTGAATATTTTACCTTAATGCTTCAACCAGGAGCAGTTTGAAGCTTCAATTATTAAAGTATGTGTCAGAGTTAGCTTTTATTTTAGATTTTCCCAGGAACCTGTTTATTAATATTTGACAGTATTTTTAAATGTTTTGCCTTTGTTTGTTTACCTGCAGTTTTGTTGAAATATTGTCCTTAAATTTCTGGCACTTTGTTCTTGATCAGGACAATGAATATGTGGTGTACAGCCCACGGCAGCAGAGGATACGATATGTAGTGGAGTTTTGTCTCCCTGAGGATCCTGTGCTGTCTTTTCCCTCCCTTACGCTACAATGTGACAAAGATACAGAAGATGACCATCTCTCTCAAAACCTCGCTAATGTTGGTAAGCATTTCTTAACTTTGCTGGTCTGTATTATTGTCATTGTGGACATCAGGTACAGTGTGTCATGTACCTATTTCAGGAAGGAAAGGTTGTGTCACTGTTTAACAACAAACTCAAAATTCAACCCAACTTTAACCTAACATCTCCATTTTTGCAGATACCAGACTGAAACTTCACATAATGCAATTATAAGATGATTCGTTACTTTGCCTGCAATTTGCTGACTAATTAGTACTACGCACTGTAATACTTAAGAAAATCTGTTCAAAAGAAAGTTTCCAGACTGTAAATGGATGTCTACTAGATCAGTTCACAATAGTAGGAACTAGCTTCATTGTCTAATATCTTCAATATGTTCCATTACATACAAAGGAAAAACATGCAGAATGGAAGTTGTACACTATATCCTGATAGTAAGGGAGACTATTATCATTTAATATAACTATGCTGAAGATTTACGTTTAATTAAAATTTCTCGAGAACAAGTAAAAATAATGGCTTTCTTTAAGGAAGAACCTGTTAAGTCTACAAACAACTTGAAAAGATTTTAATGATATTAATTTTCTCATTTTCATTGTTATATATGTTTTTTGTTGATAATTTTTTTTAGACCTGTCAGATGTGAAAGGCATTCCAGATCCACTCCAAAAAGTCACAGGTGGCTTGATAGGTGGTAAAAAGTCTGTACCTCTGAAGAGTGTCCATGTCAGGGCCAGAATGCTGGACATGGTCGCCAAGGTCAGTGTTGTAGAATTTACAAGAGAGTTAGATGAGATACTTAAAACTAATTGTTTTACTGTGATCTACATTATATTGTCTCTTTATGATATGTGTGTCATCTGTAACATTAGGTAACGGAATATACTGACCAGAGAAACTTTGTCTGTAGGTGGTCGTGCTCCAGAAATATAGAAACGACAATGATTCAGCAATAGAAGCCAAGTACATCTTCCCCCTGGACGACACAGCAGTCGTTTGTGGCTTTGAAGCATTCATCAATGGAAAACACATTGTTGGTGAGATCACTATTGGGTTTGTTTGTAAATAAAATGGTTTTCTTACAGAAGTTAAACACTTGCTTTCTAATACATGTATCTCATTGAAAATGATTTATTGATTTGTGTCATTAAACAGATATTTACCTTGACCATAACTAATTAAATTCATATGTTTTTCGCATGTAAATGGATAAAGAATTAAATGGGTTCCAGTTGGCAAAATTTGTTACTTTTATAACAAAGTAAGGATTTATCCTCAACCTTTTTGTCCATATGTGTATATATATTAGTCAAATTGTAATTTGGACACAACGCTTTGAAAAGTAGAGAATTGTTTGTAATTATTCATGGCTTTACAACATTATGTCATTCATGACAGCATGTTTTACCACAGTTATCTAGCAAAAAGCTCTTGCCTTGTGATAAGCCCAGTCATGTCTAATTTTGCTCTATACCATTGCAAAGAAATGTTGGTTTTTTTATTGTCATGAGAATGTTCATCTGCAGGACTCACATATTGTATAATCAGAATAGTTATGATACATGCCTGAATAGGTCGATTTTGAGGTGAAAAAGAGTTCTTTCCAAAATCAGAGCAATCAACTGTCATCAGGGGCTGGTGGTATCCAACAGAATAAATATGATATGTCACAAATGAGAAATTTTATTTGAGGTACCATTTGACTATGGCTATACATTGGTAAATCTATTGTCAGGTGAGGTTAAAGAGAAGAAGGCCGCCCACAAGGAGTACAAAGAAGCTATCAGTAAAGGACATGGTGCTTACCTCATGGACGAGGAAGAGCCAGTAAGTTGATATATCACATTTAAGTTGATTGATCCAGCTGTTTTCTCAGCAAGAGGAGCTTGACAGTGAAAGAAAAAGAAAATGTTCTGCTTCACATTCAACAGGTTGATAGATTATCATGACTTGACAATGAAAAATTTGTGACTTGTTTCTTGTGTACAATGAGATATTTTGAGGTGTGATGTAGATTCCAATTATGATACAATTGCAAAAAGAAAAGAAAACAGAATCAAATACATGGAATATTCCTTTATAACACTTTTTTATTGGCAGTTCAGTTTTGAGACCAGACTATGGGAAAATATTGACATACGTCCATTTAGCCTGAAAGTAGTTGACGGATGCTTCCCAAAATTAGTATTAACATTTCTCTGGTTGAACTATGTAATCACATGCTTCATTCAATAGTTATACTCTGAGGCTGTGATTTTTGTAGGATTGTTTAAGGCAAGTTCAGAACACCATTTCCGAACTTTAGGTTGGTCTTAATAGTAAGAGATATAGTGGGATATCAAAATTTGAGCTGATTCTAGAGGAAAAAACAGGACTCAATATCCTAAAAAATCATGGATAAAACTGTGTATAGAAGAAAGAGTAGGGAAAGCATCAATCTTATATAGAACCAATAAGTAGAAGTTAAATTCTATACTCTATAATCTCTGTTTAGCTTAAAGTAGAGATCTTTCAGTTGGCTGTTTTTTGTCCTCAATAGGTTGTACTTCATCTTTTATTATGCTGACTCATTGTTTTCAGTACTCCATATCTTCAGTAGATTGACTCCTTGTCTTCAGTAGAATGACTCCTTGTCTTCAGTAGATTGACTCCTTGTCTTCAGTAGAATGACTCCTTGTCTTCACTAGAATGACTCCTTGTCTTCAGTAGAATGACTCCTTGTCTTCAGTAGATTGAGTTCTTGCCTGCAGTAGATTGACTCCTTGTCTTCAGTAGATTGCCTCCTTGTCTTCAGTAGAATGACTCCTTGTCTTCACTAGAATGACTCCTTGTCTTCAGTAGAATGACTCCTTGTCTTCAGTAGATTGAGTTCTTGCCTGCAGTAGAATGACTCCTTGTCTTCAGTAGATTGACTCCTTGTCTTCAGTAGATTGAGTTCTTGCCTGCAGTGGAATGACTCCTTGTCTTCAGTAGATTGAGTTCTTGCCTGCAGTAGAATGACTCCTTGTCTTCAGTAGACTGAGTTCTTGCCTGCAGTAGAATGACTCCTTGTCTTCAGTAGAATGACTCCTTGTCTTCACTAGAATGACTCCTTGTCTTCAGTAGAATGACTCTTTGTCTTCAGTAGATTGAGTTCTTGCCTGCAGTAGAATGACTCCTTGTCTTCAGTAGATTGAGTTCTTGCCTGCAGTAGAATGACTCCTTGCCTGCAGTAGAATGACTCCTTGTCTTCAGTAGAATGACTCCTTGCCTGCAGTAGATTGAGGTCTTGCCTGCAGTAGAATGACTCCTTGTCTTCAGTAGAATGACTCCTTGTCTTCAGTAGATTGAGTTCTTGCCTGCAATAGATTGACTCCTTGTCTTCAGTAGATTGCCTCCTTGTCTTCAGTAGAATGACTCCTTGTCTTCATTAGAATGACTCCTTGTCTTCAGTAGAATGACTCCTTGTCTTCAGTAGATTGAGTTCTTGCCTGCAGTAGAATGACTCCTTGTCTTCAGTAGATTGAGTTCTTGCCTGCAGTAGATTGCCTCCTTGTCTTCAGTAGAATGACTCCTTGTCTTCAGTAGATTGAGTTCTTGTCTGCAGTAGAATGACTCCTTGTCTTCAGTAGATTGAGTTCTTGCCTGCAGTAGAATGACTCCTTGTCTTCAGTAGATTGAGTTCTTGCCTGCAGTAGAATGACTCCTTGTCTTCAGTAGATTGAGTTCTTGCCTGCAGTAGAATGACTCCTTGTCTTCAGTAGATTGAGTTCTTGCCTGCAGTAGAATGACTCCTTGTCTTCAGTAGATTGAGTTCTTGCCTGCAGTAGAATGACTCCTTGTCTTCAGTAGATTGTGTTCTTGCCTGCAGTAGAATGACTCCTTGTCTTCAGTAGATTGCCTCCTTGTCTTCAGTAGAATGACTCCTTGTCTTCACTAGAATGACTCCTTGTCTTCAGTAGAATGACTCATTGTCTTCAGTAGAATGACTCCTTGTCTTCAGTAGATTGAGTTCTTGCCTGCAGTAGAATGACTCCTTGTCTTCAGTAGAATGACTCCTTGCCTGCAGTAGATTGAGTTCTTGCCTGCAGTAGAATGACTCCTTGTCTTCAGTAGATTGAGTTCTTGCCTGCAGTAGAATGACTCCTTGTCTTCAGTAGATTGAGTTCTTGCCTGCAGTAGAATGACTCCTTGTCTTCAGTAGATTGAGTTCTTGCCTGCAGTAGAATGACTCCTTGTCTTCAGTAGATTGTGTTCTTGCCTGCAGTAGAATGACTCCTTGTCTTCAGTAGATTGACTCCTTGTCTGCAGTAGATTGAGTTCTTGCCTGCAGTAGAATGACTCCTTGTCTTCAGTAGATTGCCTCCTTGTCTTCACTAGAATGACTCCTTGTCTTCAGTAGAATGACTCCTTGTCTTCAGTAGATTGCCTCCTTGTCTTCAGTAGAATGCCTCCTTGTCTTCACTAGAATGACTCCTTGTCTTCAGTAGAATGACTCATTGTCTTCAGTAGAATGACTCCTTGTCTTCAGTAGATTGAGTTCTTGCCTGCAGTAGAATGACTCCTTGTCTTCAGTAGAATGACTCCTTGCCTGCAGTAGATTGAGTTCTTGCCTGCAGTAGAATGACTCCTTGTCTTCAGTAGAATGACTCCTTGTCTTCAGTAGATTGAGTTCTTGCCTGCAGTGGAATGACTCCTTGTCTTCAGTAGATTGAGTTCTTGCCTGCAGTAGAATGACTCCTTGTCTTCAGTAGAATGACTCCTTGTCTTCAGTAGAATGACTCCTTGTCTTCAGTAGATTGAGTTCTTGCCTGCAGTAGAATGACTCCTTGTCTTCAGTAGATTGAGTTCTTGCCTGCAGTAGAATGACTCCTTGTCTTCAGTAGACTGAGTTCTTGCCTGCAGTAGAATGACTCCTTGTCTTCAGTAGAATGACTCCTTGTCTTCACTAGAATGACTCCTTGTCTTCAGTAGAATGACTCCTTGTCTTCAGTAGATTGAGTTCTTGCCTGCAGTAGAATGACTCCTTGTCTTCAGTAGATTGAGTTCTTGCCTGCAGTAGAATGACTCCTTGCCTGCAGTAGAATGACTCCTTGTCTTCAGTAGAATGACTCCTTGCCTGCAGTAGATTGAGGTCTTGCCTGCAGTAGAATGACTCCTTGTCTTCAGTAGAATGACTCCTTGTCTTCAGTAGATTGAGTTCTTTATTGCAGTGGAATGACTCCTTGTCTTCAGTAGATTGAGTTCTTGCCTGCAGTAGAATGACTCCTTGTCTTCAGTAGATTGCCTCCTTGTCTTCAGTAGAATGACTCCTTGTCTTCAGTAGATTGCCTCCTTGTCTTCAGTAGAATGACTCCTTGTCTTCACTAGAATGACTCCTTGTCTTCAGTAGAATGACTCCTTGTCTTCAGTAGATTGAGTTTTTGCCTGCAGTAGAATGACTCCTTGTCTTCAGTAGATTGAGTTCTTGCCTGCAGTAGAATGACTCCTTGTCTTCATGAGATTGAGTTCTTGCCTGCAGTAGAATGACTCCTTGTCTTCATGAGATTGAGTTCTTGCCTGCAGTAGAATGACTCCTTGTCTTCAGTAGATTGACTCCTTGTCTTCAGTAGATTGAGTTCTTGCCTGCAGTGGAATGACTCCTTGTCTTCAGTAGATTGAGTTCTTGCCTGCAGTAGAATGACTCCTTGTCTTCAGTAGAATGACTCCTTGTCTTCAGTAGATTGATTTCTTGCCTGCAGTAGAATGACTCCTTGTCTTCAGTAGATTGAGTTCTTGCCTGCAGTAGAATGACTCCTTGTCTTCAGTAGATTGAGTTCTTGCCTGCAGTGGAATGACTCCTTGTCTTCAGTAGATTGAGTTCTTGCCTGCAGTAGAATGACTCCTTGTCTTCAGTAGATTGCCTCCTTGTCTTCAGTAGAATGACTCCTTGTCTTCAGTAGATTGCCTCCTTGTCTTCAGTAGAATGACTCCTTGTCTTCACTAGAATGACTCCTTGTCTTCAGTAGAATGACTCCTTGTCTTCAGTAGATTGAGTTCTTGCCTGCAGTGGAATGACTCCTTGTCTTCAGTAGATTGAGTTCTTGCCTGCAGTAGAATGACTCCTTGTCTTCAGTAGATTGAGTTCTTGCCTGCAGTAGAATGACTCCTTGTCTTCAGTAGATTGAGTTCTTGCCTGCAGTAGAATGACTCCTTGTCTTCAGTAGATTGAGTTCTTGCCTGCAGTAAATTGACTCCTTGTCTTCAGTAGAATGACTCCTTGTCTTCACTAGAATGACTCCTTGTCTTCAGTAGAATGACTCCTTGTCTTCAGTAGATTGAGTTCTTGCCTTCAGTAGAATGACTCCTTGTCTTCAGTAGATTGAGTTCTTGCCTGCAGTAAATTGACTCCTTGTCTTCATGACATTGACTTTTTGTCCAACAGGATGTTTTTACAGTCAGTGTTGGTAACCTGCCACCAAAATCTGATGTACTGATCAAGATTACCTACATCACAGAACTGCAGGTAGAGGGGGAAAGTATTGCTTTCAGAGTGCCTTCCTCAGTTGCTCCCTGGGTCAAGGACACAGCACTGGCACAGGCAACTCAGGTAAGTCATTGCCTTGTCTGGTTACACATTATTATAGTTTCTTGTCTTAATTCTGCATCTTACATTTTAAGTCACTTTTCATGAATTTTAGCATGTATGTATTAAATGATACCTGTATATCCCCAACACTTATTTTATTGATATATGGTTTAGCTATTAGTCTATTACAGACAAGACCTGGGCTTTGATTTTGGCATGAGTACTTCAGTCTGAGATAAGTTTTATTAACTCAAGGTTTCAAAACTATTGATACTGTTTCTTTTACTCAAAAGTTTGACCTTGACATGCTGAGGATCCAGGATGGTGACAGATCATCCCTATCACTGCAGGTTTCTGTGGAGATGCCTTTTGATATTCGCAGTGTGATGTCCCCTACACATCAAGTTAAATATAAGGTATGTTATACTTATTTTTTATCAGGTGTTTTGCAGGTGTTATTATAGATACTTTTATAGTTATGGCTACTATTTTTTTTCGTTATAAATTGACTAAACCAAGCAATTTTGTCTACCCCGGTTAAGCTATAAGAATACCATGTACTAGATGTAATTGTGAAACCTTCGTTTTGTTTTGTTCGCTATTTTATAGAAAACAGCAACAAAGGCTGTGGTGGAGCTTCCAAAGAATGCCAGACTGGATGATGGATTTATTTTGCTGGTCAGTCTGTCTGAAATTCATGTTCCCCGCATGTGGGTGGAGAGACACCCTAGCAGGGCCACTCAGGTATGTCACATGCTTAAATTATCAGGGGAAAACCTGCACTGGACCAAGTCTATCTGAGACATTTACATTATCTTGAATGTTTTGTTCCATAAGATAATTTTCTACTTGGCATGAACTGAGCTAAAATACTGAAATCAAAAATTTATGTTAACTATGCTTAGGTGTATGTCCTTTTTAAAAATAAAAAGATTATCCCATCCAGTCATATCTGTTTCGATGCCATAGGAAAAATCATCAACTACCTATAAACATATTTGACATTAGAAAATTGTTCAGTATGCATGTACTCTTCTTGTCCTCTGGTGCAAGTTATGGTTAACTAGTAGTATGTCATAATTTGATTCAGTTGTTTGTCTGTCCTTCCATCCTGCAGCTACCTTGTCCAGTCTCTATTTCTTACACTACTTATCACTGGAACTTCATGCTGGATGCATTTGTTCATCCTGGTAATGTGGTGTGTTGAATATCAAAAGTTGGTCACTTAACTACATTTGAAACTTTGACCTACAGCAATGAAAAAGTTTGTCTGGGGTCTACCTCCTCTAATACTAGGCACTGGAGCTCCATACTTTGGGTATGGGTTCATATGGGTATGGGTGCATATTAGTGAGACTGTGTCAGTGGGGAATATTAATTCACAAAATTCTTTTGTTTAGATTGTTTTGCTTTTTAACCAGGCATGCATGTTGGCATTCTACCCGGAATTTGAGGCAGAATTTGAAGAGGACCCTGAGGTCATTTTTTTGTTGGACATGTCAAATTCTATGAAGGGACAGTCAACTCGAGATGCTAAAAAGGTCAGTGCCTTGGAGATACAAGATTAGACTCCAAAACTGAAATGAGTTGACATTTTTAAAATTAATTATATTAAAGGTCAGAATTTGTGTTCAAACAGATAAAAATAAATTATGGCAAAAGTTTTGATAAGAAAGACTGGAATGATTATATTACAGATAAGGATTATTTTAGCTTTCAGCTTTGTGATGTAGTTTTTGAAGTTATGCCAAATAATTTGTAGGTTAAAATACATCAATAACCCCACATAACAAAACTGGACACTTACTGTTTCAACAATTTTGATGTATAATGATAATGAGAAAATTACATTAAGCTCCACATATCCATGCTGCAATAAATGATTGTAAAATTTCATATAATTCAATATTAATTAAAAATGTTCAAAATATTGAGTGAAAATCTTTGATAATGAAGTATAGTTTGTGCTTGGAGAATTGGTGTTTGTTATGATATATGATAATTTAATTCACAGTTATTCCTCCTAGCTGTAGAGAAACTTCCAGAGAAAGCTCTTATCAATGTGCTTAGTTTTGGAACATCTTACACAGAGCTCTTCCCTGCACCTCAGAAAAAGACCAAACAGGCTGTACAAAAAGCCACAGAATTTATACAGGTAAAATTTCATACAAAAAGCCACAGAATTTATACAGGTAAAATTTCATACAAAAGTCACAGAATTTATACAGGTAAAATTTTAAACAAAAAGCCACAGAATTTATACAGGTAAAATTTCATACAAAAAGTCACAGAATTTATACAGGTAAAATTTCATACAAAAAGTCACAGAATTTATACAGGTAAAATTTCATACAAAAGCCACAGAATTTATACAGGTAAAATTTCATACAAAAGTCACAGAATTTATACAGGTAAAATTTTAAACAAAAAGTCACAGAATTTATACAGGTAAAAATTACTCAGAAAGTCACGGAATTTACACAGGTAAAATTTTATACAAAAGTCACAAAATTTATACAGGTAAAAAATTACCCAGAAAGTCATGAAATTCATAATTGTAAGATTTTATACAAATTCTCATAATTTAATCCTGTAATATTTTATACAGAAAGTCAACATAGAATTTATACTCTAAAGAAAGATTTCAAATGACTAATTATAGGCATAACTTTCAATCTTGGATTCCATGAGTGACATTTTAGAATTTTTAGTGCATCTTTTCAAACAATTTCACATGAAATGCTAAGCATATGAGTTGATGTTTTGTCAGTCCTTAGATGTGCGCTGTGTTGAATAATTTCTAATGGTCAAGGTCAAAGAAGTTCCAAGGGCAGAGCAGAAAAACACAATTAGCTATATATCATATACTTATCATATATACCAATGATAGAATTACATCTTATTTGTGTTTTGTATTTAGAGTGTACAACCACAAATGGGAGGGAGCAATGTCAATTATCCAGTGGAGTCCTTGTTTCTTCTAAGTCCAGCAGAGGGCAGTAGGAGTATCTTCCTCATCTCAGATGGTTACCTTAGCAACAGTGATGTGCTGTTGTCAACTGTTAGAAAAGGAAATGCCAAAAATAGAATTTTCACTATTGGTGTTGGGTAAATATAAAAAACCTGTTTTTAAGCAAATTTTTAAAAAAAGTAAATATTAACTATGGAAATTGATAAGTAATGTGTATGAAATGTTGACTTTGTCATTTATGATAATTGTGTAAGTGGGATACAGTTGCATTGTATTAAATTTAAATATAATTATTCTTAGCTATATATTAATGTATATGTTAATGAGTTTTGTGTGATTATAACATAATTTTCATACTAATATTTACTTGAAGAACAAATGTGAACCACCACTTGATGCGGCGCCTGGCATCACGCGGAGGTGGTACCTATTACCACTACAACTACAAGACACGCTCTGTTTGGGAGGCGAGGGTGAGTAAATCATCTCATTTCAATACCAATAAATCTTATTGTATTAGATTCAGATTAGATTCTTTTTTTTCATTTTCTCTATGAACACCAATAATTCTTTACTGTGTGACCTCCTTTTGTCCAAGACAAGTTTAACTTTTTAGCATGTGATGAAATTGTTAAAAACAAGAAAATTGGAGCTTTTATATTTTACAATCTGTTTAAGTGTTTTTGGGAATTCAGTTATTGAAACAATTTCATAATTATTCAATCATCATGAATTAAGACAGTGATATTGAAAACCGATTCTAGTGCAGAATTATATAGTCTTGTGTACATGTCACATAATTAGGTCGCTGTGAACACGTTGCTAAGCAGAAATTGTAAATGTTAGTTTGGAAGTTTAGAGGTACATAGAGTGGGTGTATAGTATTGGTGGTAAGTGAAATTAAGGAAATATCATTGTAATGTTGTACATGTCTGTTTCCTGTAAAATCCTAGTTATTTTTACATTGGTTCCAACACTGACAAATCTCGAATGAAATTGTGCCAGAAAATTGCAGAATTTTCACAAGAAAACATTGTGTTAAGCTTTACTCCAGCAATATCTTCTTACCTGGAAATGGTTACTGTGATCTGTTGATGATTTTCACCTTTTTAGATGACCTCACAAGTTCAGAGGGCATGTTGTCCAGGTATTTCTTGTGTAAAGGTTGAGTGGCAACAACACATGGACACACCTGATCAACCCCTACAGGCCCCTAATCACATCCCAAGTCTGTTCTCGGGGTCACGACAGGTCGTATACGGATTTGTACCGAACTGTACTCAGGTGAAAATTTATTCACAGTTTGTAAATATATTTTACTGGTTAGGGGATTAAATTGCAGTTGCTGTAACTTTCATTGTTGATGCTCAAATTCATGACTGCACTAATTTGCAAAATGTTTAGTAGTGATGGGTTAAAATTCCATTACGCCAAGTTAAATATGTTAACAGTATGTCACTTTTATGTTATTAATGGTGATCAACTCAAACAGTGAAAGCAAGAGCTGGTGAATAAAGGGTTATTGTCCTTAAATTTGTTATATTGGTCAACTTTTGGAGGGAGAAAGGCTAATGGTGTTAAATAAGTGTTACTCTTTTAATTTTCAAGACATTTTTTCCAGTTTTAACCCAGAAATGCATAAACACAACATCCCAAATTATGGGGGTTTCAATGGAAAAAGATATGTTTGTGTAAAACAACAATCAGCTTGTAATATAAACAAAATTAGATTATAGAATGTTGTTTCAGAGACGTAAAATTTGGTCTATACTTTGAACCAATTCTATATTATTCCATACAATCTGATTTACAGGCCTACTTGAAAGCCACAGTTGACAATATGGAGATTTCTACCATGGTAGCAACAACTGAACTTAACATCACACAAGGGGAGGTAAGCAGTGTCAACACTACACATAATCTTTCTGGCGATTGAGAGCACCCAAATAAAGCATCAGTGCTTTTTAGCTCACTTGGCCCTTACGATGTGGTACACTGTTAACTTTTCCCTTTTGTTTGATAACCAAAAGGCCTAGAATAAAGATTTTTGGCCATGAATGTAGCCCAACAGGATTTGTGGAAAGAAATTACTTTGACTCATATTCCAGGTCACTGGGGTCAAATATCTTAAAAACCTTCCAACAACTTCTTCTGATTAACTGAAAGTCCTAGAACCATGATAGTTGGTTGATAGGTTCCTTTGTTAAATCCCAATAAATTCTACAAAAGAATTGACTATGACCCATATTCATGGTCATAGGGGGCAAATTTGTCAATACTGTCAAATGATACTTCTTACTTAGAAAAAGCATAAAACTGTTATTGATATTTGGTTGATAGGTTCCTTTTTTGAAATTTATTAATGTGACCCATACCAAATTCAAGGTCACAGGGGTCAAGTATTTTGAATTCTACAAAAAAATTATTTATTACAAGGTTTGAAATTTGGATAAAATGGTTCCCTCATGAAGTTTACAAAAAAATTACCTTTCCCCATATCTGAGGCCACAAAGGATCAAATTTGTCAAAACCTTCAAACAACTTCATCTCAAGGCTTTGAATGCAAGCATAAGTATTTGCGAAGAGCATTGATTACCAGGTGAGCAATGCAACCCACACAGCCTCTTGTGAGTTAATATTTTCAAAATGAAAAAATACAATGATACAGTCAATTCATCTAACATGACATAACAAAGCCTATCACCATACACTAATTACATGTGCTAAGTTGATTGACATCATGACTCTTGCTGCCATTATTTAGAAGAAACAAACTCTGAAGTATGTTTATAAAGTCTCACCTCTGATTAGTTGTTTGTGTCTTCAGATGCTGCATCAGCTGACGGCTCGTGCACTGATCCGTGACTATGAGGATGGTATCCTAAGTGAAGACAAGATAAAACAGAGGGTAAGTACTCAGACATAGAATCACTTAGAATCATTATTATGGCAAACTTTTAGGAATTAATTGTGATCTTTCAAAAGGGTAATATTTTAGAGGACAAATTTCCGCAGAAGTATCAGGCAATTAACTTGTTCTCTTTAATTGATCTTTAGGAATCATCGATGAGGTAACAGCTACCAGGACATAGAGTTTTGTAACTGCATTTCAAATATTGACAGCTCTTGCTTGTCCAGAGATTAAAGATTAGTTGTAATTTAAATAGTTAATTAAAGAAAACTTTAAATGGGCTACTATAAAAACAGTAGCTTAAGATTCACAGATATCTTTTCTTATAGTAAAGCTTTGAAATTGATATCACCAAACAAATGTCTGAATGCTTACAATTATGCAGACTCGAAAATTGTTTGTAGAAGACAAGAATTATGGAAGGGAAAGGATTTGGACCTAAATGAAACAGGCTTCTCACAGATAGTGGAATAAGGAATATTTTTTAATGAAACAATGCAGATGTAGGGTTCAGTATATGAACACCCATATGTGGCCTTGAAGCATATTATCTTTCAGTCTTTCTAGTTCAATTCTAATGTAAAAATAAGAAGAAAACAGTTTTTTTCCCAAAAAAAGCTATGCTTTTACTTCTTTCAGTTATAAAGGATATCATATCATATATGGACGGGGAAATATTCTAATGTATAACTACTTTATTGAAAAACAACAAGTCCATTTTGATTTTCAGCTAACCTGAGGCAAAGTCTCTAATGTGGATCTATATTGCTATACCATTTTGTCCAATGGTGTCTGTTTTGTGTCAATAAAGATTTCCAATTATGACTTTTTCTGGAAAACCCCTAGAGCGATTTCAATGAAACTTGGCAGAACCTTTTCATAGCCAATGGTTAACCAAAATTGTAAATCATGTGGTCCCCACCCTTAAGGGGCCAAAAGGGTCAAATTGACTGAAATTTCAAAAATATGCTTCTGAATACCCAGATATGGAAGAATTAAATACTCTACATGGATTGAAGGATTTTAAGGTGCTTTTTTTTTGTAAATTTCTTGACCCCCGGGTCTCACCTTTCTCCCTAAGAAGGTGGTAAAGTTTGTGATAATTTAATTTTCAATTGGAAATAGATCAAACTTGGTTAAAATTGATAGTATGTATAGAGTTTGATGTTATGCACATATTGACCCTGGCTGACCCCCAGAGGCTGATGGGTGTGGCCAAATAGGATGAAGTTGACTGAAATTTCAAAAATCTTCTCAATAATAAAGATGGTAGAATCCAATACTATTCATGGAAAGGTCTACACTTAAAACTATTCTGCCCCTGTACAACTACACTTAAAACTATTCTGCCCCTGTACAACTACGCTTAAAACTATTCTGCCCCTGTACAAACAGCATTTCTCATTTTCTCTTCTTTATACTACATGTTCATTCCCATTGTTTCTGTTTGTGAGTTCACTCAGGTGACCACGTAGGCCCCTGAGCCTCTTGTCATGAATTACAATAACCACATTAGTGTTGGAATTAATATTGATGATTTACTATATGTAAACTTGAAACAGCTTTGGAATATTGGAAAACTTTTAAAAGCCTTATTATGATGTTGTGGTTTCTATTTAAAGTGAATAATCTTATCAAGGTGAAAAGAAGAGAGGGAACAGCTCATTTCATCTATGTAATTTGGTATCCCCAATGTAAATCCCCATTGTAATTTGGCATCCCCTATGTAATTTGGTATCTCCAATGTAATTTGATATCCCCTATGTAATATGGTATCCTCTATATAAGTTGGTATCCCATCTGTAATTTGGTGTCTCCTATGTAATTTGGTATCCCCTATGTAATTTGATATCCCCTATGTAATATGGTATCCTCTATATAAGTTGGTATCCCCTATGTAATTTGGTCCTATGTAATTTGGTGTCTCCTATGTAATTTGGTATCCCCTATGTAATTTGGTATCCCCTATATAAGTTGCTGTCCCCTATGTAATTTGGTATCCCCTATGTAATTTGGGTTCCCCAATGTAATTTGGCATCCCCTTTGTAATTTGGTATCCCCTATGTAATTTAGTATCCCCTATGTAATTTGGTATCCCCTATATAAGTTGCTGCCCCCTATGTAATTTGGTATTCCCTATATTTCCACAGTTTTACACAGTCTGTTGTAACCTAATGTAACAGAGGTCATTATTTATTTCAATGCCTCTGTTAGGAGCTGAAGAGAAGTTCTCTGTAGCCAAGTGGTATTTTGCGGGTAGTATTTTACCAGGATTACACAGCCCTGCTGTTCCAGTATGTTTATCGGAGACATGGCCCTGTTATTCTGGGGTATGAGTTCAGAATTTAGATTAATTTTAACTTTCAGGTGCTGAAACAGGAGAGAAAGAACACTATTATTCAGCTGAGCACTGAGTTCTCCATTGTGACCCCCTACACCAGCTTCGTGGCCATTGAAGAAAGAAACCAGGTAATCACAGTAATATTTACCTGTGTGCAACTGCTGGGGTTCAAACTAGCAACCCTACAATCTCTAGCTGTACACCCTACCACTAGATAAAACTAGTAAGAGAACCTCAACTTCCACACTTGTATTTACTTTTTTTCTTCGTTTCTTTAAAATACAAATTCATTTCAATCAATTCCAAAGTTTATAGACACAAAATAATAAAAATTTTCAGTTTGCTGACCTAACTTCTACCGTTATGAAGAGCCTATTGTTTAAGACTTTCGATATCACAGCAATGAAATGACAAATCATCAAACCTTTCACATAATGATATTGATCAGCAAATATAAGGACCATATTTCAAACAGGCTTTATTTCACAAAGGCATTTCAAAACACAAAATTCAATCCGAGCATGTGATGAAATGACATGCGAGTCTTTCATTCAAAATATTATATCACTACACAGTCAAGAGAGACTATCATTATCAGTGTAATGATAATGACTATTACAAAGGTTATAAATAAGGACAGTAACTGTTAATGTATGAAGTTATGACTTAAGGACATAAATATAATCATTTCCTGACATGTGCTCTCATTAGTTATTAAAACTGGAATTTGTAACTAATTTTTCTAGGATTCCTCAGTTTACTTTTACTAGCAACAATTAAACATAGTGGGACGGAATTTTCTTATCCCTCGTGATTGATACCCAGCTCTCCGACAGAAAACACTAGGTCATCAAGACTAATGTTATTAGCGAGTGTTCTGCCATGATCACTGATACATGTAAAAAACATTGTTTTTGTTTTAATACGTCAGTGATCAGTTGATATTTTTAATGTTAAGCGTACTAAAGTGGTTTTTATCAGTAATTAAATTACACCTGCTCTTCTGTTTTCTTATTCCTTATATGAATTTGTTATGACTATCTGGTAAAATAAAAACTCATTTGAAAAACAATACCAAATCATTATGTCATAACATACAGAAATTAAGGTATCTGACTTTTCATATGATCAGGTGTGGCAATAACCAATTAAGATTTGATTTTGAATTTCATTGTCAGTCATACTTGTCCACCTTGTTTGACTCAGATAAATACTACATGTATAATATTTACCATGGGAAATACAAATATAAAATGAGAATATTTTATCAAAGAAATTATCATTACGATTTCAGAATGAGCAGAAAAAGGATGGACCTTCCATTAATGAACTTGTGGCTGAGGAGTCAGTAGACATTCTGGAATATGTTGGTTGGCAGAATCCTGATGTATTTGATGAAAAAGTAAGTCAGCTTACTACCTTGTGATTCTTCCTGCAGATAGTGGGCTATTCAAATTGCTCTGCGTACGTGGTCCATCATCTGTCGTCCATCCTTCCATCCTTCCATTGATCCATAAACAATTTTTGTTATCGTTTTGTCTTGAGAAGTGCTGGATGAATATTTCTCAAATTGCATATGTAGGTTTCTCTTGGTCCCTAGTTGTGCACATTTGATTTTGGGCCTGATCAAAAAAACAAAATGGCTAACAGCCTGTCATCATGGGTATTTTCAATGAAGTTTGTTATTACTATTTCTTGAAAGGTGAGAGATGGATCTCTCTCAAATTTCATCTGTAGGTTCCTCTTGGCCTCTAGTTGGGCACATTTGATTTTGAGACTGATCAGAAAAACAAAATGGCTGAACGGCGGCCATCTTGGGTTTTGTCTTTGAAATATTGTTATTGCTATTTCTTGAGAAGTACTGGATGAATCTTTCTTGAATTTCATATGTAGGTTCCTTTTGCTCCCAAGTTATGCTTAATTAATTTTGGGTCTGATCAAAAGAACAATTTGGCCAACAGACTGCCATCTGGGATTTTGTCTTTGAAAGATTGTTATTGCTGTTTCTTGAGAAGTATGGGATGGTTCTTTCTTAAATTTTGTATGTAGGTTCCCTTTAGGCCCTAGTTTTGCCTGTTTGACTTTGGTACTGATCAGAAAAAACAAAATGGCCCACATGCGACCATCTTAGATTTTGACTTATATACTCTATAGATCTTTCTTGAATTTTTTGTAGAGGGTTCCTTTAGGTCCCTAGTTATGTCTGTTTGAATTTGGGACTGATCAAAGAAACAAAATGGCTATCTTGGATTTTGCCTAGTAAACATTGTTATTTCTCTTTCTTAAGAAATACTGAATGGATATCTCTCAAATTTCATGCGTAGGTTCCCTTTGGTCTCTCCTTGTGCTTGTTTCATTTTGGGACTGATAAGAAGAAACAAAATGGCTTTCAGACGGCCATTTGGGATTTGGCATGTACAGATTATCTCCACTATTTCTGCCAAGGAATGTTCAAGTATCTTATCATTCAGAGCAAAAGAAAAGAAAAGAGAAAAGAAGGGAAAAGATCCAACATTCAAAGAGCATATAAACATTAAACTATGGTCAGCGCCAAGATTCGTCTGGGATCTCTTGTTTTGTGTAGTTTTATCCTGGTATTACATATGTTAAGCAGCAGGGCGTAGCACAGATATCATATATTTGTTTGCTTCATTTTGATTTAGGAACCAAAAGAAATTGTGGAGGAGCTGTTGAGGAAAGGCCTGATAGCAGAAAGTTTCTCCCAGATGGAAGCCAAAAGAGTCTACACCTCCATTCTGGATTACAAGCCATGTCTTCAATCTGATGCCAACTATGACCTCCGAGAAAAGGTAAAAAAGGTGTAAAAAGTGACTTGTCACTGTTCTGATAAAAACTGAGTCATCCATTCAATTCAACTTTCTCTTTCACCAGTCTCTGTAAAATGGGACTTGAGAAGTGACTGAATTTTGTTATGTCTGCCACGAAATGGTGATGGAATCTAATGTTACTCATATTTACATTGTGTCCAATCGTTTCATGTGTCCCATTCTGAATATTAATTTGATATCTTGAGAGCTGCTCTACAGATCTGGTTCATAACATTATGTTCATGTGATCATCAGTCTAGGTTAAAGTGTCAAAGATCACAGCTGACAACTGCTGCTAATTCATGGAACCAAATTCATGCTCTTCTGTTTTATGGACAAAAGATAGAATTCAGTTTAGAATTGTACAATGTAGAATATTTTTCAGGTAATGCAATTTAAAACAAAAGTATTACAACATGAATAATAAAGTTTTTTACAGTGGATCACTGGAAATTTGTGATTAAGAATTACAGAAATTGTTATTTATAGCCAATCTTTATCCTTTTCCTTCCCCTTCCTTTCCCCCAAATATGGCACAAAGTACATGTAAAAAGTGGGAAAGCATCAATCTGGAATAAGTGACCATTTTTAATGGAGCATGAATATAGGTTTTATATATATTATTAAAATAATATCTAAAAACGTATGTGAATATAACACGACTCTAAAAATTAATGATGCCATTAAAAATATACAAAAAAATACATAGTTTAACTTTCTGTTTCACCTGCCCCATAGGCCATGCCAAATTTGGTATGAATTTCATTCCTTTTTTAGCTCTGCTGGTTCAATATAAATGTAAACCGGAGATGTGACCCTCTATTGATGTTTGGCTTAGTCCATCACCATGTTAGACAACCCCACTCATACATGTATTCAATAGAATAATCAACAAACTGAGATCATTGTTTTTCCTGATCAGCATGTGTTGTGTTTTTGAAGGTCATGGAAGCAGTTGAAAAATTCTTCACATGTTCCAAAGATGACATCAGTCAGTCAGTGTTGGTGGAGTTCCGTAAAAGTTTTCCTAGTAAGTGTTAAGAAATATATCTATTGTAAATAATTCTACATGTAGCAACTTTAATATGCTGTTAAAACATTTTATCCAACCTGTTATATTTTTATTCCATCAGCTGTAGTTTTGTCCAATCAGATTCAGAGGTAGGTATACCTTTAGATTTGTCTTTCTACAAGATCCCTAAGGTAGTTATAACTGAGGTAGAATTTTCAGAGAAAGTTTGTTTACGTATTCAACCCTTACTTCAAAAATGAGAAATACAAACAAATATTAAATCATTGTCCTATAACACCCCCACCCACCTACTTGTTACTATGTCAGATCTGATATAGTGGCCCCCTAGGATTACTGGTACACAATATGCTTACCTACATCACTTAATTTACCCCCACTCAGGTAAGAGGGAGGGTACAAAGTAATCACTCTCTCTGAGCTACCTCTGTCTGTGCAGTCATGAAAACCTTACGTACAAGATATCTGATGAACCCAGATTTAGTTTATATTCACAACATAGTATCACCCAACCAAAGTCTATACCAGATTAGATTTGGTGATCATTTGACAAGGTTGAAAGGCAAAGAAAGAGGTTGTGTACATAATACTTCATGAACCCCTCAATACAACTAGATCAGAAGAAAAGGATGAGGTGATGGGCCTGGGTATATCAATTTAATCCCCTGCTCACTTTGTTTTTTATATTTTGTAAATTTTTGTATAAACCCCATTATATGGAGAAAATGAGTTGAACTCTGTTTTTAGTTACTGCCCCATCACAAAGATTTGGGAATGATGTTTAAAAAGAACCTTGTTTTGTACTTCTAAATTCTAGTCTCGTCAACAGTTCATGTAAAAACTCTGACTGGTAGGACTGTTGCTCTGAATGTGTCTAATAAAGATACAGTGGCTGACTTGAAGGACAAAATCTACAAGGAAGAGGGAGTCTGTCCAGATCAGCAGAGGTTGATAAGTAATGGTATAGCTCTGGAAAACACCCTCAACATCTCTGATCTAGGTAATTATTGACTGTCTCCAATCAAAAACCAAGTGATGGGTCCCACTGTCCATGATTGTTTATCTGACTGTTGTAGAAGAAAAGGGAATTATGATCAAGCATTTGTACAAAATGTTAGTATCTCATGTAACACTGTAACATATTTGATTTATATTCACATTGTAATGTTTATTACTTTTAAAATGTGTTTATGTATAAACATCTATACATAAACATATCTAGTTTTTAATTCACACCATGATGTCCTTAGTCCTTAAAATCAAGTCCTCGGAAGGTGGAGACCAAGATCCCAGAAGGATATCCATGAAATTACCATTGACTTTTTAAAAATATGTTATGTTTTTTTTTAGATCTGCAAAATAATGCTGTTTATCTGGTACTGGCTCTGAGAGGTGGATTATCTTCAGAGAAAAAAGTGAGTGTTTCATTCAACAAGATATGATAACCATTCCTAACGTGACCCACATACCTACTGCTTTCTACCCTTATGGTTTTATGTTAAGTTTATACATGAGTAAACCAAGTTTGGAATCAACAAAAATTTAAACTGCATTATTATAAGCTCTATCTTTGTGCCTTGTATGTTACTATTGATTCTGATTGGTTGTGCTTCACTGTAATTTCTGATGTTACTATAAATGTAAACTTTATTTATTTTACAACAATTGCGAAACAAGTTATTTCAACTTATACTAATCACTCTTGTTGGCCTGGATGTAAGCGTGCGAGGAGTCTTATTGTGGGAGGAAACCGGAGTACCCGGGGAAAACCCTTATAGTGGGGCAGGTGACACCTTACCTTTTCATGTCCGTTCCAGGAATTGAACCCCGAACGGCTAGGTGAAAGGCGAGTGTGTTACCACTGCGCCACCCAACCACCGATCATGGTGTGATGTGGTGTCACCCCAACCAAACTGATCTCTGATATTGGCTGGAAAGGAAATAGATCTATATACTGTTTGTTCATCTTTACATCAGGTTATCATAAAGAATGTCTATATTTGGTAATTTTAATTGTTTTAACACAATGAGGACTATACAGGTGTGACATTTGCATTAATGCTGCAAGTAATGTTATTTCATTCTTGCATGTGGGTTTTAGGTCACCTTAGACAAAGTCCATAAACTTCTTAGGTTTTTTACTTTTCCTGGAAAATGCCTTGAACCAGTTTCAATGAAACTTTGCAGAAACCTTGTATTATAGCCAAAGGTAAACCAAAATTGTAAATTATATGGTCCCCACCCCTCAGGGGCCAAAAGGGTCAAATTGACTGAAAGATCAAAAATCTTCATCTCATTACCCAAATATAGTAGAATCAAATACTTTTCATGGATGGAAGCTTCTTAAGGTGCTTAACCAAAATTGTGAATTTCGTGACCCCAGGATCTCATATATGAGGGGGTTAATGTTACTATGTTCATATATGGGCATAATTTATTTTCTATTGGAATTAGATCAAGCATAGTTAGAATGTTAGTATAGGATGACAATTCAATGTTGTGTAACATATTGACAATGGCTGACCCCCGAGGGGCTGATGGATATGGCCAAAAATGATCAAATTGAATGAAAACGTTCTTAATGTCCAAATATGTTAGAATCAAATACTCTTCATGAATTGAAGGGTCTTAAGTTAAAACTCTTCTGCTCCTGTACAAATAGCATTTTTCATTTTCTCTTCTTTATACTACATTTTCATTCTAATTGTTTCTGTGTGTGAGTTCACTCAGGTGACCACTTAAGCCCCTGAGCCTCTTGTTTAATAGGACAGAATTTTTACCCATTTGTTACTCATGTAAGATATGTTTTTTTTTACTCATCTGGCCCAAAGGAACAAGTTGAGCTGTTACAATGCTGCAACATCCATCCTCTGCTATCCATTCTTCCAACTTGTTAGGTCATCTGACCCAAAGGGTTGTGTGTTGTCCACCATGTGTAAATTTTTGACATTTCAAACTTCTTCTCAAGTTTCACCAGTGGGATTGAACTCAAACTTGTCTGAAATGATACTGAGATGGTCTTGACCAAGTGGTATTATTTTTCAGGTCGGTCTGAAATTCAAGATGACCGCCATGGATGCCATGTTGAAAAACATATTTTAAACTTCTCCAACTCCACTGGTGCCAATGAGCTTAAAATTGGTGGGAATGTAAAGGAAAGGTACACAACAAAGTGTTGTTATTTTTCGACCTTGTCAAAACTGCAATAAGGCAGCCAGGGAGGCCATTTTGTAACATGATTACGCAATCATGGTTCCTGTGCAACACCTATTTCAAACGTTTTCTCAAGTTTCACTAGTGGGATTGAGCTCAAACTTATTTGAAATGATCCTGAAATGGTCCTGACAAAGTGGTGTTATTTTTGGGTATTTCTAAAATCCAAGATGGCCATCATCTTGAAAAACATATTTTAAACTTCTTCTCCAGTTCCACTGGTGCCATTGATCTTAAAATTGGTGGGAATGTCAAGGAAAGATAGTCAACAAAGTGTTGTAATTTTTTTCGACCTTGTCAAAACTTCAATATGGCAGCAAGGATGCCATTTTAAAACATGATTACACAATCATGGTTTTTTCTGTGCAGACTTCTCAAGTTTCACCAGTTAGATTGAGCTCAAACTTTTCTGTCAAAAAATAGGTAACAATTATTACAGTTACCTACTCCTCACCAAAACAACCATCTGCATCATGGAAAACAGCTTCTTAGTAAAATTTCATTCAAAGTAGAAAAAATAACCCTTCTCCTTGCTGAAAGTTTTTGTAGTCAGATGACCAATAAGGCCCATGGGCCTCTTGTTTGATAAGTCGCTACAAGTCATAAATGATTGAGTGCATTTTGACCGTAGTTGGTCAGAGGTATCCGTAGGGAAAATGGGAGGCGCAACTTTGGTGGATGTGACCCCACCCCTCCTCCCTTTAAAATCCATTTGGATTCTGACCCAATTTGGTTAGAGTCATCTATGGGTAAATAAAAGTCAGTTGTGGATAAATGATGGGTCTTGTCCTGTAGGGAACTGAGGAAAAGAAAAAATTAGGAAAACTGGAGAAAATTCTTTATAATTCTCCTTTATTTTTAGGAATGATTGAATTTTATACAAATATGGTCTGAAGAATCTTTAGGTGAAGGGAACTCAATTTTGTATTAATGATTGGTGCATCTGATCCCTTGTAAGGGAAAGAGGTGAGAAAATAGATGGAATCTTTTTAAATTCTTTTCATTTAGTTTAGATGAAGTAATTTTAGAAAACTAAACCTGGTAAGCAATACAGGCCTTATGGGTCTTTTGTTTATAATTGATAGGTCTGTGTTCCACAGACCCGAGGAAAAATTAAGAATTATTTTGTAAAATCCTTCTGTCGAAGAAATAATGAAATTTTGAGTAATTTTGATCTGAAGCTTCTTTAGAAGGAGGGGATCTTGCATGACTAGTTGTTTTGATTGATACAGGCCCTATGGACCACTTGTTAGTATTTGCAATTAGCCATGGAGTCCTAGATCAAGTCTGTGCAATTATGTTGTTTCTGTTTTAGATGACAAATAATTACTCAGTTGCCAGTAACAGAAATCTAGAAATTCCTCCTGTACTTTAGATTTATGTAAAATACCTTTACATTGCTATTTTTCAGGACATTCAGCAGCAGCAGCAAAAACAACATCTGAAATCAGCAGGACGTGTTCCAAGGGAGCAGTTGACAACAAAATCTGCCAGATCTATTTCTTTACCCTCTGAAGAATCTTCTGAAGATGATGACAGTGAGGAGGTCAGTGAGGAGGTCAGTGATGAGGAGGAAGAAAATGAAAAGTCACTAAAATGTAAGACGAAATCTTCTGCCAACGGTCGAAGGGCAAGAGGGGGAAAGGGAGCTCCAAGGAAGCGGTTGGCAACAAAAGCTGCCAGAAAATCTGCACCTGCAGTTGATAGATCTATTTCTTTACCCTCTGAAGAATCTTCTGAAGATGATGACAGTGAGGAGGTCAGTGATGAGGAGGAAGAAAATGAAAAGTCACTAAAATGTAAGACGAAATCTTCTGCCTACGGTCGAAGGGCAACAGGGGGAAAGGGAGCTCCAAGGAAGCGGTTGGCAACAAAAGCTGCCAGAAAATTTGCACCTGCAGTTGATAGATCTATTTCTTTACCCTCTGAAGAATCTTCTGAAGATGATGACAGTGAGGAGGTCAGTGATGAGGAGGAAGAAAATGAAAAGTCACTAAAATGTAAGACGAAATCTTTTGCCAACGGTCGAAGGGCAACAGGGGGAAAGGGAGCTCCAAGGAAGCAGTTGGCAACAAAAGCTGCCAGAAAATTTGCACCTGCAGTTGATAGATCTATTTCTTTACCCTCTGAAGAATCTTCTGAAGATGATGACAGTGAGGAGGTCAGTGATGAGGAGGAAGAAAATGAAAAGTCACTAAAATGTAAGACGAAATCTTCTGCCTACGGTCGAAGGGCAACAGGGGGAAAGGGAGCTCCAAGGAAGCGGTTGGCAACAAAAGCTGCCAGAAAATTTGCACCTGCAGTTGATAGATCTATTTCTTTACCCTCTGAAGAATCTTCTGAAGATGATGACAGTGAGGAGGTCAGTGATGAGGAGGAAGAAAATGAAAAGTCACTAAAATGTAAGACGAAATCTTTTGCCAACGGTCGAAGGGCAACAGGGGGAAAGGGAGCTCCAAGGAAGCAGTTGGCAACAAAAGCTGCCAGAAAATCTGCACCTGCAGTTGATAGATCTATTTCTTTACCCTCTGAAGAATCTTCTGAAGATGATGACAGTGAGGAGGTCAGTGAAGGAAGGAAGGAGTTGCCAACAAAAGCTGCCAGAAAATCTGCACCTGCAGTTGATTATGATAATCATGATAATGAGGTGAACAGTAATATCTTAGATGGAGATAAAGCAAAAGATGATTCAATGGAAAACTTTGCATATATTATGACCGAAACAAAATATGTTCAACATGATAGAGGAAAGATAACACAGCCCCCTTCACCACAACGTTCAGATCAATTTAATGCAAGCTGTGAAGAATTTCAAATTTCAAGATATCTAGATGAAGATATGGAAATTGAGTTAGGTACTGAAGAGCCAGGTTTCCTCGAGTTAGCTTCTGAAATATCTGACATGTTTGCATCATCTCAGGATAATTCACAGGCCATCCCGTCCTATTCACCAGCCACACCAGCCACCCCAGCCTATACACCAACCTCTCCAGCCTATACACCAGCCACACCAGCCACCCCAGCCTATACACCAACCTCTCCAGCCTATTCACCAACAACCCCAGCCTATTCACCAGCCACACCAGCCACTACATCCTATTCACCAACCACCACATCCTATTCACCAACCTCTCCAGCCTATTCACCAGCCTCTGCAGGATTTTCGCCAAAAGCTTCAAATTTTTTCAAACCCGCCTCACAAAGTTCTCAACTAGAAGTGTTGTCTAGTACATCTGCCCCTTTATCTCTGTTCAATAAAGACCTGTCTCAACAAAAACGCCTAATGCAGCCATCATTGAACAATCTACCTGTTTCAACAGAGAAATTGCCACATAACATACCATCACAAGCTTTCAACTTTGGGGCTATGAATCAAATGGCTTCCAACAACATTCAAAGAGAATGGTTTCTCTTTGGAGGTCCTCCGCAAGCAGCTCAAATTCAAGAATCAAGTCAACATTCTGACATTGGGACTGTGAAACAAATGTCTCCAAGCAGCAGTACCAGACAAGGGTTTTCTTTTGGAGCAGCACTGTCAACAGCACAAAGAGATGTACCAAGGCAAGGTTTTGGATTTGGGACTGTGAAACAAGTACCTCAAAGAAGCAGTACTAGTCAAGGTTTTTCTTTTGCAGCCCAAACCCTACCAATGGATAAACAAAATGAACCTGAGGATGATGGTACAACTAGAAGCATCATTGATGGTTTCAAGAGAGATGGAGGTGGTATTGGTGATGGTTTTAGGAGAGGCAGAGGTGGTCAAAGTGATGGTTTTAGGGGAGGCAGATGTGGTCACAATGATGGTTTTAGGGGAGGCAGAGGTGGTCATGGTGATGGTTTTAGGGGAGGCAGAGGTGGTCAAAGTGATGGTTTCAGGGGAGGCAGAAGTGGTCATGGTGATGGTTTTAGGGGAGGCAGAGGTGGTCATGGTGATGGTTTTAGGGGAGGCAGAGGTGGTCAAAGTGATGGTTTTAGGGGAGGCAGAGGTGGTCAAAGTGATGGTTTTAGGGGAGGCAGAGGTGGTCAAAGTGATGGTTTTAGGGGAGGCAGAGGTGGTCATGGTGATGGTTTTAGGGGAGGCAGAGGTGGTCATGGTGATGGTTTCAGGGGAGGCAGAGGTGGTCATGGTGATGGTTTTAAGGATGCAAGAGATAATGTTGGTTTTAGAGATGTCCCTATTGTTAGTGAATTTAAAGTTGATCCTTTTTCAAATAAGTGTCAGACAGCAGCATCTACATACTTGCAAAATATAAACATGGATTATGCAATATATGACCCAAAGACAAATATAAGGACAGAAAGTCACACCAGACCATCAAGTTTAACACAAAAGGCCCTGCCTTTACAGCCACAAAGAAAGTATTCTGAATTAAGCATTATGAATGACAAGGGTCGTGTTGAAAAAAGTGAAGAAATGTTAAGGTCATTGAAGTCTATTGATGGAACGATGCATATAGCCGAAGGTAGTGGTGGTGGTGGCGGTAGAAGTCGAAGCAGAAGTAGAGATAGGCAGAGAAGTTTCATCAGAAGACTAAGTCGAGGCAGGCGGAGAAGTTTCAGCAGAAGTTTGAGTCGAGACCGGCAGAGAAGTTTCATCAGAAGTCTAAGTCGAGGCAGGCGGAGAAGTTTCAGCAGAAGTTTGAGTCGAGGCAGGCGGAGAAGTTTCAGCAGAAGTTTGAGTCGAGGCAGGCGGAGAAGTTTCAGCAGAAGTTTGAGTCGAGACTGGCAGAGAAGTTTCATCAGAAGTCTAAGTCGAGGCAGGCGGAGAAGTTTCAGCAGAAGTTTGAGTCGAGGCAGGCGGAGAAGTTTCAGCAGAAGTTTGAGTCGAGGCAGGCAGAGGAAGTTCAGCAGACGTCTGAGTCGAGGTAGGCGGAGGAGTTTCAGCAGAAGTCTGAGTCGAGGCAGGCGAAGAAGTTTCAGCAGAAGTTTGAGTCGAGACCGGCAGAGAAGTTTCATCAGAAGTCTAAGTCGAGGCAGGCGGAGAAGTTTCAGAAGAAGTTTGAGTCGAGGCAGGCGGAGAAGTTTCAGCAGAAGTTTGAGTCGAGACAGGCAGAGGAAGTTCAGCAGACATCTGAGTCGAGGTAGGCGGAGGAGTTTCAGCAGAAGTCTGAGTCGAGGTAGGCGGAGGAGTTTCAGAAGAAGTCTGAATCGCGGTTATCGTAGGAAGTTCAGCAGAAGTTTGAGTCGAGGTAGGCATAGGAGTTGCAGCAGAAGTTTGAGTCGAGGTAGGCCGAGGAGTTTCAGCAGAAGTCTGAGTCGAGGTTATCGGAGGAAGTTCAGCAGGAGTTTGAGTCGAGGCAGGCAGGGGAGTTTCAGCAGAAGTTTGAGTCCAAGAAATCAGAGAAAAAGAGAACAAAAGGAAGATGGAAACACTGGCGAAGGTTTAAGTGGTTTTGGAAAAGACCATGAAATTAAGTCCAGATATGATGAACACAGCAGAAAAAATTATCATTGCAATCTTTGGAAAAGTAAAAATAAGGCTAGTACAAGAAGGAAAACTGATCAAGGCCTTTCAGACAAAATAAAAAAATGGAGAAAGTATGGTGAAGAAGAGAAGAAAGAGATCAGATCATCAGGAACAGGTAAGAAAATTTAAAACTTCAGATATTTTGTATTCTTCTTGACAGCATAGACTACAAAAGATCTTAATGTAAAAGTGTCTTATTTTCAATTGAATAGTTATTTGAAACTAATGTCTATAAGGATGCATTATGTTAACATTGTACCTATAGTTATGTATCTGTCTATAAGGATGTATTAACATTGTACCTATAGTTATGTATCTGTCTATGAGGATGTATTAACATTGTACCTATAGTTATGTATCTGTCTATGTGGATGTATTAACATTGTACCTATAGTTACCTATCTGTCTATGAGGATGTATTAACATTGTACCTATAGTTATGTATCTGTCTATGAGGATGTTTTAACATTGTACCTATAGTTATGTATCTGTCTATGAGGATGTATTAACATTGTACCAATAGTTATGTATCTGTCTATCAGGATGTATTAACATTGTACCTATAGTTACGTATCTGTCTATAATGATGTATTAACATTGTACCTATAGTTACGTATCTGTCTATAATGATGTATTAACATTGTACCTATAATTATGTATCTGTCTATGAGGATGTTTTAACATTGTACCTATAGTTATGTATCTGTCTATGAGGATGTATTAACATTGTACCTATAGTTATGTATCTGTCTATAAGGATGTATTAACATTGTACCTATAGTTACGTATCTGTCTATAATGATGTATTAACATTGTACCTATAGTTACATATCTGTATATAATAATGTATTAACATTGTACCTATAGTTATGTATCTGTCTATAATGATGTATTAACATTGTACCAATAGTTATGTATCCGTCTGTAAGGATGTAGTAACATTGCACCTATAGTTATGTATCTGTCTGTAAGGATGTATTAACATTGTACCTATAGTTATGTATCTGTCTATGAGGATGTATTAACATTGTACCAATAGTTATGAAATTAGAAATTAATTGAAACAAGAACAAGTGTCATCAGTAAGTGGGTGCTTTACTTAATTGTATGCACACAGAAACCATGGGGCATGAATATAATCTCTTAGATATGCCCAAGACCAAGACCACACTTGCTAAGCACCTTAGACAGGATGCAGGGCAAATCAAGATGCCATGCATCTTATGCAGTAAGAGACTTGCTTACTTAAGTTCATTATGGAGACATGTTAGTAGGATACATAGCATGCACTCTAACACTAGGTTCCAGTGTAAGATTTACAAATGTACCTTCGGAAGGAGAGATTGCTACCATCACCACCTTAAAGAAAAACACCCATTCTATAGTATTGAACCCGCAGTCTTCAAAGATGATGATTGGAATGAAGCAGCTATACCTGATCAATGGGAAAGGCTGTTAGAAATGCTAACCAAACACCAACTGGAAAAGGCTAAGTTCAGGATGGTATCAACCAAGGGGAGGAATCACCCGGGGCCGCACACAAAAGAAGTCAACCCAGAACCCGCTCCAATTGAAGAGAGTTGCCCTTTTGACTTATTGAAAGAAGACCTGTTGTTGAGTGACTCATTTTCAGACCACACATCCATCAGAACCATCAGTAGTACAGAATTAACTGAAGCAGTAGTGGACTATAAGAAGCTGGCCTATGTTTCAGTGTCTGATGTCACTGTATGCCTAAATTAACACCAATAAAGACCAGCATATGATAGACAACAAACTCTTTTTTATTTATGTTGGACTTTAATGATTTGTTTTGAACTGTGTTAACACTATAATCTAGCTAACATAACGTCAACTTTTTGGTATATATGCCCTTGTATTATTGTCCATTTATGTAATACATCACAATTAATTCTGAACCCCGAAAAAACTACTTCAGAGGGCTGAAATGTGTAAAAAATTGTCCTGATGAAGCCTCGACCGGAGGCGAAACTAGTGAAGACAATTAAGTAAAGTATGCACTTACTGGTGATACTTGTTCTTGTGATTAATTTCTAAGGTCTCGTATTTATTATTTCGTTAATCGCCCTGCATACCTTTAGGTATCCAAGCTCAAATGAAGCACCCCACTGAAGAAATCACCTACCTGATACTGACGTTGGCTCTAATTCTTATTTTGTCACCTTTTTGAATTTTGATTCATGAAATTTTTTCAAATTGTTATTGCCCTTTGATTTGGTTTTTTTCTTTTTTTTTTTTTGCAATTTTTTATCTTTTCTGGATATTTCCTTCCCTCAGTTTTTTTTTAAAGATTTCTTTGGTATGGCATGAAATTCTGTTTATTTAAACAACAACTTTATTCTACAATATTCTGCTTTGAGTTAATGCCTTTTGTATTTCTTTTTTATGCATTTTAGTCTTGTTGACATTTTCCTTTTTAGTTTTCATCTGAACTTAGGTATATTTTATCATCAAAACATATTATATTGTTCAACCTGTGACATTTTTACTGTGTGTTTTACATTTTTTATCTGTAGATCCTCTCCCTCAGTTTTTTTTACTGATTTAGTTGATGGTAGACTTGGTTTATATACCGTGTATATCTTTAAGCACCATCAAAAGCTTCCTGTTATTAGCTCACCTGGCTCAAAGGGCCAAGTCAGCTATACTGTGGCATCCATTATTTGTTGGTCCAGCGTCTGTCAACTTTTGTTATGCATTGCTACTAATCGTGAACAACTGAGCAGATTATTTTATCCTCTATAGATTTAATGGAGAGGATTCCATTTCCACCAAAAACATTGATACGTGATGACCATGAGAAGACAGACTTGTCTGTGAATATGACAGCAACTTTAAAAGTTTGGAATGGACCAGCAAATACAGGCAAGCAAGAAATTTTGAAATTCAGAATATTTTTCTTGGTCTTTTTTCTTGACAAGACAAGAAGTAGAATTATTTTATTAGTTTGAATCCTGTAGCCATGGAAACCACTGATAGTAAGTGGTTGTTATGTTAACATACTTACAGTTAATAAAATATTTTTTCGAAAAAAATATTTGTTGCAGGAACCAACTGATTTTCATATTTTAATACTGTTGAATTATTATATAGTGTTATTCATCTTCAAGTGGTAAAATATTTTTTAGATACAGATACAGAATTAGATTGAGTTTGAAATAAACAAAGAAGGCCATGTCATTGCCTGGCTGAGTGGGTCGACTTTAATAAATGATGTTTCAACATTTACGCATGTGGTTATCAGAACAGATTTGAAATCTGAATATTCAGGTAAGAGCACAAAATGTGATGCCTAGCTTAGCTAAAAGTTACTAACAAAATTCAAATATTCATTTCTCACAATCTCTGCTAAAAGTTACTAACAAAATTCAAATATTCATTTCTCACAATTTCTGTTCAAAGTTACTAACAAAATTCAAATATTCATATCTCACAATCTCTGCTCAAAGTTACTAACAAAATTCAAATATTCATATCTCACAATTTCTGCTAAAAGTTACTAACAAAATTCAAATATTCATATCTCACAATTTCTGCTCAAAGTTACTAACAAAATTCAAATATTCATATCTCACAATCTCTGCTCAAAGTTACTAACAAAATTCAAATATTCATATCTCACAATTTCTGCTAAAAGTTACTAACAAAATTCAAATATTCATATCTCACAATTTCTGCTCAAAGTTACTAACAAAATTCAAATATTCATTTCTCACAATCTCTGCTAAAAGTTACTAACAAAATTCAAATATTCATATCTCACAATTTCTGCTCAAAGTTACTAACAAAATTCAAATATTCATATCTCACAATCTCTGCTCAAAGTTACTAACAAAATTCAAATATTCATATCTCACAATTTCTGCTAAAAGTTACTAACAAAATTCAAATATTCATATCTCACAATTTCTGCTCAAAGTTACTAACAAAATTCAAATATTCATATCTCACAATCTCTGCTCAAAGTTAATAGACACTGAAGTCCCTAGAATTAGTAGCTTGTTGATGAAGGTTCAATTCTGACTACTCTGAAGATTGGCTTGGTTCCTTGTTCAGTATTCTTGAGTGTATTCTCGGTGAGATTTTTAGCATTCGATATGTTTACCTTCAACTTACGCTTGACACAGTTGGAACTCAACTCCTATGTGAACCTAATAGTATGATGGTAATGGTTTAGAATCCATGAAGGATATCTGATCCTCTCATTAGAATGTTCGTATCATAAACACATTGTCAAATGTCTCTACCAAACAAGAGACACTGAGTTCCAAGACAGTTCCGATAGTTTTGCAGGCTTGTATCTATCATTCTACATGATTTTTAGTGTTGTGTTGAATACTCGCTCTAAATTGAAGTTTTCACGTCAGCAAGATATTCATTAATTTGATGGTTGTCACTTGCAGAGGTAGTATGTTGAGAGGTGATGTTTATCTGGGTCCTCCCAGTACTCTCTTAGTAGTTTGACTAGCAATTGGCTTAGATTCAGATGAGCCTCTTCATATTAGAATGAAAATGTGGTGTTCATGTTCTGGATCTGTGGGTGAATCTGCATCCTCAGTGTTTTTGGAGCCTGGTCCATCCTGACACAATGATGAAGATGATCCCTGTGATGTTTAGTTCTACATGTTTTACAAGTTTCCTCATTGTACAGAATAGAATGGCTTTCCCTGTAGACACTCCCACTGATTAAAGTTGATCAACCCAGCCAGACATTGTCATGGTCATGTTTACCTATTGATGACTCTATTTTACGTTCCCTGTGGAATCTGTCAGCTTCATAAATTACTGCACACCTAACATAGATGTAGGATCTCCCATTCCTCATATATTGAGTTACGTTCTTGATATGATTGAAATCCAATTTGAAATAGATACAGCCATGTTATTATTATTATTACAATCTTAACAGCCCGTCAACACATAAAAGGTCATTAGGACCATCAACCAGTAAGATACAACCATGTACCTGTATATAATCTGTACTTGGATTAAGAATGATCTGATTTTTTTTCAGGAGAAACAGTGTCTTCGCCAGTTTCTGAGATGTAAGTATGAGATTAAGGACCTCCCTAGGTATGGTATGTATGGAATATTAGTTATTTTCAAGGATTTTATCAATATTTCGTAGGACTGTCAACCCTAAAATTATGAGTATTTATTTAAAATCTGGAGGACAGAATGCTAACAGTAACAAGAAAGAGGCACAAAATAACTTTCTAGAAAAAGACAACCATTTCTGGTCAGCGTACAAAAGCATGAATGTGTGGTTCTCAATGTAAAGATGGAATGTTTCTATCTCTGTGAACTCTAATCAATATGTTTCCCAAGATCACTTCAGTTTCCTCCAGACACATCATTCTATTGCTTTTCAAAATCCCCAAGGCATCTAAATATTTTGGTGATAAACCAGGTTGATGACCCGCTCACATAGAGAACTGTAGTATAATGTGAGGTGTTTAATTTTGTACCTGGTGACGTCATACATATGTAATTATCTAGTAACTTAGATAACAGTCTCTGTGTTTGTAGCATTCAAGTAGTGATATGTATACTTATATATATATGTCATCTAGTTACTGGAAAAATAACCAAATTGCACTAATACTGAAATATTGAAATTGGTCTTTTGACTCGGATGAATTTCATTGTTTTTTAGTTTTGAGGATGCTGGAATTTGGAAAGGCATTGTACGCAAGATTTCCAAAGCCCCTGACACTAAGGATCTCCTTCAACACATCCATCAGGTACTGAAATGGTTTATCTTATTGATATCTTATAAATGTTTTGTACAGTTCTCAGTGAGGTTTGTTAAAAAATAACTTGAGCATCTATACTTCTCAATAAAAACAACACTTTTCAGGTCCATGTGCACTTCTCTCCATGACAGTAAACACTGTAGGTAGTAGGTTTTATGACAGTAAACACTGTAGGTAGTAGGTTTTATGACAGTAAACACTGTAGGTAGTAGGTTTTATGACAGTAAACACTAAACACTGTAGGTAGTAGGTAGTAGGTTTTATGACAGTAAACACTGTAGGTAGTAGGTTTTATGACAGTAAACACTGTAGGTAGTAGGTTTTATGACAGTAAACACACTGTAGGTAGTAGGTTTTATGACAGTAAACACTGTAGGTAGTAGGTTTTATGACAGTAAACACTGTAGGTAGTAGGTTTTATGACAGTAAACACTGTAGGTAGTAGGTTTTATGACAGTAAACACTGTAGGTAGTAGGTTTTATGACAGTAAACACTGTAGGTAGTAGGTTTTATGACAGTAAACACTGTAGGTAGTAGGTTTTATGACAGTAAACACTGTAGGTAGTAGGTTTTATGACAGTAAACACTGTAGGTAGTAGGTTTTATGACAGTAAACACTGTAGGTAGTAGAATTTATGACAGTAAACACTGTAGGTAGTAGGTTTTATGACAGTAAACACTGTAGGTAGTAGGTTTAAAATGACCATTGTAAGCAGTTGTTACCACTAATTAGACATGAACATATATCTCTTACATTGTACATTGATTCAGTTTGGATTCTTTTATCTCATTTGCTGTCACATCGTGCATACAGACCTAGAGCTCTCTAAAAGCCCCAGTGTTTCATACTACATTGTGATAATATAACTATATCAAGGATATCTGTATAAATTTGCACAAAGATAAATAATTCTAAGACATATAGATATGTTTCTAAACACCAATGATACAGTTTAAGTAAAACACTTATCTATAGCCAATCCATGCCAATGATACAGTTTAAGTAAAACACTTATCTATAGCCAATCCATGCCAATGATACAGTTTAAGTAAAACACTTATCTATAGCCAATCCATGCCAATGATACAGTTTAAGTAAAACACTTATCTATAGCCAATCCATGCCAATGATACAGTTTAAGTAAAACACTTATCTATAGCCAATCCATGCCAATGATACAGTTTAAGTAAAACACTTATCTATAGCCAATCCATGCCAATGATACAGTTTAAGTAAAACACTTATCTATAGCCAATCCATGCCAATGATACAGTTTAAGTAAAACACTTATCTATAGCCAATCCATGCCAATGATACAGTTTAAGTAAAACACTTATCTATAGCCAATCCATACTCGACATACTGATATGCCAATACTTTTGCTAACACCCAAGCGGACATATGTTCTTTGAGGCTTGCATGGCTTTTTCATCACAATTTCCAGACTATTGAAGAATACAAGTCTAGAAGATTGACTTGTAAATCGTTCAAACAATAATCATATTACATATTGACATACTTGACAATATTTTGGATAGCAGTGTTTCCATTGGTTCCAATATTTTGCTAAGTATGTCTTAAAAACACTTCATGAGAATTTTGGTCGACACCATAATTTTGCTGTCAACACTGATAGTTGCAACTCAAGTTTGTATTTTTACATGCTTAATTTCCTACAAATCATAGAGGTTCATCAGTAGTCGTTTAATTTTGTAAGGAGTTTTCAGTAACCTACTTTCAGTTGTAGAAAGTTGTAGCTCAATTTTACCCAATTTTAGTATTTTGAAGACTTCTCTACCATGTCTGCAAAAGTCTTTACTTTTGTCAATTTTTGTATAATTGTGTATATCTTTGTTCATTAGGGACATTACTGGGAACTGACCCCAGAGCTGTGTCAAACCCTCGGTGTTTCCTACATCAAAATCACCAACCTACTAAAGCTACAAGGTCTTTACTCCTTAGGTAAGCATACAAACCTTAATCACATCATAATTAAGAATTAAAAAGCTACTCCTTCTGTACTAGTTATTGGGATTTAGACCAGATCAAGGATCCAAAGATCACCATTCCTTCAAGTTGTATACTGTAAAGGCTATTCAAAGGGTTGTTTTCATTTTTTTATCTTTTGTTATTTGTTATCAGGTATGGAATGAAACTGCAGATTGATGCCACGAACATAAAAGTTCTTAAATGAAAGCAATAGTCAGCTTCTTGGCTTCAGCAATAGTTACCTCCCTTTCATATCTAGCTTTTGGTAAAACCTTGAGAATTTGAACCATTGAGATAAAAAAACACCAGACAGTGTACAGAAGAAAGTGCCCCGTAAATAGAATGGGACCTAATAGGTCAAATTAAGGCTAAAGGGACAATTTAGTCAAAGCTTGTATTTGAAATTGACCAGCATCTGTAACTATATTGATTCTGATAAATAGGTTGTGTAATGTAGTGGACACTGCACTCCCTTTTACCTACATCACTAGGGTCAATAAAGTTTTTACCAGATTTCTCCTGGGTGAGTCAGTAGCATGCTGCTAGTGTTTACTACAGTTCTTCCAGACATAATGATTAGGTAGCAGCTAGTATTTATTGACAGAGCTCACCCTGTCTGAGTGTTAAGGAAGCAGCTAGTATTTATTGACAGAGTTCACCCTGCCTGAGTGTTAAGGAAGCTGCTAGTATTTATTAATAGAGTTCACAGGGTTTCAATTGTACTGACTACAAAGGCAACGTGTCATTGTACAATTTTTGTTTTTCTGTAGGAAGCCAAGCTTCGATATCTGGTGAGAACATGATAGCAACCTATCTTGTGTTTCTGAAGATAATCCAGATCATCTACATGAAGCGAAAGGGAAAATCCTTGAAGTTGGACAAAGCAGGATTTACAACTATTGAATTCAAGATAAATTGTAACAATGTCTTGACTGTCAAGTTATACTCTACACAAGGACACACAGAGACATTGCATCTTTCTGAGGAACTGTCAGATGTTCACAAGTGGCAACTTCAAAACCACAGTGAACATGAGCGGCTCTGCCGAGAATTAGAACTGGGACATACTTTACACACAGCCACTTGGAACCTTTTCTGTGCTCTAAATGAAAAGTCATTCTGACTTGTTAATTAAAAAGGCCGGAAGACGATAAAAGATATTTGTTAATCAGTAATACCTGGAAGTTTTAATTTTGTATTGAAAAATGTCACAAAGTCAGTCAGAAAGGTCAGTTTTTACCCTTGAAATGTTTTTTTATGTTTAATTCACAAGAGAAAGTTACAACGAACATTTCATGTTATTCGATGTTCTCGGCTCTCGTCTATGTGGCCCAATAACAATGATAGATACAGAACTTGTTCCAATACAAGATAAAGTGTGTGTATATAATTTATTTAACCACAATTGCAAACAAGCTATAAGCTTATAATAATCACTCTTTCCTGGATAGAAGTGTATAAGGGATCTTGATTTAGAAAGAAATCCGACTACCTGGGAAAGCCCACTTGGTCAGGCAGATGACCCCAATATTGTAACCTTTTCAGGTCAGCTCAAATGGAACCTCAAACCATGATAAACAGCATCAGCAATTGAAAGAGTATGTTGGTGTTCAGATAATGATGGTAACACAATGTATTTCAACTGCAGCAGATTAATGTCATGTTGAGTGAAACTATGCAAGTCATTACTAAGCATTGTGTTATCAATGTTGTTAAAAATTCTTTTGGCAGGAGTTCATGGATCTGTTGGTCAAGTTGGTGAATTAAAACAAGACTTCCCAACAATTTTATCATGATGTCACAGAATACTGCTGGGGATGGATTGTACTTTTGTAGAACAAAATCCTGGTGATCAAAGACTCGAAAGTGAACCTGTGATATTTTTATGTCATCTGACCCAAGTGGTCAGGATGATCTTTAAACATCATGTTTCGTCCATCGTCATGCATAAACTTTTCTTCTCAAGTTCATCATGTTGGATTCAGCTGAAACTTTCTTTAAATGATCCCGAGAAGGTTCTGACCCAATTTTGTTATTTTCCGGGTATATTCATAGTCCAGTATGGCTGCCATCTTGGAAGCGATGCTGCCAAAGTGTGGTTATTTTTTTACCTTTTCAAAAGTTCAGTATGACAGTCATGTCATCCATTTTATCACATGATTGCACAAGCATGGTTTCACTGAACAATACCTATTTTAAACTTGTTCAGGTCATTCCTAAATCAAGTATGCACGCCTTCTTGAAAAGTATATTCTAATGTTCTTTTCATGTGCCTTGGAGCTGAAGATTGGTTTGGATGTTTAGAAAAAGACGACTAAGAGTTGGGTTTATTCAGACTCGTCAAAAGTTCAATATGGCTGCCATGGCGGACATATTGTAACATGATTGTGGAATTCTTGATTCTCTTCACAATACCATTATTATACTTCTTGCTAAGTTCTACCAATGGTATCCAACTGAATCCTGCTTGAAATGATTCCGAGATGTCTCTGACCAAGCTTTGTTATTTTTCAGATCAGCCCAAAATCCAATATGGCCACCATCTTGATAAACACATTTTAAACTTCTTAAAAAGTTCCACAAGAGGGATTTAGCTGAAACTTACTTGAAATTAACTGTTTTAGTCTGTTAACAATTGCTCACTACTAATACGGCTGTTACCAGTGCTTACCAGTGTTTAGAGCTTTACAGTCAGATGACTGATAAGACCCATAGACCTCTTGTTGTTATTTCTTTGTCAGTATGATTTGTATTATAATATATACCTAATTATGTGTTAACAGCTGAGTAGATGAATCACTACATTCTTTACCATTTAATTTGTAAATATGATATTTGTGTGGTACCATGAAAACCTCTGTAATTTGATGTAATCCTGCCTAACCAGAGTATCAATTACTGGTGTAAGATGGGGTGTGAGTTATATGCTGGTTTGCATGAAGCTTTCTGTGGTATTAATATTTAGACAATTTATGACAACTTTATTTCTGGTTTGTGGATATTTTCTCAACTAGAAAAAAAGTTTACTGCAGACATAGAAACCAAATGCTCTACTCGTTGTACATGTATTTGAATACTACCTGTTGACTGCAATCATGAACTATTAGGTCACCTGATCATTAGACAAAGTCTCATGGTGACCTATTGCAATCACCTTTGTCTAGCGTCGCACATCTGTAAACAATTTTATAATTAACATTTTTGACTTCTTCTCAAAAACATATTTCAATGAAATTTTGCAGAAACCACCTCTGGCCTAAGATGAACCAAAATAGTGAATTGCACAGTCCCCTACCCACAGGGACCTGAAGGGTAGGGCCAAAAGGGGTAAAATTAACTTCAGTTTCAAAAATCTTCTTCTCAACACTCAGATATGGTAGAATCAAGTACTCTTCATGGATGGAAGCATCCTAAAGTGCTTTGACAAAATTGTGGATTTAATGATCCATAGGTCTCACGTTTCCCCCTTGGGAGGGGGTAAAGTTTACTGTAGTTAATAAATAGCAAAAAATAGATTTTTGAGCATAATTTGTTTTATTTCTATTGGAAATATTTCAATCTTGGTTAGAATTATGAGCGAGGACTGACAGTTTGATGTATGCCCATATTCAAACTGAATAACCCTCGGGCTGGGGCTGATGGGCAGGGCCAAAAGAGGTAAAATTGACTTAAATTTCAAGCATCTTCTCCACACCCATATATTGTAGAATCAAATGCTCTGTATGAAGGGAAGCATCTTAAGGTGTTTTTATTACCAAGTGGATCTCATTTCTTCCTTGGGAGGAAGTTAACTTTACTGTTATTTTCATAGAAAAATTGCATTTTTGAGTATGACATTGTTTATTTCCCACTGGAAAGAACTTTGTGTGAATGATTAGTATAGGATGACAGTTTTGATGGTATGCAGGTATTGACACTGGTTGATTATATTCATTGTCACAATTTCTTTTTCATGACATTTGAAAGCAACTTCTCTTTTAACCTTTATATTAAATATCATTATCTCAGGTGACTGTCAAGGCTGCTAGGCCTCTTGTTATATCCCTTGGCATGAAATGGATTTTGGTAATAGTGTTCCTAATTTGGTTTCAGCCTATACATCTTTGACTAAAGCAAAAAAATTAAACTGGAATTTGGTTTGTAGATCAGCATCCTCTAAACACCTCGTTAAGTTATTAGGATATACCAGCTATCATTTTAATTCCTCTAGGAAATAGAATATATCATTTTAAGCAGGTAGCACTGGGGAAACATGAAGATGCAGGTCAAGATTTTATATGGATCCAGTCAACAAGTTCTTTCCCGAGCCCTTGAACTTAGCAAATTTAAAGATCTTGTGTCAGTTTCACTAATTATGCTATATTTTGAGAAAAGAGATTGATGCATAATGTTGTGAAAGGATTTGTTGCTGGAGAGAGCTGTACATTCCTAGTTATATTGTATATGTGTGTGTGTAACCCTGGTTATTGTTAATGCTCATCGATATGTAGGTTCTATCAGTAGCATGAGAGATCTAAGTAAGGCAGCGATCTTAAAACTTACAGATGTCAGTGAGTAGTCCAAACGTTGTTTTGGAAATACATAACTAATCCAATTGTGTCATGGTGTAAAACAGCATTTATTTAATAAAATGTGATTATTTCATAACTTTTTACTTATAAATAAGAGGTCTGTCATTTATTCTCTGATGTTATTGTACACATTTAGTGTAAGAACAAGATGTCACTTGCGAGACTTTTATCTAAGCTCTGAGGATAAATTGGTTTGTTATCCCAAGGTTTTGTATATTCCACTTTATTTTGATATAGAGGGCAGGTCTGTTAGGAGGGATCATTTAATTCACAAACTAAGATCAGTCACAGTTATGACAGATTAAGACCAAATTTTTTCTCAGAGTTATGACAGATTATGACTGAATTCGACTCCAAGTTATGACAGATTTAGTCGGAATTTGACTTCGAGTTATGAAAGATTTAGACTGAATTTGAATTGGAATTATGACAGATTTAGACTGAATTTGACTCAGAGTTATGACAGATTTAGTCGGAATTTGACTCAGAGTTATGACAGATTATGACTGAATTCGACTCCGAGTTATGACAGATTTAGTCGGAATTTGACTTAAGAGTAATGACAGATTTAGACTGAATTTGACTTCGAGTTATGAAAGATTTAGACTGAATTTGACTCAGAGTTATGAAAGATTTAGACTGAATTTGAATTGGAATTATGACAGATTTAGACTGAATTTGACTCAGAGTTATGACAGATTTAGACTGAATTTGACTCAGAGTTATGACAGATTTAGTCGGAATTTGACTCAGAGTTATGACAGATTATGACTGAATTCGACTCCGAGTTATGACAGATTTAGTCGGAATTTGACTTCGAGTTATGAAAGATTTAGACTGAATTTGACTCAGAGTTATGAAAGATTTAGACTGAATTTGAATTGGAATTATGACAGATTTAGACTGAATTTGACTCTGAATTATGACAGATTTAGACTAAATTTGACTCTTAGTAATGACAGATTTAGACTGAATTTGACTCAGAGTTATGACAGATTTAGACTGAATATGAATTGGAATTATGACAGATTTAGACTGAATTTGACTCTGAATTATGACAGATTTAGACTGAATTCGACTCCCGAGTTATGACAGATTTAGTCGGAATTTGACTTAAGAGTAATGACAGATTTAGACTGAATTTGACTTCGAGTTATGAAAGATTTAGACTGAATTTGACTCAGAGTTATGAAAGATTTAGACTGAATATGAATTGGAATTATGACAGATTTAGACTGAATGACAGATTTAGAATTTGACTTCTTATGAAAGATTTAGACTGAATTTGACTCAGAGTTATGAGATTTAGACTGAATTTGACTCTGAATTATGACAGATTTAGACTAAATTTGACTCTTAGTTATGACAGATTTAGACTGAATTTGAATCAGAGTTATGACAGATTTAGTCGGAATTTGACTCAGAAGTTATGACAGATTTAGTCGGAATTTGACTCAGAAGTTATGACAGATTTAGTCGGAATTTGACTCAGAAGTTATGACAGATTATGACTGAATTTGACTCAGAGTTATGACAGATTTAGTCGGAATTTGACTCAGAGTTATGACAGATTATGACTGAATTTGACTCGGAGTTATGGCAGATTTAGACTGAATTTGACTCAGAGTTATGACAGATTATGACTGAATTTGACTCAGAGTTATGACAGATTTAGTCGGAATTTGACTCAGAGTTATGACAGATTTAGTCGGAATTTGACTATGAACTGAGTGAGATATGTGGAAAGTGTTCCCCCTAGAAACTACTGCACACACAACAACCACAAACAGGGAAACACATTGCACACCATTGTGAACTACACTGGTCTCCTTGGTTCCAGGCATTCAAGGACCTGAGTTTGGAAATCACCATCATGTCAAAACTTAAAAGGTCGGGCGGAAAGTATGTCAAAAGAATCTAGAATTCATTTCACACAATGTTGTGTCTCTTTTTACCAAGAAGTCTACTGACAAAGCATTCAGTATCACTCGCAGCTGCTTGGAGATAGATAGATCTTTGCTAAAGAGCACAACCTTTCGCCAATGCCGAGGCAATGATCTGTTGACAACATATTAGAGATAATTAAAGAAGGGCAACAAAAACTAATATTAGAATGCTTAGATCAATACAGTAAATACCACCAAATTCTCATACAAGGAAGAAATCATTGATGATATGTGCTTACTAGACACCCATCCTGTGAAGGGAAATGACAAAGTATTGGTTTATTTGAAAAAGCCACACACAGACACACTTGATACTGATAATTTTTTACTGATGAAGGTAACAGTGAAGACTTCATAACATCACACATAATTTTAACTGGTTGTGGTACAAAAACTTCTATTCAATAGGATTTGCTCTTAAAACATCTAACAAGCAATGGGGAAACAAGTTGATATTCATATGTCCATGTCGAAAATTTCAGTCAAAAGCAAACTTCCAGTCAAATTCATTAAATTTCTTTATTATGGACAGACATTCTTCATTTGAAATTTCTTTCAAAAGCAAAGCAAAGTTCCAATCAAATTCATTAAATTTCTTTATTATCGACAGAATTCTTCATTTCAAATTTCAGTCAAAGGCAAACTACCAGTCAAATTAATTGAATGTCTTTGTTCCAGACATTCTTCATTTGAAGGAAATGAGGCATATATATCACAGTAAATAAAATCATGTAGCTTTTATAGATTTTAGTTAAAAACAAGCTCATCAAGTGTTGCTGAAGCAATACATTTCCCCTACCTGCCCCAACAAGCTATTTCATTGTGATGTTTTATAAATTTCCAGAAAATAGTGAAATTTGTCCAAGATAATTTGATAATTTAGAAGTGTGTTAAGTTTGATGGAGCTGTTGGAGCGCTGATATTACATTCACAGATGCAGGGACGGACAGGGAGAATAACTAAAACTCCCCGTTTCCACCTGTAGGGGACTTTAAAACATTTGGTATAAGATCAGAAATTGTTGCACCGGTGTATGTATGTAACCAAAATATATCTAGTCTTGTCAATATGTAGTTGTAAGGAATTCATATGCATGATGGCAGAGCAAAAAACTCCCGACAGAACCCGTAACATGTATAAGAATATATCTGTATCAAAGACTAAAAATATACAATATCAAAAGATCAACAATGGATAGTCATCTAAGCAAAGAACAGTATGGCTTTTAAAATTTTGTAGAAAAAGTCATCCTACAGAGAGATAACTGGAGTTACAACAACACATGTAATTGACAAGTAATTTTTATCAGCGAACTAGATCATGCACAGTATCAATAAATTATAAGGAGATTAGAATATTACCACAGCCCAAAAGACTATCTACTGTACACGTTTGATCAATTATGACACTACTACTACTCTCACTCAACATATCGATCACTGAAACAATAAAAAATCCTACAATGTTACATAAAGTAACAATTTTTTGAAATAAATTCAAATGTAGATGAAATAAGCAAAAATTTTAAAAAGTGAAATTCCAATCACTCAAGTTTGTTCAAATTAAAATTTGAAGAAACAGGATCATCCTCTATCTGATACCAATAATTATCTAATAATTCTTCATACAGTCCTAAATCATATCCAGACACAGCATTTGTACAGAATAGTCTTGATGACATTCTAATATACACTCATTCAAAACGTGACACATCACGTCCATAGAGAATTGTCTTTAACCAATCCAGTGGTACTTGCATCCTTAGTCTCCAGCTTCCCAGACGAGTGAGATAGGCTGAACGCCACAGTAGCCAAGAGGTAAACCCTAAAATCATAACAAAACATATATTTTTGAAGTATTACTGTAAATATTATCATCAATTTCAAACATCGAATATTTTCTTTCAATCAAGACACATATAAAAAATAACTTCACGCTGACAAAGCATCTGCCATTTATTGAATCTCTCAGTTGTATAGCAAGTAGCCAAGTTTTCTAAAGACTAAACAAAATTCCATCTCTAAATGAAATCCTGATCATAAAAACAAGTATGAAAATTGTAGGAGTTCCTACCTTGCATTTTGACCTGTGGAACATCTGTGAGACCTTGGTACCGACCTATGTAGGCCAGCATTCCCATACTCTGGAACTTGAATGGCTCAGATTTGGGATCAGATTTAGCTAGCTGATTTGCTAAGTACCTTCCTTCTCTCTCAGCAACCTACATTTGAAATTAAGTAAAGTCATATAACCCCACTAATCTTATATAAAGTATTTGAATAATTCAAATTATATTCATGGTCAGGTAAAAACATGTTGGATAAAAAATAACCAATATTTCTCAAATTTTTGAAGTTAAGAAAGGGTCTGATTTTTATAGCTTAATGCTGAAGATTTAAAAAGGATCCTTTGTATCACACTTGTTTCCTAGTAAGTAAACCACATCCTGGTCCAGTTCTTAGTTACTGCCAAAACTACCAACTAAATAGAATGACTGCATCTTTGCACTAAAATTGATTTTGAAGGCAGAAAAGTATAGGACACCTGATGCTCTCTGGTATATTGATATCAATATGAGAAGTTTTATACAATTAACAAATGACCACGTACTTCCAAAGTCAGGGTGTAGTTTAACACATTCACAGGTTGTCATGCCATCAAAATAAAGTCAGTAGAGAAATTACGGAGTTTTCTAAAAACAATTCTAACATGTATAATCTTCAGAGGTATTTGTGAACTGAAAACTTTTATACTTGAATCAACTGTAAAAGAAACCTGTAGAACATCTTCCATCGAAACAATGGTCTTGAACTTTAATTAATGACCCTAAAATCTTAACATTTCACAATTTACTTGTCAAACGATTATGTCATAATTATCTCATAGCAGAAGCATGAAATGTTTGATAACTTACCTGGGCTGTACAAGGGAGGGGCATGGTCTCTATATCAGCACAGTCACCGAGGGCAAACACACTCCCACTAGAATCACCCAATACATTCAGGTATTCATCTGTCAGAATCTTATAAAATGAAAAAAAAGTACTTCCATAAACACAAAGAAACATGGTACAGCTCCATAACATAACTACATAACTAATTATCAACTATGACTGGCAGTTTGGGAATGTAATCATAAGTGTCTCTTCATAACAGACTGAAATACTATCATATAAAATTTCTACTTGGTCTGTTTTACTCTAATTAGTAGTCAATAGAAAAGCTGTGACACCGAAGAACCAACCCGTCCCTGTTTTTTTTAAGGGACGTCTATTAACTCTACATACAGTCTAGTAACCTACCTGTCCCTGTTTATTTTTAGGGAAATCTGTTGACCCTACATACAGTCTAGTTACCTTCCTGTCCCTGTTTATTTTTAGGGACATCTGTTGACCCTACATACAGTCTAGTTACCTACCTGTCCCTGTTTTTTTTAAGGGACGTCTATTAACTCTACATACAGTCTAGTAACCTACCTGTCCCTGTTTATTTTTAGGGAAATCTGTTGACCCTACATACAGTCTAGTTACCTACCTGTCACTGTTTATTTTTAGGGATGTCTATTGACTCTACATACAGTCTAGTTACCTTCCTGTCCCTGTTTATTTTTAGGGACATCTGTTGACCCTACATACAGTCTAGTTACCTACCTGTCCCTGTTTTTTTAAGGGACGTCTATTAACTCTACATACAGTCTAGTAACCTACCTGTCCCTGTTTATTTTTAGGGAAATCTAATGACCCTACATACAGTCTAGTTACCTACCTGTCCCTGTTTATTTTTAGGGACATCTGTTGACCCTACATACAGTCTAGTTACCTTCCTGTCCCTGTTTATTTTTAGGGACGTTCACTGACTCTATATACAGTCTAGTAACCTACCTGTCCCTGTTTATTTTTAGGGACATCTGTTGACCCTACATACAGTATAGTAACCTTACTGTCCCTGTTTATTTTTAGGGACATCTGTTGACCCTACATACAGTCTAGTTACCTTCCTGTCCCTGTTTATTTTTAGGGACGTCTATTGACTCTACATACAGTCTAGTAACCTACCTGTCCCTGTTTATTTTTAGGGACGTCCATTGACTGTACAAATTGTCTTGGAGCCACACCAGTACTCCAGACCACTAGACCACAGGGAAGTGTACTGCCGTCCTTCAGTATTACTCTGTCTGCCTTGACTTCTGTAAATCATACAATTTTATCATCGTGTTATACAGTCATATTTTGGTGATTTTCAATACAATCTTGATATTTCCTCTTCCTTAGACTTTTTCAATTCACCAGGGACTTATAATTCTATTACATGTCCTTTGATTTCACATACAATATCATTATTCTTCTCAATTAATTTCATTGAACTATCATGATATTTTATTCAAATATGAATTTCAAAACTCGGACAGATGATAAAGAAAAAATATCTAGTGACTTTTACCAGTGACAGATGACTGAAGCAGGGTAAACCTGTTCCGCTCTTTGATCTTCTTTTCAGCATACTTCCTGAGACGTTCATCAAAGGCACCAAGGATCTGGTTGGACTCAATGAGTGTGACCCTGACCTCATATTGCTTCTGTTTGTACAGTCTAGACACGTCCTACCAAAATTAAAATGCTGAATTAAAAAAGACAATAACTATCACAAAAACTGTAAAATCTGAAAGCTGTACAGGAAAATAGAATTTCATATCATGACATACAATTTTAAAAGAGATCAGTAAAATACTGAGGAAGAGATCTGACATGTGCAAAATGTTAGCGAAACAAAGGGCAATAACTCCTCCAAATAAAGTTGAATTTGACTGTTCTTCAAGAAAACTGCCTATCAAGGTTAAAGACATCACCTTAAAAAAACATCATGGTAAAACATATTTTGGTTTCCCAAACAAATAGTGTCAAGCTGGACATTATTTTCACTGGCAATGCTTTTACTGTAATGTCCTTTTAAGATAGATGATTATGAAAATACAAGGGACGTTACTCTTAAAATACAGAGGAATCAAACTGCTATTCAGGAAAACACTTTCTAGTGTCAGTATGATTAAGACTACCAAATCTGTGTGTAAGAAGTATAGCATAAGATTTATATGCTTGAAATACCCTTCAGCTCTTATTAATTATATTCTTGTTAGTTATATCAAAAACAACAGACCCAATAGGCCTGGGATTTGAGAATCTTGAACTGATAAGTTGTACAAGTTCAAGATTCTCACATTTGAAGTAAACTTCTGACAGCTTGAATGCCCATTCTCCAAGCATGCTATAATACAATTAGAAAGAAGTATTCTAAAGATTTTTATTCATTTGACCCTTTTGACCTGGACAGTGATACAATTGTTTTGATAACTTGGAAGCCCTTCACCCCAGCATATTATCAGCAAAATGTCATTACACTGGGCCTTTTAGTTCTGGAGATATTGTTTAAAAATTTCAACTATTTCATGCCAATGACTCTGAAAGTGTGTCAAGGTCATTCACTTGAACAAACTTGGTAGGGCTTCATCTAAACATGCTTATTCATGCCCCTTAGTATTTTGGTTATTGAGAAGAAGTTGTTCAATGTTTGCAAAATATTTTACCTCAGTCCGTGATATTGAATGTTGGTCAAGGTCTTTCATTTTAACACAAATGCTAACTCTCTAAGGATCTATCCCAGCATGCATTATAAAACTGGCCCTTTTAGTTATTAAGAAGAAGCAGTTTAAAGATGAGTATCATGAACGAGGATATCTTGGTTATTGAGAAGAAGCTGTTCAAAATATTTTAACACATTTGATCCATGCAATCAAAGAAGTGGTTCAGGGGTATCCATTTTAGCAGTCTTGGTAGCCCAACATGCTACTCGCCTAATATCATGACAATCTTTTGGTTACTGAGAAAAAGCCATTTAGAGGGAAAAGAGGATGCTGGCCAGATAGACAAATAACTGCCTTAAAACACTAATCTTGTTATAAAATATTAATGGGGCAAATCTATTGCCAGTGTTTAACTAGCAGTTCTTTGTTACCTGTTCCACAAAGTCATACAACTCTGCTCCAAATTCCACCCCTGTTGGCCCACCTCCAACTATGACAAAGTGTAAGAGTCGCTTAGCCTCCTCATAGCTTATACCAGGTTGTAAAGACAACTCAAAGTTGGACAGAATCCGGTTCCGTATCTTTCTGGCATCTGCTACCTCCTAAATTCATAACAATAAGTTTAGATATCGGTATTATCAATAATTATTAAACAAAAATTTAGCAAAAATATATAACATAGACTAATCGTAGTTACTGCAAATGTGTAAATTGATGTGTTTGGGAAATTTACACTAGATATCCTTCAGACATTTAGCTACATAAATCTCCTGCACACTTATGATTTTTGACATACGTGTATATGATACATGTATTTGCGAAACAGGTATGTACATGAAAACAAAATAATTGATTATAGATACAGAGATTCAATCGTTTAATTTATCTAACCTAACATCTGGCTATATAGCAGTATATTTATCATGAAACCACAGACATTGTGTGAAGGTCTTATTATGTCCTGCAACTAAAACAAAACATAATTAATTACCTGTGTAATTTATGCAGACGCAGATAAATTAACAGCTGAGAAAATGTCTTACAATAATAATTTTCATCATCACAGACTATAATTGTAGGTCTAGAAATGATCATTTGTCAGTCTGACCAGAGACCTATGTTAAATGTTATATACATATCCCCAGGTATGATGTTTACATTTGTTTACCAATGTGAATTGACCATACTAATGATAAACAAACTAGTCATGAATGAAAAAAATTAAAAACATGTTAATTATAATGAACTACATTAATTCTCAAAACAAATCTGAGGATCAGTAGTAATAGAACATTACACTATCAAGGGAAACAACTCTTACATATATATCTTTAAAACATACACTAAACTGTTCTGGAAATTCCATGCATTACAATCACTAACAATCCCTTCAGAAGTGAAAGTGATCATTTCCCGTAGAGTATCGAGGATGACACTACATACGCACAAGTAGAACATTAATTGCGGAAAATACATGTATGATTTACTTATTGAAACTACTAAATGTACCTTGAGGAAGAAGGAATTTTCCTTGACTCCTGGTATGTTGAATGTGTTGCTGAGTGCTCCAACACCTATCACAAGCTTGTCATAATCCAGAGTGTATTTGAGGCTAGGATCTAGAACACTCTCACATGTTATCTGTTTATTCTTCATATCTAAACTCTGGGCATATGACAAATGAAAGTGGTCTGTCTGGCGGAATCCTGTATTTCTCACCGGTTCAATTATCGATCTGAAAATGCAGCATTCATTATATTTTCACACTAATATTTCTTAATTTTAAAGGCTGAGAAAAAGAAAAATTCCTCACAATAAATTATCAGCATCTGATACAAACATCTGTCCAACAATCAACATTATACTTTGAAAACAGAAACAATCAAGTAAAGATTTACAAGATTATCTAGTGAAATGCAAAGAAATCAATTAGAATGGACCAAACATATTACACTAAAAATAATGAAGTAATTCAATGCATTGAATTTACAATGTAAATTTATCAAGTTTGACAACTAACATTTTCATCACTTTTCAAAGATTAGAGTTTGAGTGCTTTTCTTAAATTTTTTTTGTTAAATTTTGTACCTGAACTCCAATGTCCCGACTGTGGTACTTGCCAGGAGTGGTGTGAACAGGAAGTGGTTACGTGGACTCACCACTATGACATCAAACTTCTTCTTGTCAATGGACTTTATGACAGAATAACTGCCCCATCCTGACCCGAGGATTACCAGTTTAGGTCTCTTGTTTTCAGAACAGTAGCCTCTTACCGTTAAATCACAATGAGAACTGACCAGTGCGTTGACAATAGTCACATTTTGCCTTGAAGTCAAACACAATGCTGACCTATTCATATTTAGGAAATGTCCGTGTCTCCATATTTTCAAAAGTTTTCTTTGAAATGTTTTCATAGTTGACATGTTTCACTTCAAATAGTTTTTCAAAGACTCCAAACTTCAAAGTTTACATGAGATTGACAAACAGTTTCCCTCAGTGAGAAGGAATAGTCCTTAGAGATTTATCAACGATCCATCACTTAGCAGAACAGTACTTCAGCTTGCATCATGATAATCTGAAGTTAATATATCACTTAAATCCAGAACCATGGTGACCATATTAAACCTGAAAAGGAGAGAGTGAAGAGAACTCACAAATAATGACCACAATTACCTCAATTCTTTATCTTGATCAATTTTTTCTTTACTCGAATGAATCGAAGTGAGACTGAGACTTCCAAATACATTAAGCAGTGGTTATGAATGGTGTATTCCAAAACCTACATTACCTACAAAGACAATTTAATTCCTAATTCTTATTAGTCAATACACTTACAGATGTTGATTTTTCCTCAGTAGGACAAGTTATCTCCCCTTTTGTTCACATCATTTGGTTTTGCTAATGTTTTCCTGAGTTCCAGACAATCACAATCTACAAAGTAATGTAATTAATTTAATGCAGGCTGTGCATTTTTTATGGTTTATTACTCCAAGGTGTTTTCCAAATTTTTTAAAAATCTGCTTATGAAGAAAAAAAAAGTTAATAGTGGTTTTCTTCCCACTTAATCTGTGCCTTTTATCTTCCGTTTGCCATCAGGTGCATTAGTATTTTCCAATCTGTAGAAGTCCTTAAGCATTGCAACAGCTTTGTCTCCCATCACTCCACTAATGCACTGAAAGCTTGGACCAAGGGCAGGCAATTCATCCATATTAACAGACAGAACTGAGCCACACCCTCCAAACCTGTCGTTGGCACACCCATATACCACCAGAGGGATACCAACTTGTCTTAGAGCCCCTGCACACATCACACACGGCTCCACCGTCACATACAGGACAGTCTGACCGAACACCTCCTCTGGATTCATCTGATGCAAGACACACCAGGACAATACCTGGTCAATGGCAACAATTTCTGCATGCCTTGCAGCATTCTTTGTCTCATTCACTTCATTCCTACCGACACCTATGACTTCCTCTCCTTGGTAAACCAGGATACAGCCTACTGGCACTTCCTTACTGCTCAGAGCATCTTCTGCATACTCGAAGGACTTTTCCATCCATCGTTGATGTGTTATATCCATGCTGAAAGAAAATCTTCATATTCCAGACGTATTCAATAGCACCAACATTTGAAACAAGCATTTTTATCATGAAAGCATCTCTGCTAGTTTAGTTTAAACAAAACAGTATATACAGATATGCATGCTTTAAAAGCAAGAATCAAACACAGACTGTTGATGTAACTGTGAGACATTTCTGATCTCTACATTTACTGTAGGTTGAATGACAAGAAAATTAAATAACTGAGATTTTTTTTATCAATGGTCTATAATGTCTCCAGTATAATGCTCTTAGATTTTCCATAAGCTTTTAGGTAAGGTTTATGATAAAAATGTTACACTTTCTAAGTTAAAATCTCAAAACTGTAACCTTATACTATTAGGTGCAGAATTAGCCTACAACACATTTTACTGTATTTTTAAAAATTAATCAAATGGAGAAACCTACAGTCAAAATACTTTCAGCAAATAATTTCACACCCCATGTAAAAAATATAACAAGACTGCAAATGCAAACTTGCAGATTGTAATTCAATAAATGTTAATATAATAATAACTTTATGTTAATGACCATAGCCACTATATAACAGCTAATCTGAGTACATCGTGACTAAATCAGATAATCTGACCAGACAGGGATATTGTACAAAGTTTACTTACCAAAGTACTAGCTATAACTTAATCCCAATCTCTGTTGTCTGTTACCCAAGACCTGCCATTTCATTAACACTAGAGCATATACACGTTTACAAAGATTCTAAGCTTGGAATAACCTTCTTCAGAAACTTATTTCCTTATGTAACGAGCAACAACTGGATTATTCATGGGTTATCTCCTGATATATAAAATATATTGTTGCTATTTAAAATTGGCACCGATCATTAAATCTACTCTGCAAGTAGAAAATCTGGCTTGCAGGGGCAAGTTTTCTGTGGGCGAATTGATGAATCTGGGTTTATTTACATGATATTTTTTATTTTTGTTTTGTTTTGTGTTTTTTCTAATTTGTGCATTTAACCGTTTTTTTTATCAAAAATACATTTATACATACATTGATTTTTACAATAAATTTTCTTTATCTTAATCATACAATTTTTTTCACATATACACTAAAAGGCTCCAGTGCACAAACTTTCAAGATTTATATAAAACTTTTTTTTATATCTAAATCACCATCTTTCATACCACAACTTAAGATGTTTTTTGTCCTTATAAAAGGCCTTCGGCATCCATCAGCTGAAGGGATTATCACTACACCTAAATTCATAAATCTGTTCTCGATTTTTGTTTATAACTTTGTATCTGTGTTATGTTTTAAGTATGTGATGTAATTTATGTAATATTTTTGTCCTGATGAAGGGGAAGATGGCCTCGAAAATTTGACAATTCACTTGTCTGTACTGTCTTCATGACTTCATTGACCATATACATATGTAGCGGGGGACATTATATCTTGTGTAATTTTATATGATATAAAGCTGTCAATGCTTCAATTTTAGTCAGCTTTATACAGGTGTCAGGTCTACTGTAGTGTTTGTACCCTGTGTACCCGTGACCTCTCCATTGTTGTGTCCTGTCACCTGTAACCCGTTTTGTCGCAGGTCTATGTATATCACATGCAAGTTCTCCTGTCTTGTTTTCCTTGCATTTTCGTCCGTGTCAGGGGTGTTCTGTCTCTGGTGATGTGTTGTGATTGGTTCAAACTGTCTCGTATTGTCATTTTAGGGTATAAGATGCAGTATGTCTAATAATTTGGGTGCAGAGCGTTGGATTAACTTCCACAGGGTGAAAACCTCTGAGGTAGGTCGGGGCGATGGTAGCGTAATTCATTATTTTATCGGGTGGGAAGCTATATCTGGGTGGAATGTAATTTTGTATAGAGATAGATAAGTTTATGTGTTCGGTGTAAGATGGGGGTCTCTGTGTCGGTATAGACCTATGCCGTTGTTGATAATTCCTGTTAATTAATGTTTGCTGTTAAATAAATTGTTACATTTAAATTAGCAGTGTTTGTCCTCCTTCGAAAACAAAATACAAGCTGTACCCATCGAACCTGGGTTGACGGTGATACAGGACGAGACGGGACCGGGTAACTGTTGACCCCCCCTCCCCTCCCTCCTTTTACACATATATACATAACGAGCTTTCCTCTCACATAATTTATTCATTGTAAAAAAATACTTCTGATGCAACAATATTAATATGTTTCCCTGTTCCTAAACATTTTAAAAGAAATGTATCTCACTTCTTTGTGCTGTTCATGGATAACCGCATGGACATCAAATATATCCGTGTTAATGGTGTACATGTAACTGAACTAATTAATACTTACGTGTACATATCGGTTTTTGATGCTAACTTTAATATTTCGTGCAACACCGGACTACAGGCACTTGCTTCTTATCTACGCGGAATATATTTTGTTAACTATATTACGTACACATCTACTCTCTCAGACCAGAAATAATCGCGTGCCAGTGATCAGACCAAACATAACAAGGGGAACAACTCTATCATAGTATTTGCTACCAATCACCTTAACTCAAATTTAAGACACATCAAGTACACTTAGTTTGGATTAAAACTAGACATGCTTAAAATCAATATTCCCAAAATAAAAATATTTACACGTAAAAGTGACACTGTGTCTTCTGCTGTCCTACCTCGTAACCTTTCTATAACGCTGTAAAGAACGGAAGTGACGTACATGTAAGGCTTTTATGTAGGCAAATTTCAATGACGTGAACACAAGGAGGAACCGAGGGAATAACAAAATGCAACTTACTTCAGTGTAAACCAGTCAAAATCTTTTGTATAAAGCAATTGTATGTCTCATTGCATCTTGTGAAGATGAATACGTTTGTGGTGAGTGTATTTACAACGCATTTAAGTTAACTCGGTGTTCGTACCAAAATGTCGGCGCATTATAAAGTGCATATAAGGAGATTGATGCTAGCACACGACAGTTGTTTTCTTTTTGCAAGCGTTCTTTCGTTTATTTATTGAAAACTGTTTCCAGCTAGGTTGGGATTATCATTCGAAATAAAGTATTCCGTTATGACTTGCCTCGGTTTCACACATGATCACTTCAGACATTTTATAAGAATTATACATAGCGTTTTACACGTCCTGCCAGATCTGCAAAAACATGGATGAATGGTCAGTTATTCACTTCAACATTAAACTGTTTTTCTTGTAAGAGTATGATAATCATCTCTCTACATCCATGTTTTACTGGTAATTGAAATAAGTAGGTATTTACATTATGGAGTATTTATACTGTAGAATGATAGTGTATTGAAAAGGTTGGGAGGGGGGGTTGTCACACGTCCCAGTACATCTCCAACAGGCGTGCACCGGACATAGACATACCGTGTGTGCGCACAGCAGGCCCAGAGAGGACAGCAGCCAGTCAGAACTCCTATTAATTCCCAATCATGATCATATAGCTTTTCGTCCTCGGTACGATAGGCTCCGCCTGTCACAACAGTCCCCTCTGGATCTCTCCTTCAAGGTTACAAGCCCTTAAATTCTAGGTTCAACCACTAGGATGTAGCTTAAGCACTGATATATCCAATAACTCAACAAGGTATTCCAATATATACAAACAACTATTTAATAAGATAACATTATGATTATATACAGGTCCAACATTATGGGATCATAACATTAGTGCCGACTTTTGACAGCTAACACTGAGTAACTCAACTAGTACAGTATCCCAATGTAAATGTGTGTAACCTTATGCTACCTAACATTAGTACCAGCAGACAACATGCTCCTCGGTCCCTATAGGTCTACAGCTAACCATTGCAGGGTTTCCATAATTTTGCTAGTAGTAGGCTGTGTAGTGATAGTAGAGGCTGGTGAAGCAAGCTGACCCGAGCCGCAACGCGGCGAGGTGGGGGGTGGCCTGTCGTGTACGTGTAGTCGTATATGGAACATTATTACGGAACTGGATTGGTGTAGACAGCCGGCTCTTATGGAAAACCCTGCATTGTATACAGGTTTCCTATGGATGTCTAAGCCCTTAGCCCCTGACTATCCCCTGGTAATGCACATCCTATGCTTGCTATAGCACACTATGTGAGCCGATATCACAACACTGTGTACTGTTAAGAGCACCACTACAGTCGTATCCTCACCTACAGAAGTGAATCGGTTAGCCAACCCTTTCAAAACACTAAATCCCACAGCAACCCACTCTTTTATACCCCCTTAATGAGTGCTACTCTACGATTGGCCAAATCGTATATAGTAAACAAAGTAAGCGATAAACTGAATTTCCCGTGTTCAATTCCGTTTCCTGTCCCATAAGGTACAACTAACCAACAAACGCCCTACACGTTTGACATGGCCTTGTAAACAAACAGGTATTGGTTTGTAGCAGCTAACCAACAGGAAGCATACGCTGAAGAAAAGCTACACCCTACCAAAAACATACGACAGATATAAAACAAGATGGTCCTGCTGTATCAGTAATACCAATGTAAGAAGTAAAGAACCTGTTCTCTCACAGTGTATTCAGTTTGTTATGAAGGTTATATAGAGAATACATGATCTGCGTCTTAAAATACTGACTGTATTTTGACTAGGGTTAATAAAGACAAAAGTGTCGAGCCTCTGGAGAGCCACATTTGTCTTTCTGTCCCAATACAAAGTGTACATGTAAGAACTAAATTGCTCTTAGCCATACAGTAGGCACGATGAGATAACAAGTATGGAGAAAAGGGGTTTTTCTGACCTCATAACTCAAGCACTAGTGATCAAACTCAATTGAAACATTTTAATTCATTTGATTTAATCAGTAATTTCTTTATTTTTTTTTTTGCAGACTCATCCAAGTGTCCGAATCAAAGGAACAGAGAACAACTACAACCCTGCTCCCTGCTATGACCAGATGTGTTCTAACAAAAGTGCTCATATGCATTGTCCATTTTGTGTCAAATCTGACATTTACCAAGATCCTGTGATACTAAAAGCCCATTACAGAGTTAAACATGTTGACAAAGGCATAGACTTCGCTGGTAAATATATTTCAAATCACACTGATAATGAAAAGTTGCCAAAATTATTCAGAAAGAAAGTTGATTTCCTTGTAAATCAAGAAAATAATCAAATCAGATACTTATGACTTTTTTCTTCAATATTTTCTTATATCCAACGTTATGTATCCATGTAATTGTTTGGTATTAAAGATGTTACTCATATTGCCTTATATCATTATTATTAATACTTGTAAACATGAACTACTGAATTAATTGACAGAAAGTTCAAAAGTACAAGGGGGAATTTTTTTGATAGGTCTTAAGATTCTGCGATGTTGTGATCACTGTGACATTGTTGGTGTGATCAAAGGAGAAAAGAAGTTTAAGGGAGCACACTGGCATTGCTATAGGTGTAGAAATGGGTTCAACAGGAGAGATGAGGCCATCAAACACTACAAAACCCACTTTCGAAATCCACAAACAACATTTCAGATACAGGTAGCTCAGGTATGTATATGACATGCAGGTTAAACAAGTATGTGTAACAGAGGCTGTTTACATATTTTAGTGCCTAAGCAATGGATCAAACCCAGAACCCTTTGCTTACCAGCCTCGCACTTAACAAAGTGAGTTGAAGAGAATATTTCTCTAGCTGAGCAATATATTGCAGTTAATATTTCTAATTATTATAATACTCCCCTTCTAGAAAAAAAGAAGTCATCCTCATGTTTCCAAGTATTATAGTGATGCTTGTGAAAGTGATGTTTTGTATTGTTCTGGAGTCCCCACATGGACACTTATGTAACAGTGGTCATTATTGATTCCATTAGAGATCAAACCAGTGATTTCTGGCTTACTAGTGTAACCTATCATATAAAATCTCTCTAGCTGAGAGGTATATATCTATTGCAGCAATAGCTACAAATGAATACAAGTAGCAGAGATATATATGAAGTACAGGAGAAACAGGTGTGTTTGGACTATAGATATAACAGGTATATGTTGTAGATTAAATAAATAAATAACGTCAGTATCAGGTAAGTGGTTTCTTCAGTGAGGCGCTTCACTTGAGCTTGGATACCAAAGGTATGCAGGGCGATTAACGAAATATTAAATATAAAATATAAAAGGTATATGTTGTGATGGAAAGACATCACATACTGAAATTTCGTCTACTCTTATACCAAGGGCTTACTGTTCACTTGGAAATTTATTTACTTCAGAAGTCAAATAACAAATGACATTTACCTAAAAATTTGGAGAGTTTACAAACTCCGATGAAAAAGCTAAATAAGTGGATCCTGCTTATGCCTAATTACTAAGTTTGAACCTGTTGTAAATTTTCATATCAAAGTTTCTCTGAAGGAATAGCTGTATGGACTGCTCTAAATTAGATCATTTAGTTTCAGGAGTTCTTTGTGTCTTTATTCCAGGAGGTGAACAATCCTAGTTCTGGATATTGTGATAGTACAGCAACTATTGACCAGGGTGGCATATCTATACACCCAGCTCTTACCGAGGCTGTTATGTCATCTAGTCTAGCTCAGGAACCAGGTAGGTTTACCTCCATACCATACACCCAGCTCCCATCGAGGCTGTTATGTCATCTAGTCTGCCTCAGGTTTATCTCTTTACCATACACCCAGCTCCCACTGAGGCTGTTATGTCATCTAGTCTACCTCAGGTTTATCTCTATACCATACACCCAGCTCCCACCGAGACTGTTATGTCATCTAGTCTACCTCAGGTTTATCTCTATACCATACACCCAGCCCCCACCAAGGCTGTTATGTCATCTAGTCTACCTCAGGTTTATCTCTATACCATACACCCAGCCCCCACCGAGACTGTTATGTCATCTAGTCTACCTCAGGTTTATCTCTATACCATACACCCAGCCCCCACCAAGGCTGTTATGTCATCTAGTCTAGCTCAGGTTTATCACTATACCATACACCCAGCCCCCACCAAGGCTGTTATGTCATCTAGTCTACCTCAGGTTTATCTCTATACCATACACCCAGCTCTCACTGAGGCTGTTATGTCATCTAGTCTACCTCAGGTTTATCTCTATAACATACACCCAGCTCCCACCGAGGCTGTTATGTCATCTAGTCTACCTCAGGTTTATCTCTATACCATACACCCAGCTCCCACCGAGGCTGTTATGTCATCTAGTCTACCTCAGGTTTATCTCTATACCATACACCCAGCTCCCACCGAGGCTGTTATGTCATCAAGTCTACCTCAGGTTTACCTCCATACCATATACCCAGCTCCCACCGAGACTGTAATGTCATCTAGTCTAGCTCAGAAACCAGGTAGATTTTACCTCTATCTATCTCTCATGAAGGTCATTAATTCATCTAGTCTAGCTCAGGAGCCTGGTAGGTTTTACCTCTATACTTCCTTTGTACACACAAGAGGTAATATCAGGAACCTGGTAGGTTTTACCTCTATACTTCCTTTGTACACACAAGAGATAATATCAGAAACCTGGTAGGTTTTACCTCTATACTTCCTTTGTACACACAAGAGATAATATCAGGAACCTGGTAGGTTTTACTTCTATACTTCCTTTGTACACACAAGAGATAATATCAGGAACCTGGTAGGTTTTACCTCTATACTTCCTTTGTACACACAAGAGATAATATCAGAAACCTGGTAGGTTTTACCTCTATACTTCCTTTGTACACACAAGAGATAATATCTGGAACCTGGTAGGTTTTACTTCTATACTTCCTTTGTACACACAAGAGATAATATCTGGAACCTGGTAGGTTTTACCTCTATACTTCCTTTGTACACACAAGAGATAATATCTGGAACCTGGTAGGTTTTACTTCTATACTTCCTTTGTACACACAAGAGATAATAGTTTTTGTTATTTATTGATTGAACATGTTTTAGATATGATTTAAATAACAACTTCAAGACAGAAAGTTGAATATATTTTTGCTGTGTAGGTTTGATGAGCCAGCCCCACCAAGTGACTGTATCCAATGGTAAGGTCCCTGAGGGTTCCGTCCATGTCTCTGTGGCTGCCAACGAGACAGTGGACACTTCTGATGGCCAAACACATCACATCATGATTATACAGGAGGAACCAGTAGAAAACAATAGCAATACATACACTACCCAGATCATCACTAGTGAGGTAAAATAGGAAGTGAAATGTCAAGGATATATCAATGTTTTTACCAACTCAATGTTCATATTTATGTAAAAGATTGGAAAATGTATATCAACAAACATTGAATTTTGGGGTTTATGAAACAAGAAAAAATTGTCAGGGCTTTTTTTTTGAGAATTTTCTCAAATCACATGTTTCACAGAAACTTTCGGAATTGATGTTCTTTCATTATTACAGTTTAGTACAGTGACTTATTCATGTAACTTTACTACATAACAAAGATAAAAGAAGTCTGTATATTGTCAGAAATACTCTACAGGTTGTTATCTTTGTTTGATCCCATCATTTCATTTTGTGCAGTTACGAAAGCAATTGTTTACCAATAATTACTGTGGTGCTGGTTGTATGGTTTATCTAATATTTTAGGGATAATCGTTGAAACATCTTGTTTCTGTTAAATATTTAAGAGTACTATGATTGCAGGATGAGCTTTATCAATATCATGATTGTAGGATGTGAGGATGATATAACAGGTTGTAAAAGATTCAACAGTTTGTAGATATCATAATTGTAGGATGTGGGGATGATCTAACAGGTTGTAAATGATTCAACAGTTTGTAGATATTATAATTGTAGGATGTGGGGATGATCTAACAGGTTGTAAAAGATTCAACACTTTGTCAGTATCATATTTGTAGGATGTGGGGATGATCTAACAGGTTGTAAAAGATTCAACACTTTGTCAGTATCATATTGTAGGATGTGGGGATGATCTAACAGGTTGTAAAAGATTCAACACTTTGTCAGTATCATATTTGTAGGATGTGGGGATGATCTAACAGGTTGTAAAAGATTCAACACTTTGTCAGTATCATATTTGTAGGATGTGAGGATGGTTGAGGAAAAGGAGCAGTCGAACCACCAAAATGCAGCCAACAAATTGGAGGAGCTACAGCAAAAATACCAACAGCTGGAGGCTGAAAAGGACGAGACAGAACGTATACTGAGAACAGAAATTCTTTCCCTGAAGTCACAGGTGAGAGGAAGTCTTGTAACTGTATCATACTGCCGATCAAAACATTTTCCTTTTGACCACAACTTTGTTTATTGTTATCATTTCTACACTGTTAATGATAACTGGGTATAATCTAGTAGTGTTTGGATCTGTCCAGTTGCTCATTACTTCCTGAACTTATGAGAATTTTCCTGCATTATAACTCAAATGGTAGAAAATAAAAAAACATTTCTTGGGTTCATAGGCAACGATAATGTATAGCTGTTCATTTTTACAGGTCAAAATTTTCATGATTTCAAATTATATATTTCAAGAAATCTTAAATTTTGTGATCTGAATTTAAAAGGCCATTGAATACGAGCAGGATCGTGTTTATATACTGCGAAATAGCGAAGATATCCTCCGCACGAAAACAACCTATACAGAATTATATCTATAACACAGCAAGCATATATATATATATTTGCTGCTTGACCTTGGGTTAGATTGAATATTTATTTGTAGTTTCAAACAAACATAGTTAGACAGTGACATTGTTGTATTATGGTAAAGTTGTCAGTAGTGATATGTTTATATGTATGTAGTTTGACAGCAAAGCTGATGTATAAATTAATGTGGATGTATATTAACAGGTGGAGACCCTGGGAAAGGAAGTACTGTCCTACCAAAAGCGTGAGGAAGAATTACTGGAGCAGGTCAGTGTTCCACTGGACCGTAATATAGAAACTTTGTTAAAGAATATGGAGACACAGCACCGAGATCTTCTCCACCAACAGCTGCTTGTCATCAAACGCGAGTACAAACCACAAACATTTTTGTCTAACACTGTGGTGGATGGGCAAAATAAAGCCTCACCAAAGACTAATAGTAACATTCAGCGCTACATCATTGAGTGTAACCTGGACCAAGACTCTAATCCAGCACCTGATGAATTAGTTGATCAATCTAAACCAGGTGACTCTGATCCTGACAACGAAGCAGAAAGTCCCAGAGCTGTGATGGGCACAGGTGAGGAATCGTCTCTTCAGGAGAATGTGGAGGATTCAACTATATCAGATAGTCAGAGTGATGTCAATAAAGCCCTCCAGGATAGCATTTTGTCAAATCTAGATAACAGTCAGCGAGGAAATCTTAGCTTCCAGCTTGGTGGAGAGGGGTATTCCTACTGTGTTTCCGAGGAATCTGAGGGGAAAACAGACCCAAAAAACAATCCTCTAGTAGTATGTATTGAGTATCCATCCGATGTAACACTTACTCCTGTGGAAAATACATTCAAAGTTCTTGACAATTATAATGCATCACAGATAGTACAACCCATCTCAATTGTGAATAAGGGAGATGCTTGTGTGGAGCCTGAAGCAAAACGTCAAAAACAGTGCTGATAAATTGTTTCATCGATCCCAAATCTTCCAATGTGTTATATTCATACCATTAATTTTATTTATTTTTATTTTTCAATGAAATATAGATCATGGAATATCAAAGACATTATAAAGGGGATATGTCTGTTATCATTCTCTGTAAAACATATTTTTGTACGTTATGATTGAGGTGTCTGTTATATAATTTATTCAAACAACTGTCTTTGATATTTTATGATCCATTATATACTGTTGATAACATGCCGTAAAACTCCATAATCAAGTACCTAACTTGTTTGTTCCTGTTAAATCTCTTCCTTAATACATTGTTAATTCTATGTGTCAGTAAGTAAAGAAATCTGCATCACACAATACAGTAAAATACTTGTATTACTTCATTCTGTTATTTCTTAATGCCCAATTTAAATTCTTCCATGCTCGTTTGCAAAACATGCATATTGGCAAAACCTATGCACATTTATTAATTACTTCTTTGATTTCAAATATGAATGTGGTAAGTGTAGGAGTTGATAAAACAATATATAATACCTCTGTGTAAAGTGAATTAATTGGTCGAGTTTGGAACACACTTTTTCTTAAAAAAATTTTGATGGGTTCCATTAATATCAATAGACATACACTCAATAGGTTTTCAAAATGCAGGCCAGTCCAACATGAAGAGCTTAAATTTAGAACTTGATCAAATATCAGTGTCCCAAAAAACAAACCCTATACAAGGTCTATATTCTTCAAGTTATAATTGAGTTGTTCTCAGAAAACCGGGAAACTGGTACAGAAAAATATAACAAGTATTACACAGTAATGAAAGAAATTAATTAATTTTATAAACCTGTTATTAATACAGTGTAATTTTAGTAAAACCAGTAAATGCTTACCTGTTCTTTCTATTGAATTAAAAATTAATATGAATTTGAACTAATACAGTTTACTGATGCAGAAAATTACAGTGAATAAGCCACATGATTTGTAAAAACAACAGAGCATTTCTGGATTTCCTGATAAATTTGTTGCATGGAAAATATTTTTAAAATGTATACTGGTGTTTTAAGTTCCATATAATTAAAATATTAAAGAAAAGATAATGTCTACAATGATGAAGTCCTGTAGGATTCTATTGCATTTATACCTTTAATTACATATAGAGGATTGTTCATCCCAAAGTTTCTCTTGTTTTGTAATTTACATATACACTGCATGATATATGGATATAGGTAACTGTTGGGTACAAAGGCATCTAACACACTGGATTTTCTAGTCTTCAAAAGTAAACAACTTTGTTTTAATCCACCGGAAATAAAACAATTAAATTTGGTAATTTTCACTATAGGTTCAGTTTAAGATTTCGTTTTCTAGATGATCTTTTGATGACCTTATTTGGCTTTAAAGTTCCAAAGTAAAAAGAAATTATCTGAACAATACATTCATCATAAACTATAACAAATCAGTTTGATAAATTTTCATTTCAATTTGAACTTCAAGAGCAAAGATGACCTTGATAGTGACAATATTGTGTTTCATAGTAACCGAAAATTTCATGATTCGCAAGTTTTTGCACAATAACAAGGTGACTTATTTTCTCATTTTGTAAAAATTTGATTACTTCAAAGAAATGAGCTCATATTAAGATAAATGATTTGCTGAAGGAAAATCTACAACTACACAAAAACCATCTCCAACATTGAAATTCTGAAGTCATTGGTAATTTAGCTTCCTTACAACATGTACCTGGTTGGCCCCTTCTTTAAGTCAGTTTTCAAGTTTAGGACATGTTCGCCTTATGTTCCTGCTTTCTCTATCAGTTTTCTTGTTAGTATCCTGTTAAATTTTTGTAAAGATGTTTAATTTTCTTTGTTTTAAAGACAATCGATGAAATATGGAACAAAAGAGAACACAAGTTGAATGTTTGTTGATTGTAATTGAAAATGTTTGTTTCAAATTATATGATTTATTGAAACCATAGTTAATTATTAGATTATTGTGAGTCGACATCTTTGGGCAATAAAATTTTCAAAGAAATGTTCTGATATTCTTTGCTGTCATTTGTCTTCCTTGTTTATGTGTTTATGTTGTACATTCAAAAATAGTCCTTTCCACTTTCATCTCTCACCAATGCTGTTTCACTGCAAATAGGAAATGGCCTTTGGGTTTACAGCAAGATGGCACTATGCAAATAATTCTTGATATTGCTGATCTTCAAAATATACATGACGGATATTGCAAATTCATTGCACTTGTTTCCTACCTTGCTAGGTCAAAGTTTCATGGATATAATATGAGAGTTGTCATTATTTCATAGAAACAACCACATAAATTGCCTATTTGTTATCTCTATTTCTTCAAAATTTCCAATGTAAACTTCCCTTAGTCCTTAGGACTAATCCAAAAAACAAAATGACAGCAAGGCAGTTATATCAAATTTTGAAAGGTTAAGTTTGTTTTAACTATGTATTGAGAAGTACATGATAGATCAGTCTGTGATTTAATGTGTAAACTACCCTAGGTCATTCCTTGTGCATTTAATTTCGGGACCGATCTCAAGATCAAAATGGTCGTATTGGTGTGTTAATTACCTTGTCCATGTTTAGGACTGATTAGAATCATCCTCGATACTCCAAGGGTTATGATCACTACATCCTCGATACTCCAGGGGTTACGATCACTACATCGATACTCCAAGGGTAACGATCACTACATCCTCGATACTCCAAGGGTAACGATCACTACATCCTCGATACTCCAGGGGTTACGATCACTACATCCTCGATACTCCAAGGGTAACGATCACTACATCCTCGATACTCCAAGGGTTACGATCACTACATCCTCGATACTCCAAGGGTAACGATCACTACATCCTCGATACTCCAGGGGTTACGATCACTACATCCTCGATACTCCAGGGGTTACGATCACTACATCCTCGATACTCCAGGGGTTACGATCACTACATCCTCGATACTCCAGGGGTTACGATCACTACATCCTGGATACTCCAGGGGTTACGATCACTACATCCTCGATACTCCATGGGTTACGATCACTACATCCTCGATACTCCAGGGGTTACGATCACTACATCCTCGACACTCCATAGGTTATGATCACTACATCCTCGATACTCCAGGGGTTACGATCACTACATCCTCGATACTCCAGGGGTTATGATCACTACATCCTCGATACTCCAGGGGTTATGATCACTACATCCTCGATACTCCAGGGGTTATGATCACTACATCCTCGATACTCCAGGGGTTACGATCACTACATCCTCGATACTCCAGGAGTTATGATATTTTTGCTCTCTGTACTCCTAGAACATGTCACGTCAAATTTGAAGGCACAAGTGAAGTAATTTAAGACTGATACACTTCTTTTGAAGATTACAAAGGAGCAACACCAAACTACAAAGCCATTACAATATACCATTATGTGACATCAAGAATCGTTTGATGTACACCAGAGGATCACATTAGTCTTGTCATCTTGTCCACAAGGTGTCACACATGGAACCTTCAGTTTTGTCATGAAGTGTTCCACAGGTGCAGAGAACAAAAGTGGTTGTAATCCCTGGAGTATCAAGGATGGATTAGAACATGAAATGGTCAACAGACTTCTATATTGGATTTTGAAATTTAAGTCTGTTATAGCTTTTTCTCGAGACAGTCAGCAATGTCCAATTTCAACAGCTATAAATCAATGTACTTCTTTAGAAATACTTTATAGATCTTGTTCAAGTTTCATTTTTCTATTTCCTTTCAATAAAGATAAAATTACCACCATAAAAATAATACAATGGTGGGCAGTGAAATATTGTGGTCATGCTAATTGATTAAACCAATGTCACAAATGTTGCTTGTCAAAAGAACAGATATTAGATATACAGCTAATCAAAGGGCTTGAAAAAAATTAAAAAACCAAATTGACAATGTCTATGTTTTTTTTATTGGTAAATGATTTACATGAGTACGTACAAGTTGAACAACAGGTAACATAATAACACGGCACTTGACACAATTCATTATCTACATAGATCTGTTTACACCTTACAGAATACTTAACACATAGGTACACACCATGTTAATCATTACATCATCCCTCCATACCACACAACAAGTAGGTACACACCATGTAAATTATACACCATCCCTCCATACCACACACAACAAGTAGGTACACACCATGTTAATCATTACACCATCCCTCCATACCACACACAAGTAGGTATACACCATCCCTCCATACCACACACAACAAGAAGGTACACACCATGTAAATTATACACCATCCCTCCATACCACACACAACAAGTAGGTACACACCATGTAAATTATACACCATCCCTCCATACCACACACAACAAGTAGGTACACACCATGTAAATCATTTCACCATCCCTCCACACCACACAAAAGTAGGTATACACCATCCCTCCATACCACACACAACAAGAAGGTACACACCATGTAAATTATACACCATCCCTCCATACCACACACAACAAGTAGGTACACACCATGTAAATTATACACCATCCCTCCATACCACACACAACAAGTAGGTACACACCATGTAAATCATTTCACCATCCCTCCACACCACACAAAAGTAGGTATACACCATCCCTCCATACCACACACAACAAGTAGGTACACACCATGTAAATTATACACCATCCCTCCATACCACACACAACAAGTAGGTACACACCATGTTAATCATTACACCATCCCTCCATACCACACACAACAAGTAGGTACACACCATGTAAATTATACACCATCCCTCCATACCACACACAACAAGTAGGTACACACCATGTTAATCATTACACCATCCCTCCATACCACACACAAGTAGGTATACACCATCCCTCCATACCACACACAACAAGTAGGTACACACCATGTAAATCATTTCACCATCCCTCCACACCACACAAAAGTAGGTATACACCATCCCTCCATACCACACACAACAAGTAGGTACACACCATGTAAATTATACACCATCCCTCCATACCACACACAACAAGTAGGTACACACCATGTAAATCATTACACCATCCCTCCATACCACACACAAGTAGGTATACACCATCACTCCATACCACACACAACAAGAAGGTACACACCATGTAAATTATACACCATCCCTCCATACCACACACAACAAGTAGGTACACACCATGTAAATTATACACCATCCCTCCATACCACACACAACAAGTAGGTACACACCATGTAAATCATTTCACCATCCCTCCACACCACACAAAAGTAGGTATACACCATCCCTCCATACCACACACAACAAGTAGGTACACACCATGTAAATTATACACCATCCCTCCATACCACACACAACAAGTAGGTACACACCATGTTAATCATTACACCATCCCTCCATACCACACACAACAAGAAGGTACACACCATGTAAATTATACACCATCCCTCCATACCACACACAACAAGTAGGTACACACCATGTAAATTATACACCATCCCTCCACACCACACACAATTTGGTACACACCATGTAAATCATTTTTACACCATCCTTCCATACCACACACCAATTACCATAAAATGGTAGACACCATATAGATATTCCTGCATACTACTCACCATTTACCACATGGGAACACAAAACAATAACTTGACTTCAGCTATTTGAAAATGACTAAATGCTCCCTTCAGTAAGCCAAGACATTTACAGGAAATAGACTTTGGCTATGGGTTCATCCAACTTTCAAACAATTTTTCAAATTTCATTTGTTAAAATAACAGAGTCAATGGTAAATGTAAATGTTATTAATATCAGAAACCTATAATATGTAAGTTCAGGATCAGAACAACATCTCATACTTGACAAGGCAGTTTTTTTACAGTAAAAAATAGTCAGAATCAATGATGTTACTGGTACACAATGTAATTAGATCTTTTCTTCCCAGTCAGTGAGAGTACATCTATATTATGACTGTTCGTTCACTTCATAACAAATTATACCTTAAATATTGTAAGTTGATGATGTAAATCAGTTGTAATATCATTTTCCTGTGTACAACATCAGATACGATACTTTTGATCCAGCACCTTCAAACAGATATAGCATTTATATCAAATAGGTCCACATGTTCGAATGCACATCGGTATTCACATTTGTGAAGGTTTATCCACTTGGTTCCAGTAGTTCATTGAGAAATTCTTGGACAAAAGTAAACTTATCAAGTCTGGCCCCTTACCTGTCCCTGTATATAGAGATTACCAAAGCAATGTGCTATGTTCTTGTCTATTCACTGTCCAGAATCCACAATTAAATCACAATCTTCTTCTTCTTTCAGGTTTTCTAGTGCTGACTCACTGAAAATCAATCATAACAAACTTTCTAGTGCTGACTCACTGAAAATTAATTATAAACTTACTAGTGCTGACTCACTGAAAATTGATTATAACAAACTTTTCTTGTGCTCACTATGCACTTTTTATCATCTACCAACTGAGCTAATGCAGTCTCCAATTCTTTAATGAGCCAAATAATTCAAGCAACATTTGGCTCAAGAACTGTTGCAGCTGATCGGATTTATTTGTCCAAAATAGTTCAGTCGATCTGAAAACTAAGTAGAGGTTTTCAGCTTCAAATCACATCCACAGTTTACACATTTACTGGCTAGTTTCCTGTCCCAATACAGCGACAGGCAAACTCTATTTTCAAAATCAGCTCAGCCATTCATGAATAAATGCACTTCAAAAGAAGTTGATAAACAGCATTCACTTTACTTGCCCTTTAGAACAAGGAAAGTAAAACTTTCTTTCCTTTATTTAGAAGTAAAACAGTTGTAGGCCAATGCATGCCTTTACAAGGGATAAGGTATTCAAACAATTTAGATAAATATCTTGAAATGTCAAAGCTGTTGTGTGACCTACCTGTCTGGGTTTGAGTTGTCATTACTGAAGATTTCCATTGGTAACATCATGGGGGCTTTTTCTATGCCAAACACATTCTGTCTTGATTCTAGGTGGCGCTCAAGCTCCTCCCTGGTCATGTGACTTGCTTTCTCTTTAACTTGAGATACTTTACCTGAAAATATTTAGTTAATTACATTATTTCCCCCTTCAGTCCCTCACTTCAGTCCCACACTTCAGTCCCACACTTCAGTCGGTGAATACTGCTAAGTACTGGTATCAAGTCTGTTTCATTGCCACTAATTGCAGATTTTTAACTCTACCATGACAGAGAGAACAAGTGAATTACTGAACATATTAGCTGTCCAGTGATGTTAACCTTTAACAAAAAATATTTTATCATTAATAATCTTGTGTACAGATGGAGAGCTAGTCTACAGGTATGTTTGTTTTACATTATGTCTTTAACTATCATTATTTCACATTGACTGTTGGATATTTGAATACCACTATGTACCATACTGACATAATTAAACAGACCATGTTTCTTTAACTATCACATGCAGTTTCCTAAGTTATAACTGATACCACACATGTTTATCATATCTCACACTCTTACCTCCTTTAGACAACACTGCCTTCTTAGCACTTGATTTTGACTTTTTCTTTGCTGGCTCTGCTGCCATCTGCCAATGAAAGCAAGTAAAATTAATTTGAAGGATAAAATTTTAATCATCATTCATTTATAAGGAATCAACGTTAAAGAAAATCTCAAATATTACTTCATCTTTAGTCCTTTTCACCTAAAATATTACAAACATCATTCTTTTAAATGGAACTTTAAAATATATGTCTACCATTATGTAACATTCTCATAGCAAATTAGTACCTTTGTACCTGTGGTACACAAACCAAATATCAAAAGAGGGACAATGTAACTCTATTAATTACACATTTTTAATCATCAATCCTTCAAACACAGAGCTCCCAACATAACACATTTATGAGCTAACAAAGAGAAACAGAAGAAGTATTCGTACTCTTTAGGTTACAAACAATATTTTTCATGTACTATCAATATATATCATATTTGTATGTGTATATTGTAAAGTGTCTAAGAAAGATAATAATCAAAATCAATACAAGAAGACTGGATGCTCCAGAAGGCGTTCCTGGTGTCCCAAGACTTCCTAGAATGGCTGAAGGGTCTCCACCCTGGCCTGGACTAAGACCAGCTTTCCTTCTACAACAGTTAGACACAAGTTATTCTCAATGACGGACTGCGCTTTGACCAGTTTTCTTTCCCCAACAGTTAGACACAAGATATGTGCAATACCAGTTATATTCATCATCAGACAAACAGTTACAGACTTGAGAGAAAAACTTTGATATGTTTATCCACATTACAAAGATACTTGACTTCTAGCTTGATGTCAAACACATCTATAAAATAATATCATAATCTTTATTACAATGGATAAAGGTATTTTTTCTTACTTTCTTGAACTTTGACTTTCTACCTCACTGTCACTTGAAGCAGTAGCATCAGAATCGCCTGAAGATTCATCTATTTTCTCGTGTTGCAAGAGGCGGTCCAACAGAAAGCTGCAGCAAACATATCAAGACATAAATTATCTATCCTGTATTTCTGACTCAGTAAGGGGTGGGTTTATTGCAAGATGATAATATAGTATTAGCTTGTACTGAGCAGCAATGTAAGGGTGAGCTTATTACCAAGCATAGGGTTATTACTAGATATGTATCACAACATTCATAAAAAATATTTCTTGAGGTTTTGACCTTAAAAAAAAAGCTACCCAAAAGAAAGAAAATTTTTTACAGAAAGTTACTTTTTCAAGGAACAACTAAATTAATCTGCAATTTAAATAACTTCATGAATCTATAGCAAGTGAACAAATCTTATTTATTTATTTTTTTTTTTACTGTGTCAAGATGATTACCTTCTGTCTCTCGATATCTTTAACAATTTTCTCTGTGCTTTCCTTAATTCCTCAAGGAAACATTCTTGCTCCTGAATAACAAATATGAACAAAGAAGAAGCTCATTAGGTACATCTTATCTTCAATTAGTGCACTCCTACACATCAAACTTCTAACAAGTTTTATATGATCAATGATAAAACAAATCTGATTGATGAACTTAAAACAATATTTAAATAAAACAAAATTATCACAAATGAAATTGGATACTATTTTGCCTGTACATGTACCATCTCCTGTACTCCTATCAACTGAACCAGAAATTTGGCACTGCCATTGTAAAAATACACCTGCCACATGTATTTTTGCTGTGTTCGGTAGTGATGGAAAACAGCTGTATTTTAGTATGTGTTGTAATTCAACAAAATCAAGTATTATGTTTAGAATTATGAATAGTTGTTGAAATGGGTGATTTTACATGTTGTAAAGATAAAGTTGATTTATGAAAATTCGTTAAATCGCTGTTATATACTGTTGATCTTCTTTCCGATTTAGCAGAGGAGCTCCCTCCGTATGATGAAGAGGCAGATGATGCCAGGATGGCTGATGAACCTGATGAACCTGATCTTACAAAGAACCTTTCTGACTGGGGCGCAAATAACGGGCTGATCAGTTCTCCGGACAGGGTTTCGGATGGAGCAAAGCGGAGAAGGTGCCAATAGCAAAGGCTTAGGTATTCCGCTTTTATGGAACCTGATCTTCAGAATACTACCAATTTCACATTTATGACTCAAACTTTTATGAATCGAAGTTCTCACTGTTTCGAACTTTTTTCCCGGTCCCATGGTTAAGAAACCATTAGAAATCACAACACATGAATCGAAGTAAAAAAATTTACCTGCATGAGAAAACTTGAATGTCCCATGGCAGTTTTCACACCTCAGTGGAAGCGTGAACAATGGCCAGGCAAGGGCTAGACACAAAGTGACAATAATCACTGACCATGTCTGATTGTCTACACAAGCTGTATTCTCAAGTCATTAACCGTTAAGTGGTGTGATCATGGCGTGATTGTTTGTTTGAAACAAATGACAATGGAGGATTTTTTCGCAGTGGAGCAACATGACTGATTCCTGTGTTGAGATCAGTGGTTTTTTTCAGGACATCAATTCATTTCACTAGCGGACATTATTAGTGCGTAAGATATAATTTGTTGATCATTCTTTGTTTAATTTGGATTTGAAGAAATATTGCATTGCGATGTAGTGCTAATATATGTAATGTATATTGTGCTTGCATTCTTACATGTGTGTTACGTATGGATGTTGTTCCATCCTTTTCGAAATCAGTAAGATACACATACCGGAAGTGAACCGAACTCTCATCTCCGATACAACCATGATGCCCTGTGTGTGAATGACTCGATGGAAGTGCTATGTTGCATTGTTATTCGTTGTTATTTGATATCTCTTGTCTTTATAATAAACATGTTAAGATTCATATGAATTCTTTTCCTTCCTACGATATTCTGTGACAAAGTTGTGTTCGAACAGACATTTGATAGATTATGCAAGCGATCAACATGAGATATTGATAAGGGACTCTGCATATAACACAAACGGACACAATACACATCTTTTACAGGTGTATTTTTTGTGGTTGGACAGTCACCATTCATGAGTCGAAGTCCCGATGTATCGAAGTTTTCATGACGGTCCCTTGAACTTCGACACATCGAAGTTTTACTGTACGTTTCTGTAGCAATTATTTTGGCGTCCGTCATCAGGTAAAAATCCAGCGTAATGTCAATGACAGGTAAACACAGATTGAACAACAAATCTGTTTTTTTCAATAGCCTAATTTTTTATCAATGTTGCAGGATAAATACATGTAGAATACATGGTCAGTGTCTTGAAATACAAGTTGTATATTGGCTTAGGAAAGAAAGACAAAAGTGGCGAGCCATTTTGTTTTTCTTTACCTTCACCAGAATACAGCTTATACATGTATTTTAAGATATTGACATGTATTCTCTATATCTGACATTATATCACTTTGTATTATGTATATGTATACAACTAACTATTTTTTATATCTCTAATGATTCTTCCACTGTTGACTCCATCAATCATGACAGATCGTAGCAAAGGAGTGATAGTAATTACGTATTTTTTTTCAAAGCATACCTTGTGTAAACAGCATCATTTTCTGGTCAGGAGACATGTAGTTTGACTCAGCCAAGTATCTATACTAGGTGGCAAAACTTACTCTCTAGAAAAGATTTTTCTCAAAAATTGTTTCCCCAAAAAACTAACTGTGTATTATATACAAGTACATACAATACAATATTTATAGAAATATATAACCTCATCTTATAAACATGTAATACACCTACAGTAAAATAAACAAGAAGCCAAGTTGTAACTGGATGGAAAATCAAAATTTGAACCCAAATTTCCCCATTCGGGTCCTTACATGATATAAAATGAATCCTCATATTGGGTGATTAAACATGAAATTGCTGCTATCTTTCTTGATCTCAACCATTTAATTTTACATACATAAACAAGAAATTTGAGTTTTTTCTTCAGAGCCTTGTACTTTTGTTTGTAGTCCACTTGATGCTGTTCTGGTTGAGGCATCTGATTATCTGAAATATGATCAAATATCATCGACATTATTATTGATCAGTTCTAGTCCACAGGAGATGATTCTGGCGACCATAATATAATTATACCAACAGCCCCTCACAATCTCCCACCAAAATGATCACTAGGGGGTTGTCTAAGACAACACATGATACACATCTTCAAACTAAATGATCAAAAAAATATCAATATGTATCAGGTATATTATTCAAATTGGTCATAATACACATATGCAGCAATTCTAAGTTTCAACATGTTCATACACTTAATGTTTGTTATATCATAGTTGAACAAGAAATCTCGGCACCAACAGTAAATTCTCTCAAATACAGATCTGAATATATAAGCATTGGGAAGATCAAGAACTTTTTATCATAAGTCTAAAATTCTTTACAAATTGTAATGTTGTCACAATTGATTTATCTAATGAATCATTAACATTGTATATTTGAGTCGTCTGATTTGGAAACTTAATGGGGTATTCCTTTGTTGAAACTATTGACATTATAGAAAGAAAACAAAATGGAAAACACATTTTTTTTTTAAGAGTGGTAAATGTTATTAACATTACTATTGTAATCAAAGTCTCAAAATAACCCTTAACTACTAAAATAACCCTTTGTTACTAAATTATAAAACACCTGAAATTCTTAAATCAGTCTGAATGACTAAGTCGAAGTCAGTTGGTAGAGCTGTGAATTAACTGTGAATTGGTCTGCATCCTGTCTAAGCTCTTAATACTCAAGGGGATTGTGTCGTCACGCCATGATTACCAGTTGTGATTCAGGAAGCTCTGTAGGCAACAGGGTAATTTTCTTAGATATTTACTGTTTTCGACAGTAAACATAACAAATGAAATATGGCATTGATGTCAGTTACTACATGTTTTGGAGTGAATAGCATTGATAGATTTTATGGAAAATGACAAAAAGTAAAACCGGATGTGGCACTACTTTTACCAGAGTCAAATCAGTGTCTTCGTCTACAGAAGTCAGGACAGATACCCTGAACATCACCCAATCAGGGTGTAAGTTGTGTTCAATGGTGTATGTTGAGAAGACAACCAAAATGCTGAAATTTAACAGATGCCAGGAATATTTTTGCATTGGATGTATTGGCACGAATGTACGCACATACAAAGTTTTGTGCCGATCAGATAGTGTGTGGTTTTGTCCTCCATGTAAAGTGATAGTTGAGAAAAGTATACTGAACGATAGAAAAATTGAGGAAAGGTGTCGTGAGATAATGGAAACATTCAAGAAAATGCTTGAAGATTTGGAAAATTCAATGAAGAGGAAATGTGAAATATCTGATGTCAAATGCGTATTGAAAAAGGAAATGGAAGGTTGTGAAACAGATGGAAACACCTCAGTGTTCGGATGAAATATTCTCCGAGGTAAAGGATTGGCAAAGCAGGGAGAACAACATGGTCATTTTTGGAGTTTCTGAAAATAAAAAAATGAGAGCAGATATTCGGGTAGTGGAGAGGATCATTGAAGCCTGTCAAAATGCTCTGGGAGGACCCCAGAAAGTCATTAGACTGGAAAAATGCCCGGATTCAAGTACAGCATCAAGTGAAAAAGGGCGACCAATGCTTGTGAAATTCGACTCTCTGATACATAAATGAAATATTTTCAAAAATATCCAAAGGCTACACAGCTGCGAACAATTTTCTTCTATACAAATCAGGACCTTATTAGAATGAGAAAAGGAAAGTGAATTATATCAAGAGGCAAAAAGAAAAGAAGAACAAGAATCTGAAGCCTACATCTATTGGGTTCGAGGACCACCATGGAACAGAAAAAATTGTTCGCTTCAGTAGAAATATTTCATGATGAACAATAATTTGATCTCTCAAAACCGTAAATTGCTAAGTCAGTATGTAACAATTTATTTCCTCCTACATTGTATGATATATCAATTCCAATGTAAATCAAATTTAGATATGGACATAGAGGCATTGCTTTGCCTGCGTCCATTATTAACTTAATAGGAATGTGTTTTTCCGCGTTACATACATACATACACTGACTAATGTAAGTTTTTCTGTAAAACTAAATCTGAAATCTTACATAGCTTGTCTCCTATACCCTGTCAACACATACCTTATATCTATGCATGGATCACCTGTAAAAATAATCAGACTCTGTGAAAAATAAAATATAATTCACCTGCAATTGGCATCATTGTTGACTTCGCTCTTCTTTCTGTCCATCGGTTTCCTTTGATAAATTATCGCTAAGAACCTTTACTTGATTGGCTAAAAAATCATTGCTGATGTATCGCTGACGCTCATTGGTTATTTAAAATAGAAATCGAAAGTAACAGGCATGGTGCGGCTCTGTTTAAGTGGGTAAGACGGTTGACAGGATCGGGCGACAATTTACAGGATCGGGCAGAATCGGAGTAAAATAGTGCCGTTTTAACAGTGTTAATACATTTATTTTTGCATGCATATGTTAATATTTTAAACATTATGAACATTCTTTATGAGAAAACGAAGAAGTATTTAAAAAATACCCAGGCGATGTACATGATCAACTCTGTGAGTCACTTGCTGAACTCTTCAGAGTGTGAAAAAAGAAAAAGAAAAAAGAGAAGAAAAATTAGAATACACGTGGTGTTGAGTTCTTAATGTAATTATTTTGTTTTTAAATGATCAGTTGCATGACAAAAAAGTTGTTTTCTCTGTTGACTATTTTGGAATTTTAATTAATTGAATTTTCAATTATATGGTTTTGATTGACGGAAAATCTTGAGCTCTGCTTTAATTGTAAAGATTTTTGTATGTTTTTATAGTTTTAGAGAGTGTATGAATGGGATAACATTCTGAATTGCTACAATAAGCTACAGAGAGCAATTGTGTAATTTTCATGTCGCTTTCAATCGCGATTTCTAAAAGTTCGCCAAGTGTTTAGGCGAGATGAGCCAGGCAGCCAAAATATCGGACAGCGGTCACAGCGGTGAGAAAAGAAAAAAGTAAGAATATCGTTTCAAGGAAAAGCATTAGGCCAAGTTCTAGGAATAATTCAAGAAGAAATTCTCCATTTGTGTCACCAGAAACGAGCGACAGATGGATGGAAATGTGAGTTGTGTTGCAATATTTTTAGCGATCCTAATGCTGAAGTAATGGAGTGCCAGAAGTGTAATCTTCACTTTTGTACGAAATGCCTTAACAAGTCAGACACTGATTATGTGGTGTTATCTGAGTCAGACTCCACGTGGTTCTGTGTTCAATGCAGAGAGGAAGTAATGAGAAATATAGCCATGGATATCCTATCTTGAGGAAGTTGCCTGTGATGAAAAACAAGTCAGAGATATAGTCAGAGAGGAAGTGAAAAAAGAAGAAGCAAAGCACTAGAGGATGAAATTATCAAAATAGCTGACATACCTGTTGTGGAAACATCAAAACGAGGCCACAACTGAGCAAATAAACGAATTCAGAAATGTTAGTCTAGAAAATGCAATATCGTTATTTTCATCATTGATGAATCTGAGCAAGCTGAAACAGAAATTAGGAAAAAGGAAGACATAAAGGTAATGCATGACCTGTGTGCAATAATGAACTCAACCCCAGCATCTGTATTGTCGGTCACAAGACTAGGAAAGCGTGTTGTAAAATCTAAGGAGCTGAACAACGATGCAAAAAAATAGGCCTAGACCAATTTAAGTAGTGTTCGAAGATGAGAAGGCAAAATGTACGTTCATGAGGAATTTGAGGAACTTATCGTCTGCTGAAGATAAGTACACGAAAGCAAGTATCATTCATGACATGACAACAAAAGAAAGGAGCATGAACAAGGTAAAACTAGAAGAAGCCAAGGCAGAAAACGACAGAGAAAAGTCGGGGGACTTCAAACACATAGGGACCTCCATGGGAAAGAAAGGTGATGAAAGTAAAGGCAAGAGTATAGACACAGCACAAAACACTATAAACATGTTTAATGCTTCTGTTAATAAGTTAAAGGAGTTTAATTGTTTTTATGCAAATTGAGATAGTCTACCAAATAAAGTGGACGGAGTGAAATCACGTGTTCAGAATTAAGAGGAGCTTTTTGATATCAACGGATCACAGTCCAAAGAGCACCATGTTACGAGTGGAATACCGCAGAGGAGCGTACTTAGTCCAGTTTGTTCTATACACCAAGGACATGCCAGATTGTGTAAATGTACCAACATATTTATTTGCTAATGACACAAAGATATATTCAAGAACTGCGGGTTTAGATGACGCCAGGAAAATGCAGGAGGATTTAGATAATTTAGAGGCGGACGTAGTGGTCGAAAAGACTAGCGTCCATAGAATATCCTAAGGTAGGATTTTGCCGCTGGGAATGATATGTAAAGCCAATTTATTAACCTGGGACATATCCTGTCTGTTTTGTCCGATATACAATGAGTCACAGTCCTCGCATCTGATTTTCAACGGTACACACATTTGCGACGTTCACTCTGGATATTTGATCGTTAGACTAGGTAGAGGGTAGAGAAATAAGATAATAAATACAGGAATAAAACTGTGTAAATCCAAAATGTCTCCTGATTTCTGACTTGTGAATGCCATGGTTATCAATTTTCAAAATGCTAAAAATGCAAAAATATTGTTAATTCCAACCTAACACCACAACTTTCTAGAATAAATTTAATTCTGAACACATGCCTACAAATTAGCAACACTGTCATGGTAACAAATTATTTACATTTCAGCAAATTCAAACTGAGAACGCCTTCACAACATGGCCACGTGTAAGTACTAAGGAAATTTTACTTCCTTTAGAACTAGTTTTCGGTGTATAGACACAGATTTGAGACTGTTCACCAACACAATGCAAAAAAATAAAAATATATATATATATTCTGAAAAATATGAAAATCCTCATTGTCCCCTTCAACATGATAATTTTAGCAAAGATTTGTTTTTCAATTTTAATTAAAATCTTTTTAATAAACAAACAATAACACCCAGAACCTGTACTGTTATCACAGGTGGTCAATTCATAGATAATATGAAGAATGGCCATTTGGAGCGAGCATAGTATTATAACTTATGTATATCATTTGGTGACAATAATCATTTAATCTACTGTTTAAGGAACTCTTTCTTCCTTGAAGATTGTATTTATTGTGTTCTTTACTAATTCATGGTATTTCGTTTTTCCTGTTTTATCCTCTCGGACGATCTCTGCATGTTTGCCGAGTAAGATACTAATCTTAGTTTCGTTCAGCCAAACTCATTCTGCTCGCGTGCCTGAGTGAGTGACACTGCATATAGCATTAATGATGGGAATTCCACTTCAGTGTCACAACTTCTTGACTGATGGTATGTGTGAAAATGTTCACTTTTTTCTTCGCGAATACGTGTCAGGGGTTGCTTCGCAAGCGACAAAGGGTCGCTTGACTAGGCTCCCTGTAAGTTGTATGGTTGACAACATCTTCGTCGAGTTTTCAGATATATATTGATGCCGTCTTGTCAGTAAATAAAAAAGAGATTGATTGACCATGTACATCGTATATACCCACCAGCATAGGAAATTAAGGATGCGAGAGACTCTTCTGTAACATCAGCGGTTTATTTCGATAAATATTGTAACAAAATAGGGTTTAGATATATTGTTACAAAATGAAATTTCGATATTAGTGTATATCAGATACATAAGTCAGTAATCTTGGACTGATTGGTTGTAGGATTAATTTTGTCAATATGTAACATCTGGTAGACTGGGTGATGAATGTACACAGATATTTTGTAACTGTATTTACAGTGGACAGTACTGACATCTACTTCTTCCGGTTAACAAGTATTAGGCAGTTTAATGGCAGTCTAATAAACTGAAGTACACCTTGATAGGAAATTCAACCAATGGGCATTAGATCGTGGCATTTTTATGACGAGATCATATAGAACAGGGATAAAAGGAGGGGAGTTTTTGGGGTAGGGGAGAGAGCCCTGCAGACAGAACCCTATGGACATACAGAGATAGAGCCGTATGGAGAGAGTCTTATGGACAGAGAGAAAGAGAGGGCACTAGCCCTATGAAGGGGAGATAGCTCAGAGCCCTGTGGACAGTTTTGATACGAGACACAACGCGAAGTACTGTCCTATATTTACTATCGAATTGGTATCCGGATAACCATCCGGATCCATTTGCATTTAATTAGTAGTCACCAAAATTCCGGATTTTATTATGTTGTGTCAAAGATTAGTTGTTGAAGAAGATGGCGAATAAACACATGCACGTCAGAGCCTGACAATCTCGTTCTTTTTATAAATACCTCTACAATCACTGCCAAGCGCTATAATATAACAGTAATAGTATGAGTATATTAACTCTGTATGTTGATGAGATGTTGCTTTTGTACATGTAACATTATTATTATTCTGTATGTAATAAACATGGCTGTTACCGACGAGTACGTGTGTTTACGCCTACTGTGTTACAATATTCTACTTCTTAGTCTGATATGAAGCTGGAAGTGTTTGAAGCTCATTGGTTTGCTTTCTTTTGTCATAGTTTTGTTGACTTTGAGTTTGGAATATAATTATGTTGACATATTGGTATTACATAATTGATTCTGCAGTATAAATGATCACTGGAATTCTACTCCGCCAAGAACTGTCATACTCCACCACTGGAATTCTACTCCACCCAGAACTATCATACTCCACCACTGGAATTCTACTCCGCCCAGAACTATCATACTCAACCACTGGAATTCTACTCCACCCAGAAATATCATACTCCACCACTGGAATTCTATGTCACCCAGAACTATCATACTCCAGCACTGGAATTCTACTCCACCCAGAACTATCATACTCCAGCACTGGAATTCTACTCCACCCAGAACTATCATACTCCACCACTGGAATTCTACGTCACCCAGAACTATCATACTCCACCACTGGAATTCTACCCCACACAGAACTATCATACTCCACCACTGGAATTCTACCCCACACAGAACTATCATACTCCACCACTGGAATTCTATGTCACCCAGAACTATCGTACTCTACTACTTAAATTCTACCCCACACAGAAACATCATACTCCTCCACTGGAATTCTACCCCACACAGAACTATCATACTCCACCACTGGAATTCTACCCCACCCAGAACTATCATACTCCACCACTGGAATTCTACCCCACACAGAACTATCATACTCCACCACTGGAATTCTACCCCACACAGAACTATCATAC